TAAAAGGGGAGGAATTATTAGGGCTAATATTAATTTAGGTTATATTATTAAATAATACCTAAGGCACCTAGGTTATACCACTGTAAAATATTAATATTACCTATGCGGGATGTTTTAGGTATTTATTTAGCTTAGTAAATCTTATTATTATAAATTATTATATAAGACTTAATATAGCATTAGATTTAATATAATATTAAATTTAATATAATATTAGTTTTAACTAGGGACCTTAGCTTGGGAACCTTAGGTTTTAAGTATTATTTAAGTAGTAAATTAAAGGCGCGTCTTGCACTAAATTACCTTAATAATTAAAAAATAGTTATAGGGGGCGTAAATATAAAAATATTTAAATATTACCTATTTTTTAAATAAAAATAATTTAAAAAATTACTTAAAGGCCTTAGGCCTTTAGGCAAGGCCTATATAAAAAGGCTAAAGGCCATGGTGTATTTAGTTTTTTAAGTAATTTTTTTGGTTAAATTTATTAAGGTTTTGAATACTTTATTCTCATTGGTTGGAGATACTTTGCCAAGCTTTATTATTATTAGTAAAGAACATCTGGGTGCTAGGGCGCCCTTACAAAGGGCTACTTTATAAACCTAAGGCATAATATATTAAATATTTTTAATACTTTTTTTTAATAAATATTTTATAATTATATTAATTTTTATAAGGTTAAATAGCGCTACCGCGACTTAGCTATAATTCTTAATAAATTTTTAGTAAAAGCCGCAGAATTTTAAAAAAATATTACTTTTTTTATATTTTTTAGTATTAGCTACTTTGTAATAATCTAAACCCTTTTTAATTTTATTTTAATTTTATTTTAATTTTATTAATAGTTATAATAAAGCCCAAGAAGTTAATTTTTTTAATATAAAATAAGTATTTATTAACTTTTATATATAGCTTAAAATTACGCAGTCTTTTAAAAACTATTTATATATATTATTTATGTTTTTCCTTATTTTTTAAGAAGATAATAATATTATTTAAGTAGGTAATATAAATTATATTAATTAGCCTAGCTAGGGCGTGGTTTATATAAAATTAAAAAAATTACTAGTATATTTACTAGTTTAAAAGGCATAACTTAGTATTTATAAAGCCTAAAGCGCGTTTTAAATATTATTTTTTACTTATTCTTTTTTATAAATTTAGAGCCTATAGTATATATTATATAAATTAAGTTATATAAATTTTTTTTTTTTAAATAGTTAAAAGTTACGTTAAGTAATAATAAAAGGTATGTATTTTTAATTATAATAGTATTTAGGCCTTAGTAATTAATATAAAAATATAAGCTATTATTTTTTTTAATATAAATAGCACTAGAGCTTCCGCAGGGCTTTTTAATAAATATATTTAGTTTTTTTTAAAAACTTTTTTAAGATATTTACATAGGACCTTAAGCTTTTTTAAAAATAATAAATAAATATACTTACTTAAAGGCTTAGCACTAGGTTATAACTTAATTATATAATTATATAAATAATAAAATATAAAAATATTTACCTTTATTTTAAAAAATATATTTATATATTTACGGTATTATTTAGGTAGCAGGATTTTTTTAATTTTTATTTTATAAAGGTATATTATAACATGGTTTTCTTACTTAAAAATTTATATTAAAAATACTTTAACTTTTATAATAATTTTTATAGTATATTTTTATGCTATTATTATATATTATAAGTATTTAAAATTATACTTTACTTTTTAATTATATGTTTAATTATTAGTATATTAATTTAAAATAGGTATTATAGCTAAAAGCCATGGAAACCCTAAAATTATATTATAATTATTAATATTAATAGCTTTAAAGTTTTATTAATAATATTATATATTACATGTAAAATCTCTAGTATAAACTATAAGTATATATTTTTTATAAAATATTTTTATATAGCTATTAATTATATATATTTTATAAGTTAATTTTTTATTTTATATAAAATAAGACTTTGCTTAGCACTAGTTTATAAAATTTACTTTTACTTTAAAGTTAATAAAAACTTTTATATATTATTATTTTTTATTTTTTATTTTTATTTTTACTTAAATTACCTAGGCCTGTGGCGTATTTTTTTATTTTATATAAATTTTTAAAGCTTGCACCGCGTAAAGCTTTAAGGTTTTATATTTTTTATATTACTAGATTTACTTAGGGGTTACCACTATAAAAATACTTTTTTTTTAATCTTTACCTAGTAACTAGTAATATTATTTAAAGTATTTAATATAATTATAGTTTAGGTATTTACCTAGGTATAGCTTTTTTATAAATAAGTTATTACTTAAATTACTGGGCTATTTTATGCCGGTGTTTATTTTTATACCTTTTTTAAAGGTAAATAATACTTTAACTTTTATTACTAATAACCTAGCGTGTGTTTAGTTTAGAAATTCTTATTTTTTTATAATAATCTTTTTTTATTTAGGCATGTTATTTTTAATGCTAGTTAAATATAATATATAGTTTTTATAATATTTTAATTCTTAGTATTTATAAATAAGGGATTTTTTATATATTTTCTAGGATTTTTTAATATAGGTACCTTTTATATTAGTTATTTTTATATTTATAGGGTAGGTATTTCTTAATTTAATTTAGTAATTATATAAATTACTTAATAGTTTATTATAGTTACTATTTTATATTACCTTATTTAATAAGCAAATTATTACCAAGCACTATTTTATTATTAATTATTTTAACTAGTATATTAAAAAAAAATTTAGGTAAACATAGTTTTTACCTTATAAATATTAAATTATTTATATTAGTAGTCTTTTGCTAGGAATTTAATAAACTAAGATATTTTATAAGTATTATTAAGGTAGTAGGTTAAAAAGGTTTTAAAGTATATTTTTATATTTAATTTTTAATTATTAAATTTTTTAATATTATTTGCCTGGTATGGTTTTATAAATAATAATTTTTTTTAAAAAAAAATTTTAGGGCGCGTAGCTACTATTATAATTAATTTTTTAGTAATTTTTTTAAAGTTTATAAGGGTGTTAAAGTCTATTTAGCAGGGAGCTATTAGTTACTTAATAAATTAAATAAGGGTATTATATATTTATTAATTAATTTTAGCTATTATAATTTACTAGCATACCTTTTTAATTTAGGTATAAATTTATTAATATTTTTTTTAGTAATATTTTTATTCCTGTAATTTTTTTTACTAAAATTATATTTAGTATTACCTATAGTTTTTTAATAATTTTTTTATTACTTTTATTTTTATACCCCTAAGCAGGTGCTTTGCGTTTTAATATTTTTTATATAATTTAATTTTTATTAATAGGGGTGCCCTTAGGTTTCTTTAGTTAAAAGTTTATAAATTTTTTTTTAAGTATATTAGTTAATTATTAAGTTAGGGTTTATAATTATTTTTTTAAAATATTATTTACTAGCCCCTAGGATTAAGTTTATTACTTAGCTATTATATAAAATAAGTTTTTTTTTTTTAAAAAAAGTAATTAAAACTATAAGGCGCTTTTATATAGTATATTAAAATTAAAAAAATATAAATTATTATAATAAAAACGTATTATATATTTATAGTAAGAACTAATTACTAATTTTTTAAGTTAAAGTTTTAAGTTAAACTTAATATTTTATATATTATATAACTAACCGCTGCCTTGGCGCGCGGTTAAATTAATATTAAAATTTTTTTATTAGGTGGCCTTAGGCCGCTGGATTATGTTATTACAACACTACGCAGTTGCAACACCATAGCAGTAATAATAATAGCTTTTTAATTAACAGGGCAGGTAGTAATTTCTTTATTATATTAGCTTTATTATTTAGCTTATAAAAAATAAAATTATGTTATAGCTAGTATAACTACTTATAAAATTTTTTAAAAATTATTAATTTATAGCCTAGGTAATTTATTTTATTAATAATATAGGTTACTAGTAGCTAGTTTAATTTAAAAAAAGTAAGTAAAAGGGCATGTAAAAAAAAGTAGTAGTATTATTATTATTTTTAAAATTAGTTATTATAATAAAAAAAATTTAAAAAATTAAGGGTTTATAAATTATAAGTTTATATAAATAAGTTATATACTATTTATATAATTTATTTTTTTATTATTTTTTAAACACCTTTATTAAATTTATTATTATTATAATTATTAAAAAAAGTGCTACTATTTAAAATAAGCTATTAATAAAAGTATTAAATATTAAATAGGCTATTAATAATAATATTTTTAGTATTTTAGGCAGGATAAACTTTGTTTTAGTTATGTGTATTACTCCCGGCATTAAAGCTTGCGCCCTAGAAATAACAAGACCTACGTTGTCCTCTAACGCCCCTTTGGTTGGGGGTTGACAACCTCCATGCCTTTGATTGTTTTTTGATACTGCAGATAGATTTGTAATATCACCCGCTGGTGTTGGCTGGCAGCGTAGAGCAGCTTCCATTACGGCTCTGTGGTTGTATAAACTAAACAATGGCCTACCTTAAACCCTTCACCTCAGTAAACTGTTATGTGACAGATTAAGTTCCAATTACCTCAGCCGCACTTGGTACCTGGTACAATTCACTTAGTGCAGGTCATGTCGCTCTGATGTTTCACTTCCTTGGTGCCTACTTGCTGCATTCACAATCCAGTCACAAAGGGACGTGAAAGAACTCGATAAACATCACGAGGTCAAAGCCACAAAAGAACCCCTGGGATTGGTGTTCCTCTTTATCCTACTAGCTCTGGTTGCTTTGATGATGTTGCCACTAGCTGTTGTTGCTTTGAAGGCGATGCTTTGTTTCAGCAGCAATGAGTATTCAATGACTTATTGAAAGCAAAGCATACCAGAGCAAACAAAGATATTGCAGTATAAATTTCGATCTTCTCCTGCCCAGATCAGAATCCTACCGACTGCAAACACGCCCATCCAGTGCCAGCACACTATCAAGCCAATTTCAAACCCCATACTTTACCAAATTCACCTCTAAGACATCCCGATCATCCAAGATGTCTACTCCGACGTTCCCTCTCTTCGACCTCCCAGAGGAGCTCATCCTCAGCGTCCTAGATTTCAGCGAACCCCGCGATCTCGCGGCTTTTATCAGAGCGTCCCATGAATCCCGGCGAATCGGTCACTCTGCCCTCTATTCTAGCTGCCGACCCATCATGGAAAAGCAAAAGGCCTTCCTCTGGGCCGCTGAGAACAATCAGCCGAAGCTCCTTGAGTATCTTACTAGGGATATCCTCCCAATCATTAAGAAAGACGAATCCTTTAGAAACATTGCACTTCTCAACGCTGCCCGCAGTGGCTGCTGCGAAGTAGCCACCCTCCTGCTCGACAACGGAGCCAAGCCCTACATGGACCCCTTCATGGAAGCCGTCAGCAAGGATAAGCTGGAAGTCATCAAGCTCTTTGTCACCCGCGGGGCGAAGATCGAGCAGTTCCCCAATCATCCGATAGACCACGGGATTTATGTCCGCCTGGGCAAAGACAACATCCTACACTTTGCAGCGATGGAGGGCGCAGCCAGCGTCGTGGAATACATCCTATCCTCCGACTTCGGCCTGAACATCAACAGCGTTGACCCCTTCAACTACACGCCCCTCATGAAAGCCGTCCAGGGGTCCCACGCCACCACCGTCGCCATCCTCCTCAAGCACGCCGCAGACACAGAGATCCCCACAGCCGGAGGCCTTACGCCCCTGTCGTACGCCGCCGCACAAAAACCCACCGGGATAGTCAAACAGCTTCTTGACGCGGGCGCCAACATCCACGTTTGCCAGGGAGGCGAAAGCCCGCTCGTCAGCGCCGTTATATGGAACGCGATGTACCACCCCAACGCGGGCAGCGACAGGATCGCAGATTCCCACCGCGCCCACGCCACAATCCGGCTTCTCCTCGACCGCGGCGTAGACATCAACCACCCCCGATCCTTCCGCCACAAGAAGGATACGGCGCTGCACCTTGCCGCCGCCGCAGGCGACGCCGACATGGTCCGCCTCTTACTTTCATACAAGCCCAGCCTCGACGTCACCGACACCCTCGGCGCAACGCCCCTGGCCTACGCGACGCGGTTCCCGGCTGTCGTCGAGCTGCTCCTTGACGCGGGGGCCTCGCTCTGCAGCGCCGACACGCCCGGCACAAACTACCCGCTTTGCATGGCCGTTGTTAAGAAACACACGGCCTCCGCGCGGCTGCTGATTGCGCGGCGGCCCGAGGGCATCGACGGGACGGACCCGATGGGGCGCTCGCCGCTGGCGCTTGCGGCGTGCTGGAACCGCAGGAAATTGATGGGGATGCTTGTCAAGGCCGGCGCGGATCTTGACAAGCGGGACTGCGTTGGTAGGACACCTCGTTTTGAGTTTATCCACGCCTCATCAGAATTCCTCGGGTGTGCGGACAAGAAGAGGCTTTATCCTAAGGACCTGTATGGCCGCTGGAAATCAATCATGGAGAAGAATGACATTCATGATTACACTAACGACGATAGCAGTGATGACGAATAGCGCAGATGGTCTTCGTCAGCAGCTGGGGAATGACTAGGTAGGTAGATATGTCTCGAGTCGTATCCATGGATGGTATGCATTGTACTATGGTAGGTACTGCGGCGTCCACCAAACTTGTTTTTTATTTTGTCCTTTTTAAGGAAGCTTATTGCATTTGCTATTAAGCTAATGTGTTTATTGCTACTTGTTATAACTTGGAAACAGACTTATAATTGAGTTCATTGTGTTATATTTGTGCCCAAACGCCCCATTATCCAGGTTATCCTTCTATTTCTTCTTCACCTCTGCAAATGCCTCTGTGTTTAACACATCATTTATGACCTACTTATTCCTCCCGGGTCTCGAGGGAATAAGTTTGTGCAACTAAGCATATTTATCAAAGATCGGGGTATTAGAAGTGTTGTGTAAGTTAAAAATTCCCCTGTTAATGTCCCCGGCGTTCGTTGGGCCTGACAAAATGTCTATCACCACTTCACAGCATCAAAAATAGCTGAAAGTTCAACCCTATTTGCCATACTGTGGCATGATAAGTACATCCCTTGGGTTGTACGGAGTCAATGCCTGAGCACGTATACCTCGTAGCACGCGAATTATGTGTTATGGGAAAGCCTACATAAGACACATGGTAACATTGGACGTAATTCCATTTCTGAGTTGCGCATTCAAGCCAGAGGGCTCCGATTAACATGGAATAGGAGTACCATTGTCTAGCTATAGGTGCGCACCTGATCTAACGGAAGATATTAATGAGTTTATCAATTAATGGGTTGAGCAATGAGAAACATCGAAGCAAGAAGTGGGAAAGAAGTAGTAGGAATATAATAAATAAAACCAATAACATAAACTAAAGGATGAAACACAGAACAAGAACCCCTGTAATATGAGATATTATCCTCGCATTCGGTCAAGCATAGGTAAATATACATACTCACAGTTTACCCACCGCAGCATCCCTCAGGCCATGGTAAGTATCACCTGGCAAAGAACATGGCCCTCCTCAACCGCAACCTCAATAGCCTTCCTACCCCGAGAATCCTTCAGGTGCACATCAGCCCCATGCGCAACCAACAAGCCTAGCAAACGATCGTCCCCCTCAGAGGCAGCACGATGCAGCGGCGTGTGGCCCACGCCTACTCCATAGGTCCCAACCCAGTTCGGATCAGCACCGCGCTGAAGCAAATATGCCGCAGCGTTCACATTCTCGTAGATCACTGTGTTCATGAGCGGGTTCTCGGTGTCTGTGCCGTTGATGTTCGCGCCGGCGTTGAGGAGCATCTCGATGACGTCTTCGTCGCCGTCAGTAGCCGCCTCTGTGAGCGGCGTACGGCGCTGCGCGTTGACGACGTTGGGGTCGGCGCCATGGGCGAGGAGTAGTCTAACAGAGACGGGACAGCCATTCGTCGCGGCCTTCAGCAGCGCCGTATTGCCGTTTGCATCGGCTTTGTTGATATCCAGCCCTAGACCTGGAAATGTTAGCACCAGCTCCAGGACGCGCGTTGCGGGGCTTATAGCTGCAAAGTGCAGGATATTTTCCCTGCCCACGTCAACGCGGTGGTTCTCGTACTGGTGTGCGGGGAACGTGACGCCGCGGGATAAAAGGGCTCTTACCACGTTGAGCTTGCTGAGGATCGTTGCTTCCATGAGTGCGTTGCCTGCGTCTGCGCCGTTGTCGAGAAGCATGTTTAGGATCGGTATACACTGGCCTCGAATGGCGGGGCTTAGGACTTTGTCTCGGAGTGGGGACTTGGAGCTTTTGTTGAGGAGTGGGAGGATGTCGTCGAGGATGTATTGGACGATGTTGGGGCGGTTTTTTCCTGCGGCCCAGAGGAAGAGTTCCTTTTTCTTGGGGACTGAGAGCTTGTAGAGGATTGGGTGGCCGATGTTCCATGATGCATGGGAGGTTCGGATGAAGGTTGCTATGTCGCGGGGGTGGCAGTCCTCGAGGATTATGAGGATTAGCTCCGGGGGGAGATCGAAGAGGCGGAAGGGCGTCATTGTGGATGATGAATCCAGTTTAATACTGATAAGTTTGTCAAGTGCACGATATGGTAATGAATTCTGCCGAGAGAACAATGTGGTAAGGTGCAGTGCTGTAATCCTGGTGCACTGAACTAGAGAGAAGATGTTATTTATGCAATGATGTCTTTGTATAAGGACTGCCATTGTTTTAAACAACATGATTAAAAAGATGTCTTTGAGCCACCTGGGTAGTCTTTATGCAACAAGTAACAATCAATGGATACTTGGTACGCCAGCATCTCTTATGACAATGACTCTAAGAGCTACCATTGCTTTGATTCACCTGAGTAGAAAGACGCCTTTGAGACACCTGGGTTTCAACAACATAATATAAAGACATCTTTAAGGCACCTGGGCAGTCTTTCTGCAGCAAGTAACAATTGATATTTCGTACCATATCTCATCATGACAATGGTATTTCGCTGAGACAACTGAGACAATACTATGCTAGCTTTGTGCACCTGGGCAGTATCAATGACTTGAAAAAAAAGAACTAGCCTAAACTATCTGCAAGAATTGAATATCAAAGCAGCGGCACACAAAGAACCACATTGCTTTAGGCCAGCTGACCTAGTAATAATATGACTGGTAGAGCATTCCATTGATTGTATTCTAGGGATAATGAGACAAGGGATGTCTAAAGGGAACATGGGGCCAAGCACCGTACCAATCTACTAGAGGTAGTAGAAAGTATCAAGTAATATGTCGTCGAAGCCTCCTCAAAATTGATTAAACGCGGCACTTGATGGTGTTGGAGCGGAGGTCTGGCAGGCCGTAGAAGCCGCCAGAAGCCTCTAGCCTAAATTAGTTTTGTTCCCCGCGCTTATTTTAAAGAGGCTAGTATTATTATATATTACTTTTTTTATTAAAAATTTTATATATAAATTATTTTTTAGCTAGATTTACTTATTATTTTATAATATTATTATTTATTTTATAATATTTTTATTTTATTTTTATAAATAACTTTTTTAGCTTTTTTAATAAGTTATAAGCCCCTAATTTTTTTAAAATTTTATTTATAAATATTATGTATTTTTATTTATTTTATATTTAAAAATTTATATATAATTAATTAAAATAGTGGCGTTAAAAGCCCTAAAATTTTAATTAATTAATTTTAACTAATATTTATAAAAACCTTTACTTTTAATATATTAAAAAACTTTATAATACTTAATATAATTCCTACACCTGTTATAAAAATAATATTTACTTTTATTATTATAATAAATTAAGTAATAAATTTATTAAAAAAAGCCTTTATACTTAACACGGTAAATAAAAAACTAAAAAATAAAAAAAATTATAATATATAAACTTAGTTAATAAGCCTAGAACTAAACCTATATAACCTTAAGGTATTTATTAAAAAAATATTTTATATTTAATATTAATATTAATATTATACTAAAAATAAGTAATTATTTTAAAAAAAGTTTAAATATAACTTATAAAAAGTTTAATAAATAATATTATATAAATATTATATATGGATCTAAAAAAGGTATTATATATAAATAAGTTTTATACTAAAATTAACTAGGTTTTTAATAAAAATAAATATATAATAGCTTATATAATTTAAAAAAAGCTATTATTATTAACTAGGCTAGCTATAATATAGTTTAAAAATTTATTAAAGTACTTTATAAAAAGTATAAATTTAATAATAAATTTAATATAATTATTACTTTATACTAGTAGTTTTTTTTACTTTTAAAAAAATTATAGGTAAAAATACCTTTATATTATAAAATAAAGTATATTTTAACACCTGCAAGCGCTATTAAAAAAATAACTATAATATAATTTTAAAAGGTTTATTATAAAGTTTTAAATAAAATAAAGGTTAAAACCTTTATTTAAGTAATAATACTAAAAAATAATAATAATAATAGTAATAAAAATAAAAGTAGGAATAAAAATAATAGTTTTAAATTTAAAAATAGTAAATAAAACGCATTTTATTAAGGCGTTTTAAAAAAAGGCGTGTTTAATAAGTAATAGTAGAAAAAAAGGATAGCTTTAAAAAAAAATTACTAAAAAATATATATAATTATTATAGCAAGAAACCTTATAATTTTTTAAAATATTATTATTTAATATTAAAAAAATAATTATTAAGCTAGTAATTATTAAGCAAGATTTAGTGCTATAAGTTTATTAAGCTAATAAATTTAAATAATATTAAAAATAATTATAACAGCAAGCCTAGCACCGCCATAGTTTTTTAATAAACTTAAAATAAATATAATATAAATTTTAGTATATATAGTACTACGCTTTTTATTATATTAATAATATTAAAGTTTTATAATTAATAGCTTGTGGATACTAGCTTTAAAATTTTTATATATAATAATAAAAACCTTATAAAAAATTTTTATATTATTTAGCTCCCGCAGCACGTTTTTACTATATTAAATAATAAAAAAGTAATTTTTTAAAAAAAAGGTAAAATTAACCTATATATTTAGTTAAATAATAGTAAGGTTTTAATATTATAATTTAATTACCTATGGTTTTTTAAATTATTATATAATATTTTACTAGTAAAAAAAATTAAGATAAACCTAGGCCTTTGGTATAATAATAAATTATTAAAAATTTAATAAATTAAGAATAATAAGGTTATTTTTAAGGTTTATATTAATAAAGACATGCCTTGGTTAAGTAAACTAAATATTAATATTAATAAAAAAGCAAGCTTTAATATAGCTTTAATTTTAATAAGAGTTTAGTATAGGTAATTAGGCCATGTATTAATATTATAACTTAATAAAAACTATATATAGTTAAATAATAATAGTAAAAAAGATAAATATTAAAATAATAAAATAATTATAAATTACAAGATATGTAAACTAGCAAAGTTAAAAAAAAGGTTTTTAAAACTTTTTAGTAATAAGCTATAAAGCCTTTATAAATAATATATATTAATATTTAAATAGTAAAGCCTTAAAATATATAAAAATATAACTATACTTTATTAGTGCTTAATAATAACTTTAAGAATTATTTTTACTAGTTTTTATGCTGGAAAAATAAGGCAGCAAACGCGCTTATTTATATATATTTATAATAACTTAATATAAGCGGAGTATATATTATAAAAATAAAGAGTAATAATACTAGAAATTTTAATAATTATAAGGCCTAGTACTATTAAAATTAAATTAGTACTAAATTTAAAAAAACTTTAAGTTATATACTTAAAAAAATAAAAAAATTAAGTAATTTAGTAAATATATTATATAAATTACTTATAGTATAATAATAAATATAAAGTTACTAAAAAAGCTATAACTACTAGTAGTTAAATTTATATTATATATTTAAAATTAACTTATTTAAAAAGGTAAAATAAAGCTACTAGTAAAAAAATTTATAAAAGGCCTAGGGATACTAGTGCTAAATAATACTTTATTAAAGTATTTATAAATTTTTAAATATAATGCCTACGTTTATATCCCTGCGGAAATAAAAATAAAAGCTTTAAAAATAATATTTAAAATAAAAAAAAAACTTATAAAATATAAAAATTTTTATATTTATAAGGTGTACTTCCCGGAGTCCGGAAAAATTATTAAATTAAAAAATATTATATTTAAAAAAAAAATAATAGTAAAGTGTTTTTGCCTACTTTATTATATTTACTAGTTAATTTTAATAATAAAGGACCTAGTGGTTTAGTTAGTTTTAATAAGTAATTTAAAATATAAAATTTTAATAATAATAATTTATAAATAGCTAATAAAAGTAAAAAAATTATTATAACCAGGAGGGTCTAAATTTTATTCCTAGATTTAGTACTTTTAGCCCTAAAATTTATAAAATTTATATTAATAAAAAAAAAATTACTAAGCTATAAGGCTTAGCTAACATATTAATTAAGGCCACATGCTTAAGTATTTAATTAATAAATATTAAAAAAAAAGCACCTTTAGCAGCAAAAGTACTATTAAAAATTATAGTTATATAAAAAAAAACTTATATATGTACTAAAAAAAGAAAATACTCCTAGTATAAATTATATATAATTATTTAAAGAACTAACGGTTAAGAAAATAGTTAAAAAAGTTAAGAAAGTAAAAAAAAATATAAAAAAAAAATAAAAAAAATGCAAGCAAGTAAATTACTAAGTTTATTTATTTTTAATAATATACTAGTATTTTTACCATATAAAAAATAGGAGATATAGGCATAAAAGGTATTATAATTAATTAAAATAAAAAAAAATAAAGCAGTTCCGGAGCAAGAAGTTTTAAAAAACTTATTATTTTTAAAAATTAATAATAAAATATATATAGCCATGGCTTAACGCTTTAAGGCTAAAATATAGTATTATAAAAAAAAAACGCTTTTAATTTATAATAAAAGATTTAGGGCTAATTTTGCCTAGTAAAAAAGCTAATAAAAAATAATTTAAATTAATATACTTTATAAATAAGTAAGTAAAGTAATTAAAGCAAGAATAAAAATACTAAAATATTAAAAAAATAAAGTTAAAATTACTTAATTTATTAGCCTTACCTATACTACTAATTCTAGATGGCGTTTATTCTTTTAAAACCTATAAAATATTAATTTTAAATAATTATAAAAAGGTAATAAGATCTCCCTAAAAAAGTACTAAATTAAAGTAATAAATAAGTGAAATATTAAGCTAAAAAATATCCCTGCATAAAGATTAGTTCCCTAATTTTTAATTATTTAAAAAAAAGAATTATACCAGGAAAATAGGTTTTTAATATTAAAAAAAAAATAAAAAAAATAATATTAAAAAGTTTTATACCTACTAGGTTACATGTAATAACTTCTAGGTTAAAAATAATAACTTAAAAATATATACTTTAGTTATTATTAACACGCTAGTAAAAATTTATTTTATAATTATTTATAAAAAAGGCTATTATTATATTTAATTTAACATGGTAACTACCTATTTTAACTTTATAATAAAATAAAAAAAGGTTTTTATAAAATAACCTATAGGTTTAAAAAAAATCTTATTTACTTACTTTTTCGCGCCTTATAGAAATTAAAAAAAGTAGTATACCTTTAAAATAAAATATTTATAAATATATTAAAAAGTATAGGCCTTTAAAATATTAAAAAAAATTTATATTTTTTATTATACTTACAAGGGTAGTATTATAATTATTTATATAAATAATATTTTAGTGGCGGTGCTTATAAAAAAATTTATAAAAAGTTTTTAAAAAAGTTAGCTAAATACTTTAAATTTAAGATTTTTAAAAAATTAAAGCGGTTTTTAGAATATAATATTAATTTTATAAAAAAAAGATACTTATTTTTTAAAAGACTTATATTTAAAAAATCCTAAATTAATTAAACTTTAATAAATTAAACAGGCAGAGGATTTTAATAAATTTAAAATAAAAATACTTAATAAAGGTAGCTATTACTATATTTAAACTACTATAAAAAAATATTTTAAAGTATTAATAATTAATAAAAAAGCTTAACTAAATATGTAAAAAAATAAGATTAAATATTAAATATATTACTATAAAATTACTAAGGTATATTTTAAATTTTTAAAGTGCTAACTTTACCGCGGTTAAGCATATATTTTAATACCTTAAAAAGTATTAAAATCTTAGTATTTTCTTGGGTATAAATAATAAAATACTAGTTAAATATATAAATAATTTTTATACTAATTATAAAAAAAAAATTAATAAAGGTATATATATTTTATTTTTATAACATGCCTATTTTTTAAAGATTTATAAAGTAATTAATTATAGCTAAAAGTTTAACTTTAATAAAATTTATTATATTTAATATAATAATAAAAAAGGCTATTTAGCTTAAAAAGCTATATATAACTTTAAGGTTTAATATTAAAAAACCTATAATAATTTATATAAATTTAGTAAATATAATTATTAACTTAGGAAAACCGGGGTATACTTTAAAAATTAAATAAATAAATATTTAATACTTTTTAGTAAAAAATCTTGTTACTAAAAACCTTATAAAATTTAAAAAATTAATAAAATTAAAAACCCTGTAAATAGCCTAATAAAGGCATTAAATAAAATAAAGTTTTAAAGTTTTATTAAAATATTAAAGTTAGTAATAATAAATTTAGTATAAAAAATTAAAATTTTAGTTATTTAACTACCATGTTTTTATAATTTTTATATTTTTATAAGTTTTTTTTTATAGCTTTAGTATATTAATATTAAGGGGCCATGTTAAAGTAAAGGTTTAGTAAGTTATAAAAACTATTAAAAGCCTTTAGCTTAAATTAATTTTATTCCCCGTGCTTATTTTAAAAAGGCTAGTATTATTATATATTACTTTTTTTATTAAAAATTTTATATATAAATTATTTTTTAGCTAGATTTACTTATTATTTTATAATATTATTATTTATCTCGCAATATTTTTATTTTATCTCCATGAGTAGCTCCTCTGGCCTCTCCAACAGATGGCAACAATGCCACTGGCTGTATAACATGCGTTGTATTCAAAGCCGCCGGGGTATTCAATCTGTGCGAGACCTTAACCAGGCGTATCTTTCCATGCTTTATTTACTCTCGATACCTATACCCGCCATCCTAACTGCGCCCCTATTCGTTGTGTTTCCCGCACATCAATCTCACGCTAGCGGGCAAATCCCACCCTCACTCGGCATTCTGATAGCAGTAATCTATCAGTCAGCACCAGCAGAACTCAAGGATGAGTGTGTCAAGAAGCACAGACCGCTTGAGTGACATTCAGATTCGGCTGCGGAGGGCAGGATCGCTATCCCTGCTATCCTAGCCAATGAGCCCTCCACCAGCAGCACCAGGAAGGAAATATGTATCATTGATTGGCAAGGTCAAAGCACGTGGACTCATGCTGACAGGGGCATAGCTACATGATTGGTGACCTCGCGAAAGGCAACAAGCTAGCGCAGATACACCGTACCAAGGCGAAGTCTTGGAAAGGTACTCGCTGGCAGCCATTGTATAAATGTGCTTGGGTAGCCATCTGGTACCTGACAGACCCAAGGACCTCAAAAGCCCACAATGGCCGACCTGACTAAAATCCAAGGATTCGACCTCATCCAAGAAACCTACAAGTACGTCGGCGACCATGGCATTCGCGCCGATATCCTCGTCCCCCAGACAGATTACGAGGGCAAGAGACCTACCATTGCCCGGTTTCATGGGGGCGGACTAGTATGTCCCCTGTATCAACCCGGTGGAGCTAAAGCTGCTGACAATGGTACCGCCAGGTCATCGCCGACTCCCTGTACATGGACTGGTTCCCATACTGGCTCTCGGACCTCGCACTGGAGCACGAGGCCGTGATCGTCAGCGCAAATTACCGCCTGATGCCCGAGGCCACGGGTCTGGACATCTACAGCGACATCGTCGATTTCTGGACATGGCTGGAGTCGTCTACAGTATCCAACATCCTCGCAAACCACACGACACCTACCGAACTCGACCTCGCGCACCTCCTTGTTACCGGCGAGTCAGCCGGCGGACTGCTAAGCATCAACTCGGCGCTCCAGCTTGCGAACGGCCTTTTGTCGGGTATTATCCCTCGCGCTGCGATTGGGATGTATCCGACCGTCGACATGAAATCGACTGATTTCACGGAGCCGCGCACGGTTCCGCCGTTCGGGATGCATTTCAATGAGTCGGTTATTGATGACATGCTTGCGACGTTGCCCGCGGGACCGGTGTCTTCGACCTCGGGCGATTATCTCCCGCTTATGCTGGCAGCCATTGAGTATGGGTATCTGGGGAGTTGGTATGCGCGGGGCTTGGAGGGGACTTGTGAGCCGGAGGTGCTGTATCCGCTCGAGCAGTTGAGGAAGGGGGTTCGGATTCCTGAGGGGGGTATCACTGTTATCCAGGGGTTGGATGATACTGTTGTTCCACCGGACCATTCGGAGCCGTTTGTGAAACGACTGCGTGAGGTGACGAGAGGTCAGCCTGGGCATGGCAAGATTCAGTTCATCACTCATGAGGGTGAGCATGGGCTTGATGGGAATCTTCGGTATGCGGAGGAAAAGTGGTTGCAGGAGGCGTTGAAACCTGTTGTGAAGGCATGGCTTCACTGAAACAGGAAGTGTATTCTGGCTTGAAATTCAACATTCACCCACTTGCAATATTTGATTTAGCAGTACGGATTTAAGAAGGGTGAGCACATCTTAACCCTTTGTATCGGTGTATAAGTCGTGGATATAGCGTGGTTTTGACCGAGTTTCAACTTCTTAGCACAACGAGCCTACCTACATATTGTCAGACCCTAGGGTAGGGTTTAAAGAATGAAATATTACGTACATCAATTGTCTAGGAGCCCTATGGATCTATAGTACGCAGACTAGTGCCAACATTTAGTACCATACTTAATCAGACCTCCGCTCCCCACCATAATATGGCCTGTAGCCGTCCGAGTGCTAGTAACTACCCTGCTATCAAGCCAACACCTCTACTTGCGCTTATCGCTAGGGCTAGCGACATGAAGAAGGTAGGTTGTACTCTTACTGAGGAGAACAGCAACCCCAAAGGCATCAGAAAATGCCTGGTCTGACATTCTGTAATGAATGCCATCCGAAATTATGGCCTTCAGCAATTAGGTAGTGACCTCCATTAACTGCAACTGACCTGAACGCCTTGCCGCTATGGTTTGGTTCATTCTTACCGATTATCCAAGTTTCGGTGTATATTGTTGTCATGATAAGTACCATAGTTGAAGAGACCGGATCTCGAGAGATAAAAAGCAGTTGTGATCAGGCCATGATGACAGCGCAACGACATCTGGAACAGAAGTTGCTATCATCTAATAAACAACATATATCAAGCCTCCATAGTGACCTGGAGTTGCATGGATGGCTTGGCTGCGTGTATGGAACTGCCTCCGTCCCGCTGACCAGGTGAAAGCCTTGTCCGAAGAGGAAACCACCGCGAAGGTTCAGCTGGTGGTGCTTGGTCCGGAAATTATTCACCTAATGAATGCCATGATATGTAGCTCAAGTGCTATGGCGTGCTGTTATATCAAAGCAAATAAAAACCATAGTGCTGACAAAAGCATCTGGGATGGTCCGGGTAAAGGTCTGAGCCACTCAGCACAGCAGCCATCCATTAAGAAGTTCCTTTGTATCAAAACCTTTTTTTATCTCGAGATACTTTCTTTGAGCGGTATAACGTTAGTTTGTCCAAGGTTCGGCCCTGGGATGGTTGAAGGTGTTGCCTACCTATATAGCAGGTAGTCAAGGCATCATACACAAGACACCAAGGTATAGCGAGGGGGCCCTAAAGACAAATTTGCTGCAAGTAAACAATAGACCAAGCTTCACCGTGAAAATGGTATTGATAAACGCGAGCTGCTTTCAGACTCGTACTAAAATGGCATCATCGCCATCGATATTCCTCCACAGTTACCCCAGACCCAAGCCGCACCGAATAGATTAACCCCGACCACATGAGCCCACCCAGATATCCAAGACGTATCATCTGACGGTACGAACCCTGGTACACGCGGGGCCTAAGACCCTGAAACAACCAGAATGCAACAGGGGAAGACCCTCGGGATGAGCCTCCGCCCCTGGTGCTCGATCTCCGTTCCGAAACGGGAAATGCTGAAGAATCGACCCCGGACGTGCCAGGGTCAGTCTCCGTGGGGAAACCATGCTAGCTCTGCAGATTGACGGTTCTTCACTGCTATGTTTCATTATGGGGGGGTGGCATGGCCTCCTTCAGCCCCGGTTTTACGAGGTGTCTATCTAAGGGCACGAATCATTGGTCGGGCATAGGCCTTGGCTGGCTCTCAAGTATACTGGTCTTCTTAATCGTAACTGCCGTGGACCTTGGTATTGTAGTTTTGCAACCTTTCTGAGTTGCGCGTATGCCACCAGCACGACATCAGTTAATCTGGATAAACGGAGAACCGGGACGAGCCCCAGCTTGGTATACTGAACATTGCACATGAGAGTGCGAGGTATAAAAGCACCTCAAACCCCGAGCTTCTTCACGGCCACCAGACCCAACTCCCAAGACATATTCCACCCGGCCAAGTCACAATGAGACTCTCGACTGTCCTCATCCCATTCCTGTCCGCGACGACTCAAGTCTCCGCCCACGGGTACGTCTCCAACATCGTCATCAACGGCCTCTCGTACCGCGGCTGGTGGCCCGGCCAAGACCCCTACACCTCCACGCCCCCCATCGGCGTCGGCTGGAAAACACCCAACCTGAGCAACGGCTTCGTGACGCCCGAGGAAGCCTCCACCGACGCAATTATCTGCCACAAGGAGGCGACGCCGGCGGATGGCCATGCGACCGTTGCTGCTGGCGATAAGATCTATATCCAGTGGCAGCCTGTGCCGTGGCCGGAGAGTCACCATGGTGCGTCCTGTCCTTTTGCTTCCTACCTTGAGGTTAGCTGCCGCTGATACGGTGGTGTAGGACCCGTCCTCGACTACCTAGCCCCCTGCAACGGCCCCTGCCAGGACGTCGACAAGACCAGTCTCGAGTTCTTCAAGATCTCCGGACCGGGCCTGATCGACGGGTCCTCGCCGCCAGGCTACTGGGCGGACGACGAGCTGATCGCGAACGGAAACGGGTGGCTTGTGCAGATTCCATCGAGTATCAAACCAGGCCACTATGTGCTCCGCCATGAGATCATCGCGCTGCACGGCGCCGGCGGCGTCAACGGCGCGCAGCTCTACCCGCAGTGCTTTAATATCCTTGTTACGGGGTCTGGGAGTGCGGAGCCTGCTGGGACCCCCGCGACGGAGTTTTATACGCCCACTGATCCGGGGATCTTGATTAATATCTATCAGGTCCTTTCGAGTTATGTTGTCCCGGGTCCGGCGCTTATCCCGCAGGCGACGGAGATTGTGCAGGCTTCGAGTGCGATTACGGCCAGTGGGACGCCGACGCCGGCGTAGGAGGCAACAACGATCAAGCAGTTGTTTTTGACGCGAGTAAGTCGGGCTGGGCTGTGTTGACCGGCTGGCTAGGGCTAGGACGGGTATTCGCTGGTCGCTGGTTGCTTGTTAGCAAGGGCTGTCCTGTCTACTGTTAATGTATGGCTGGTCTTGTGCAATTGCTCGCGAGGTAGCAAATCATTGGCTTCAATCTCATATGTCTCTGCCTCCATTTACTTGTTCAAGTGCAGTCTTCCATAGGTCAAGTTGTAGGATGTATATCCTGACGTCACATTCACGTGGTGGTCGACGACCCCGAGTATACAGCCTGTCATTCCTCTCTCAACACCTCGCCCCAGTGTCAATTCCGGAGAAGCCAACATGCAGCACATCACAATAGATCCCAGGAAGGTCCAGCCGCCGACCCGCGATGGCGGACTAAATGACCTACCTGAGCACCTACCGACACCCAAAGCCACCAACACGCATCCTGTCAAGCCTGGCGGGGAGAATGCGTCGATCTACTTTGTGGGGACTGCTACCACGATCATGTACGCTTGGAACCCCCATCTCATAGGTAGTTGGCATACTAACCCTGTGCAGAGAATGGCAAGGCGTGCGCATTATGACCGATGTATGAATCCCACCTACTGAGCTACTGTACAATTTGGCGGCATGACTGATAAAGCCAGCCAAACTTCCTCCACGCCGGCGACCACGTCCACCTCGGTCCGGGCGTCTCATCCCAGCGCAAGACGAATCCAGCGGTGGACCTGCACGAGCTACCCCGGATTGACCTGGTGCTGCTATCGCACTATCACGGGTATGCCCTCAACCCATATGGTATCATCTATGTCAGTACTAACTGCTGCCAGCGACCACTTCGACCAACACGTCGAAGCCTCTCTCCGCCGGAACCTCCCCATCGTGACGACCAGCCACGCGAAGAAGATCCTCACTTCCAAAGGGCCCGACTCCTTCACAGCCATCTACGACCTCGAGCCGTTCCAGCAGATGATGATCAATATCGAGTCTGACCCTGGGAACGATGCGTCGCCGAGTCTCCGCGTCACCGGTATGCCGGGGAAGCATGTCCCCGTTGTGAAACCAATCGAGAAGCTGAATGAGTTTGTTGGCGCTGTACGTCCACTCTCTTCCCAAGTTCGTCTGGTTAATAGAAAGTAGATCCCCCCAACAAACGGCTGGATGCTGGAACTCGGGCACGGCAAAGACGCCTCCTCGTTTAAACCCGGGTACAGAATCTACATATCCGGCGACACGCTGATGGTCGACGACCTGAAGGAGATACCGAAGCGCTACGGCGAGCATAACATCGACCTCATGCTCATCCATCTAGGCGGGACGACCGTCCCCTCGCCCTCTCTCTCCCCGTTCACGCTGATGGTGACGATGGACGCGAAGCAGGGGGTTGAGCTGATGCGGCTGGTTAAGCCGGACGTTACGATTCCGGTGCATTATGATGACTATGATGTGTTTGCGAGCCCGCTGGGGGATTTTAAGGAGATTGTTGAGAGGGAGGGGCTGGGCGGGGTGGTGTATCTGGATCGGGGGGAGGAGTATCGGTTTGCTGTGAGACAGTAGGGCCATACTTTACAGTCCAGTAATTAGGTAGATTGATTCTAGTCAGATTATTCAGTCTTCGTAAGGCTGCATCCCTACATGCATGGTATGGTAAGTGGAGGGCGCCGCGGTGTAATCATGACGTCGTCGCCACACGGCCGATCAGCGAATGTCACAACCCTGGAAAAGGCAGCCCATCCCGCCAATAGAACCTGCAGGACGGGTCAGGATGGGAGTGAGGTTATTCAGGGTTCGCTGCCGACCTGTCAAGGGTCTGGCCCGTCCTGGTTCTGGTTCGCGGTGGTTGTTTCACATGGCTGATCGTCCCTGCTTCGACAATCTTCACTGATCAACGCGTCAGGTATTGACACCAGACCGACTTTCAAGATCCCACCGGTATTTAACGCCTTGCTCCACGTTGGAGTCAAAAAAATCCATTTTCCTCTGCATGCTGTGATTCTGTTCTCTGCCCAGCATTATCTCCGATAGATTTACAGTATGATCCTCGACCCGCTGGCCCTATCCCTATCGAAATTTCACGACTGACTCGTTGGACAGACATTTTAACCAAATCAACAGCATCATACCAGTATCAGCTCCAACTTCGCAAAATGACCACCCTCCACCCCCCAAAACACGCGCACCCCTCCTCCTCCACAACCCAAGTCCCAACCGTCCACACCCTCCAATATTTCAAACGCTCATTATCCTACACAATCGCCGAGTCGCCGATCGACCAGCACGAGCACGGCCCCGACCCCTCGCACACGACCCTGCAGGCCAAATCCCCGGTCGGCCAGAAACTCGACGAAGCAGGCTGCAACCAGATGATGAAGGCTTCCCTTACGGGACTGCTGAACTGCCAAGAGGTTAAGAACGAGGCGAGAGAACGGAAGGTGCAGAATATGCTTATGGATACGGAGAGGGATCTTCGGCGGGCTAGGAGGGCGAGTTTAAAGATGGGGGGTGCGCTGGGGAAGAAGGGCTCTACTGCCACCGCCACCGCCACTCCGGATATCACTGCAGCTCTCAAAACTGGCGACGGGAATAAGGGCGATAAGTGAGAGGCTGGTCTGGTCTAGTTCGCATGCCGTTCGAATATGACAATGGAACTTGGAAGCTAGATTCGGATCTTACAACTTTGCGCAAGGGTGAAGCATACGATGGGATATCTCCCACCACGCCCGCGAGCGGAATACTCTTGCCCGATGAAGAACGGAGGATATCCCACGACAACCCGTCCATCGCAGTTCAAGCGATCGCGTCATTCTCACTCTGTTGTTGATCATGGCTGGGAATATCAACTTGCTGTGCTGCACGGCGCGCCAGGGCACCATCCCGCCACTCAACCAACCCGTCCTCCGTGTGCAGCAACGCTCGCTAGCCCAGTCAGTCCATCCATAGCTTCTAGAACAATCTCAAGCTCATTGAATATTTAAGGTGCTTTTGCAATCCATATGTAGACATGACGTCCCTATGACACGGCGTCTGATTGGTGCAGACGGCATTACTTCGCCATGAAGTCATCCATGCCACTATAAAAGACTTTATAGCTACCCTGAAGCTTCACGTTCTCTGAAAATATACTCTATTTCGCAAGGTTTCATATTGTTATAATGGTTCTCCGCACTATCACCACCCGCCGCACCGCGCCCGTCCTCTCCCGCTCCCGTCTCCAGCTTGTGAGCCGTACGTCCTCCCCCCATAACCCAATGCCGATGCTAATAAGTGTAGACATCCCCCGCCGCTTCGCCGCAACGAAAGAATCCTCCCCCGGCCACAGCAGCAACGCCAAGAACCCCCTCTCCAGCGGCGGCGCATCGCAAAGCATAAACCTCTCTCGCGGGAAAGAAGCCCGGTCGTCTGATATGGCCGATACACGGAGCGTGCAGTCTCCCATCTCGAGTTCGGATGGTCCGACTTCTGAGGCGCATGCGGGCGAGGAGCAGACAGAGGCGGATAGCTTGATCAAGAATGATCCGGCCAAGTCCGGGGCGGAGAAGAGGGCGAATGTTGAGAGGGCGGGGAGGAGGAAGTTGGGGCCTGAGGATGATCAGTGAGGCTTCTTTTGTATTACTATTACTGTGCTTTTGGTGGCTTAGATGAGGTTTAGATTGCTATATGTTATGATGACTCTGTTTTCGTATCGTCTTCAGTTGGAGGCCTTGGTAGGACGTCCAGTGCCCACTGGTGCAGCTTGTTGTTTGCGATATCCCAAGGCGTATACCCCGTACTGTTCCGCTGTGTAGCTAGCCCAGGAGCGTTCGCGAGGAACACCTCTATCGTCCTCTGGTGTTCAATGACCCAATAGTTCTCGTGAGGCCTGATGATGTGACCATTAAGGGCAGTCGGACCCTCGTGCTGCACCAATAGATGCAGAACATTATTCCCGTCGTTATCAAGAGCAGTAATATCAGCACCTCGTTCAACCAACGTCATCGCGCGAGTAGGATCGCCCTTGCTATAGGGGGCCGGGACAATGCGCGTGTTCAACTCGGGATAGAGACCAATCTCATACGCATACGAGTCCGTCCCCGTCGTCGAGCAGGCAGCAGCAAGGAGCAACGTGCGCCCATTCGCATCCCGCGCCTCAAGATCCAGCCCCTCGATCTCAAGGAACGGCTGCATAATCCCGCCTGAACTAACCACCAAATGCAGAATCGGGCTTTCCCCATCGCAAATCAGGAACGGGTCCGCGCCGCGGCGGAGAAGGTGCTGGATCATGCGCACGGCGTGCTCGCGGGCGTGCCCGTCGTTCCAGATCTCCATGGCCATGTACTGGAGCGGGTGGAGAGCGTAGTTGGGCATGTTGGGCACTTTGCGCACGCGGTGGGTGTGCCAGTGTGGCTGGGCGTCGGAGAGGACGGTCGTGTTGCAGTCGATGCCCAGGTCCAGGAATGTGCTCAGCACCTTCTCGTTCAAGGAGCCGAGGGCGGAGAAAAGCTCCATTGGGTGGTTGTCCGACGGGCGGGCGCCATGGGCAAGGAGGAGCTTGACCAGCTCGGCGTCGTGCGCGGCCATAGACAACGCTGTCCATCCGCAGTGGGCTGGGATGTTAGGGTCTGCTCCCCCTTCAAGCAGGGTTCGCGCGATGTCCAGCTGTCCGTACCCGCTGGAGTGGCTGTACGAGACAGCAATGCACAGCGGGGTTTTGCCCTGCTTGTCGCGGGCGTTGGGATCGGCGCCGTGCTCGAGCAGATACTTGATTGCGCCAGGATGCCACCAGTGTCCTCCTTGTGCGAGATGGTGAAGGACCGTATCACCTGGTTTATATTGTCGGGCCGCATCGATCTTCGAGGAGAAGAAGATCTCCGGCTTCATCTTCAGGCCTTCGGTGAAGATAATGTCCACATCAGCATGGAACTTCTCCACAATCACCTTGATGACTTCGAGATTAGGCAGCTCTCTCTGTGCGGCAGCGAGAAGATACGGGATGAGCTTTCCACTCAAAAACGCAGACCCGCCGTTGATCCAGTTCGAATCTCCCATGAGGCTCCCGATGCGTGCGAACAGGTCGTGGTACCCGTATCTAGCCAGCAGCAGCATCAGCTCCGCCGGTCCTTGCTCTCGCATGCGGTCCACATTTCGTTCCAGAGCCCCAACCAGCTCCTCGGAGTGGCCATTCAGTACCAGCTTCACCATGGCATGGTGCCCTAGATAGCCGCCGCGCAGCTTCTCGTCCAAATACGCGGGCAAATGCTGCGACTTCATCGTCAGGTACTCGAAGTCGAACTCTCTGCGGTACTTCAAATCCCATACTCCTTCGTCATCTAGCCGTTTCAATTCCACAGCCATCTCTGCGGATCCGCTCCGTCTCGCAGCGCCCATGATGTTGTGGCTGAACTTCCGGCCAGGGTCAAGTTTTGCTCCGTGCATCGCTAGCAGGCGAACAATCGGCCCAATGCAGACCGTATCGTGCTCGGACGGTATCTCGTGTAAACTGCCCTTCTTCTTTATCTTCGATCCCGACTTATCCGGCTGGTACGGTCTGGCTTCATCATCGCGTAGTACTCCGCCAGTTTTCAGAGTGTGGAACAGATTTCCCGGGTCCTCGGTGAACGGCCACAGTTTCTTCTCATCGGCGAACTCAGCGCACGCGTTCAACACTCGCTTCTTCTTGTTATCCTCGGCATTGACATCAGCGCCGGCGTTGAGTAGCAGGGTGACCGTCTCCAAGCGACCGGACCGACACGCATCGTGCAGCGGCGTGCGACCCAGCTTGCAGCGTGTGTTGACCAAAGATAGCTGCCCGATCTGCTTGTAGTGCTCCATCAACAGCCCGACGACATTGCTCTGCCGTGCTCTAGACGCGATATGGAGCAGGTTCAACCCTTCTTTGGTGCTTAGCGTTGCGTCCGCCCCTCGGGCCATGAGCTTAGCGACCAGTGTTTCAGACACGGTGGCTGCGAAGTGGATTGGAGTCACCCCATCATGGTCAGGAGTGTTGATTCCCTGCTCAAGGCCCCAGTCCAGCAGTAGGTCGACGCCAGTGATGCGCGGGACAGCAGTGGGCATGAAGTAGAGTTGCGACGCTTGCCTGCACAGCATATGCAGGGGTGTCTGGCCTTTGTAGTTTCTGATCGTCGGTGACATCCCCCTGTCAAGGAGCTCTTTCATCGCAATCACACCTGAATCGCCAGAAATCGTGGCCAGGTTCGCCGCTAAGTAGTGTAGAACGGTATTGCCCTTGTTGTTCGGCAAAGCGGGATCGGCGCCGAGGGCAATGAACGTCTTCAGATGATGGGAGCCGAAGAGATACGGCCTGATCGTGTAATGCAAGATGCCATTCCCGTTGTGGTCGCGACAGTTCAGGTTTGCGCCCCGCGAGATGAAGATGGGAAGGGCTTCAGTCAAGTAGGTTCGCGCACGTGGCGATAGAAGCCGGGCCAAAGGGGTGCGACCTTGATTGTCCTTTGCCTCGAGGTCGGCGCCTGCTTCAAGTAAAGTGTCGAGGACCTCTCCGAGACTACTCGCTGGCACGTCAAGTAGGTGAAGTGGCGTACACCCTTCGTTGTTTCTATGGTTTGGATCAAGTCCTAGCTTCATAAGCTCCGTGAGAGTCACCAGCCCGGGACTCTGGCCCTGCGCTGCCGCGTGAAGCAGAGTATTTCCGTTGGCGTCCATCAGACCCCAGTCCGAGACGTAGGGGTGGAAGAGAGAGAGGTCGCCGAGGGCATTGTTTTTTGCATACACATGCAGAGGGGTAAGTCCGTCCTTTTCTCGGATACTGTCCAGTCGCGCGCCATGCTGCATGAGCACCTTAAACGTGTCGGGGTGTTTGGCGAGGCGCCAGAAGATGTGCATTGGCGTTGAACCGTCGTCTAATTTTGCGTTGGGGTCTGCGCCATGTTCAATCAAGAAGTCTGCAATCTTGAGTCCATCTCGCAGACAAAAGTGCAATACCGTCCATCCTTGCCGATCTACGGCATTGATGTCGCATCCTGCTTCAAGTAGCAAGAAGGCGCAGCACTTGAGTCTCTCCAAGTGGTCGTTGTCGTCCTCGCCCGGTCGGCGACGGTGCTCTACCAGAGCCAAAAGCGGAGTCGCGCCCGGCCTGTCTTTTGGCCCAATGTTAGGATCTGCTCCGCGCTCGAGCAGGAGCTGGATAATGTCAGGCTCGCCGTTGCGAGCGGCCAAGAAGAGCGGAGTTCCGTCTTGAAGTGTAGCATCAATGTCTGCGCCAGGAACATCCAGTAGCTCGAGGATGATGTCGATATGGCCCTTTTTGCATGCCAGACACAGAGCCGTATTCAGGTCATCCTTTTGGGCAGTTCTGGCTGTGGTCCTCACGGCATCGAGGTCCCCGGATTCGCAGGCTGCCTGGAGGGCGGTCTTGGGCTCCGGATTGGGGGTTTCGCGGGGTGGACCGCCGAGCATGTCCAGGAAATCGAACATGGTGTTATAAATATTTAAAAGGGAAGAAGTTTAGAATCTGAGAAGGAACGGTGGAGAAATTTGTAGGGGATCGCAGTGGGGACCGATCTAGGCTGCAGGGGCCTGGGCCCCGGCCCTGCGTGGTGCCTGCCCTGCTAGGCACGAAGGGTCTGCCTGCTTTACAACAAAGAATCTCGGAAATTACACACTTGGCAGTTATATCACCGGCAAAGATGGTCTGTCTGCTCAGGCATCCTGTTGCATTATGCCCAGTTCTTCAGTTCGATCCCTGGAACCCGTCACTTTGTCGAGTTTTCGACTGAACTGACTTAACCCCTTCCATTTGGAGGGATTGGTTGGAAGTTCAATAAAGGAAACTGTACAGTGACTAGTGGTGACATTTGTTAGCATGCAGCTGGATCGGAAACTAATTGGCTGTAAGCCTGTCCTTATACTCGAACACCAGGGCCGTCATAAAATATATAATCACAGAATTCTTGGTTTGGAGGATGAGGATTATCCATAGTTATTTTTACCACTCGCAAATGAAAATAAGAGTCCTTACACTCCACCTGCCACTATATTGGATTCCTATCATGCGAAATTGTTCACGAGTGGCCTCTCTTAGCATGGTCCGATCGGATACCCGGGCGCCTCTACCAGGGCACAGTGACATTAATTTAATGCCCAAACATGCCTCTTCTGGTTAGTGTTGATGAACATAAACTCTAAGAGACTACTATAGTAGGAATGTTTCAAAGGACCGGTTCGCGTCAAGACAAAACAGCCTAACATGGTGATCCAGCTATTAAGGTTGCTCAACCGCAAAGATGATATCCGTCACCAGTATTCTATACCACAGATATCCATTCCCCCTCCTTAGCTGCGGTACTATCATTCAACAGGACCGATGTCAGGACAGTTGGGACTCACATTAGACACAATTAAGGATACCAATGAGCGATAAGCTGTCTAAGCCATACGCTCATTATGCGTAGTCTGGATATTGGGCTTGGCATTCAAAAAGCACACAGCCATTGAGACTTCTGCAACTATTACTAGGTACCTCCATAGTGAATTGGAAAGATGGGCTTCACCTTGACTTGATCCTGTGAAGCACATTCACTCCCACCTTGAAAGTGCCTGGCAATGTGGATCAAAGGACCAATTCAGACAAAGACCCGAGTATAAGGACCGTTGTTCTCTTTCCCCAATTATGCCGTCTACACTCGGCATCTGGTCCCCTTTGTGCCGTTTGTTCTCTGACCCAACAATGGCATAGAGCGAGATAAACATAAATAGCCCCTATAGATCAATCGTATTTCCAGGTAAGGAAGCACATCATCAGACTCGGTTTAGGTCTTCACAATCTAATACCAAACAGACAAGCCATCCATCCAAAATCACCCTCACAATGTCTACCCCCACAAATCTTACCGTCCTGCAGGAAGCCCACAAGCACTGGGAAGGCCTCGAACTAAACGCCATCCCCGAACTCCACGGCGACCCGAGTGACAATACATTCCACGCCGCCCTCCTCGCCCGCAGTCTCGCGCTCTCCGTCGCAGCAACCGGGTGCAACACCTTCTCCGTCGAGATCGCCTTCTGGATCCCAACGTCCACATGGCGCGTAGCGCTCACCGCAAAAGAACCCATCGCGTCAGAGCTCGGCGAAACCTGGATGGACGAGGTAGCAGCCAAGTTCACAACCCACGCACAAATCAAGTCCGTATCCGTCGAACGCCGCAGTATCGATGACCCGCCCTTCGACGACGCAGAAGACTGGGTGAAAGACATGGGGCCTGACGGGAAGGAGCTCTGGGCACATGCGACCTGGTTCACCTGTTTCCGCGGCATACCGTTCCTGCTGAAGCGGGATGGACACACGATTTGGCGGGATATGAACGCGTTCATTGACCTCAGGGCGCATGATAGTTCGGTCAAGGGCGTGTATTTGGGCTCGAAGCGCCTTGCGCCTGGGAGGACGGACCACAGGAGCTATCTGCTTAAGGTGTTGAGTTTCATGACCGATATCAAGCCTCCTGCTGCAACGACTAGTCCCGGCAAACAAGTGCGTCTGGGCAGAGCCCCGGGTGCGGGGAAGCTGCCGAGTATTAACGAGGTCCCCTGTGACGACCTGTATTCGGCGCTTGCAAAGGGCATTGGAGAGCTGGAGCTTGAGAAACTTGAGAGACAGCCCCCGCGGGAGGTTAAGGTTCGGTTTGCTGAGGGGACGAAGAGAGAGTGATTGCTTTTCTTTCTTTCTGCAGCCGTTTTTTCTTTTGTCTTAGATGTTGTGATAATACAGAATATACTTTATTTAATATTTCCCTTTTTCCCACGTTGTGGTTTCAATCCATTGGTCCTATTGCTTACTACAAGCGCTTTACGCACGTAGACCTGTATCATTATTTGTTCGATCTATATCCGGAGTCTTGAGTACTCGTAGCGGGTATTGTACGCTTTCTCGCCTTGAATAAGTTCATCCTGTGCTTGTATCTATGCCATAAAGAATTCATTAAGATCAGCAAATTTGTCCAGCCAAAATTTCAACAAGAACGCGTTTTATTGGAGAGGTGGAAGCATTATTTCTGAATCAAGGGCTGCATTCGAAAGAATTTCCAACAACTACCTACGTAACCCCCGGACATCTAGAAATGAGCACCATCCATGGCGCACACAATTGGATACTCAGCTAATACAACGATTTGCCAACTAGTTCCCGTTGCAAGTATAATTAGTGTCTGGAAACTGCTCGGCAAAATGCGAGTCAATAGGAACCTGGTATCAATCATTGCTCGCCATGTAGGCTCTGTGTTTTTCTTACTTTTCTCTGCAGACCGTTATTCTTTGGGGTGCCCTTGTTCACCGTTGGGAATAAAACACTATTTGTTCTGTAACTTCTGCTATCTTTGTCTCCATGACCCCTAATTGTTCTTTATGCACCATCTGGGAACAATACTCCATGTGTCTTAGACCTTCTGCTACCTCTTGTCTGCATGGCCCTTACTTACGGGTTTCTTTGTGCTGTTATTAATTGTCAATAAACCATTATGCCATTTGTTGTATAGAGACCTTTGTCTTAAAGAAGGGTCAGTCATTAGAAAGGCCTTCAAGCTTTGTTTGGAGGGAACATAAATACCTGGGAATCGTCCCGTGTAGATGAACGATCCAGATACTCGAGTCCATCCACTGCATCTACAAGGTGCACGAACTCATCTCAACCCAACCCAACCAACCCAACCACCATTCCATCCCAACCATCCAACATGTCTACCACCACCCAATTCACCATGTCCCAATGGACCGGCATCGAAATCGTCGCCAACCTCAAAGACCTCCCATCCAACAGAACCGAAGCCAAAGCCGCCGTCTGCCAGATAATCCGGTACTACACCCTCAAGATCGTCGCCGCAACCGGCTGCAACACATTCCTCATCACAATCGGCTACTACAAACCAACAAAAACATGGCGTCTGAACCTCAAGGCCCGCGAGCTCCTCGTCACCGAACTCGGCGATACATGGCAGGGCGAGATCACCGCCCGCCTACGCGGCAGCAAGTGGATTGACGTGGACTCCATCCGCACCCGCGACATCCACGCCCCGCGCTTCGCTGATGCGGATGAGTGGAAGCACCTCGCGGACAAGAGGGGGAACTGGCGCGGGGTCTCGAACTTCACGTATTACCGCGGGGTTCCTTTTCTCCTAATGAAGAACGGGACCCTCTATACAAATGAGGCGACCAGGCTTGGTGAGCTGCGGATGGAGAAGCTCGCGGATGATATCCAGGGCGTTGGACTCACGCCCATGCGGCTCTGGGATGGGCGGACTGACAGCGCTAGCAGTTTGTTGCACGTCATGGAGAAGCTCTCGCCTAGGAACCGGGAGGAGCGCGAGGCCAGGGCGGAGGAGGCCAGGAGGCTGAACCGCATTGCCCATGGTGGTAGTGGTTCTAGTGGTGAGGACAGTGACTCTGACAGCAGGAGTGTTCATTGGGAACACCCAGGGCTGTGAGGATGCTATTCACCCAGCTATTGTCTTTCACTTTCCTTGTGAATGGGTTATCAAAGGCGTCTCCTGAATATTAACCCAATGTCTTTATATACCCTTTATGGCCGTGTGCCTTTCTTACACTCATTATTACTTTATCCATTTTTTCTAGTTGCAAAACAAACCAATCTACTCTTCTACTTCCCAAACGTACCCCTTCTTACAAATATTATACCAATCTCCCACCTGAATAAACTATATTCAATCAGTCGATGCCTCCGGTACAGACGTCCATAACACCCTGGCACCCCCATTACCCTTCAACACTGAATCGTACCCTTCCAAGTCCACCTACCACAAAAATGTCCACCACACTCTGGATGGGCCTGCGCCTCACAGCAAAAGTCTCAAAATTCCAAGCCGCCAACGGCGACCGTTTCCCAGCTAAGCAAGGCAACGCCCAAGACGCCGCCTGGCTAGCCCGGCACTTCCTGAAGATCATCGCAGACGCCGACTTCCTCACCTACGGCGCAATGATCGGGCACAGTCCCGGGCTAAAGCAATGGCGCGTTGTGCTCGACGCATTTGAGCCGGACGGCAAGGGTGTCAAAACCGATTTGACCGTTCGTCTGGTGGAGAAGTTGAAGAGGGGCTGGTACCTGGCGCACCACACTGTGCACACGCTGTGGGGGACTCAGCATGAACTGGAGCGGGATAATGAGGTTGGATGGGAGGACCATGATGACTGGAAGCATCGGACGGCGTTCATGGCGTACCGTGGTGTTCCCTTTATCCTGCAGGTTGATGGAGAGCTTTGGGAGGAGAATTTGCTTGAGCTGAGTGCTCTGCTTCAACGCGACTGCAAAGAGCAGGCGGAAAAATTGAAAAAGGACGCGGAGTCTTGGGATACCATTGCAAGCGCGACAAGTTGGGAGAAGCCACTCGAGAAAAAGCATCGTAAGGCATTAGCAGACGCCCTAGAAAAGATGGCACCCGCCGCGAGCGTCGGACGGACGGAGTCTTCTGGACGTCCTGAGAGAAAGGTGCGCTTTGCGGAGGAGAAAAACGAAGCTTATAGCCCTGTTACTAGCGATGATGGAAAGCAAGTCGCGGAGCAAAGTGCTGATGGTGGCGGGTCCGTTGCTGGTGTGATGCTGCGTAGAATTGGACTGTTTCGCAATAACTCTTTCTAAGTGCAGTGGAGATTGATCGTTGGCCCTCTATGTTCGTCTTTATAAAGCCTGGTTAACGTTTCTTTTGGTGTCATGGTATTTACAATGCATTGGTGATGTTGCGTCATTCATTAACTCAATACAATGCCTGTCGAGGCCCTCTAAATTTGAGTTCCACTCTATACCCTAACAAACATCTGTAGAAACTTATACAGTATACGTAAATAGCGAATGGCAAGTATCACCGCGACTAGTTGCCAGGGCAGTAAAACCAGTCTTCCTCAGCGAAGGGCATGATCAGATGCTTCGTTGCGTGATACTGGCACCCGGTATCAAATCTAAAACCTTTTCTATCCCCTGGTAGGTTTTGTCATAATATATAATGCTGATGGTACAATACCTTCCAAGGTTGGTATGCGTATAAGCCATTAAAACGGCTAAAAGAAGCAAGAGCCAAAGGTTTGATATTAAACTATGGTACACTTGTCACTGTCCTAAATCTTCAAGCGTAAAGGCTGGGTAATCTTGGACCCCCCAACTGGTTGCTGCTATGCCCCCTCAATTATGGACTTCCTCGAGTCTCCTTGCTCGGCACTCTATGCCCTGGTCATTAATGGACCACTTTGGTTAGGTAGTACCCGACACGCCGTGCCTGGGTATCTGAAGAAATCCCCCTCTAGCCGTCATTGACAAGGATTTCTTATTCCAGTGGCAATACAATACCCTCTGTGTATGTTATTGACGCTGCTTTTTGCATGGGGACCCAAGGCAATTGTTCATCTCTATCGAATGGCATCCGAGTTACTTTCAAGATGTCTTCATACCTCATGTTATTGCCAGTCTCCAGCATAGAGCCTATAGAGTTCCAGTGGAAGAAGACCTTGGCAATCTGCTATATTGCATTTTGATCTTGTGATATTTGGAGGAATGGTTAGGTTCCTCGCAGACCGCAGCCATGATGGTCAATTTGCAAGGCATTGTCCCTTTGATACGAAGAAAGACTCTGTGTCTTTCAGCCTGAATACAGTATCCAACGCATCGCAATATAGAGAACCATATTCTACTACACCAATATGGTTTCCCTTGAGGCTTGTCTTCTGGTGAGGGCCACTTCTTTGATTGCCTCTACACAGACTGTATTGTCATTATGCTTCACATATGAAGCCGGCTTTGTCCGGTCAACATCGCTGTCATGGAGGGCCTTTGTTCCTCGTTATTATGACATAAAGCCTTTCTTCAAAACTCCTGTCCCAGTCAGGACACTATCTTTGATCATTGATGTATTCCTTTGTTCTTTGTATTCTACCCAAGACTCATACTTCGAATGTCATACGATTTCCTTTGTTTTCAGAATCTGTACAAAGCCACGTTTGTCTAATTATCTCTTCTGTTCTAAGAGCGTTCCACATTGTTATAATACAAACCCTTTGTCTGCACAAGACATAAAACAACGCATCTCGCCCCCCCATTCGAAACATCATCAACACTTCCTCGAGTCATCAGCTGGAACATCTCCAGCCCCGAACTCGATCTCAGGAAATCATGTCTATCAAAGCTGTCACCATGTCCACCCTCAATTCCACCAATATGACCAACGAGCAGACAGGCATCGCCCTTGTCGGCATCGCCACCGGCTTCACCAGCGCCGCAAATGACAGCGCCCACGCCGCCGCATACCTCGTCCGCTGCCTCGTGAAGACCGTCCTCAGCACCGGCTGCAACATCTGCAACGTCCACGTGGCTTTCCACGTGCCAACCAGCAACTGGCTCGTGTCCCTCGCTGCCACGGCATCCGCCGACAGCGAGGTCCCCGTTGACGCCGACTGGACTAGCACGATCGAGGCGAAGTTCAGGGGGAACCAGTATATTGCCGCTGAGTCCGTCCGCCGGTTGCAGTCTGAGGTGGGAACCAAGCAGGTTCTCCACCAGGACTGGCAGGATAGGCTAAAGTGGGAGCGCGGGACGCTGGTCTTCTTTCACCTGGGCGAGCCGTTTTTCCTTGAACGCCTGGGTAATGTTGATTTCAAGGAGCTTAGTGTGTTTAACTACATTGTCCCTGAGACTATTCCCAACCAGCGGAATTGGAGGGACCCTAAGACTAAGATTGATCTAACGGGGTTGCTTGATAAGATTTCTCCCCGGCTGTAATTGGCGCACTGGCCTTGGTCAGCGGTTGAAGTTGGCCGAGTAAGTGTCTCTTTCTTTTTTCTTTTATCTATATCATATCTACTGTCGCTACAGAAATAATACTATACTTCTGATAACATTTCCTGGAAACTCCTACTCTAACTGTGAAAGCCTTATCCTTGTAAACGAGTCTTGATACGCTTGACAACACGAGCCGCCTGATAGGTTTCTTATAAACAGAACATGATTACCTTCTTCAAATACCGCTGCTTCCAACCTGGCTTTAAGCCCCCAATTGCTTGCACTCTTTGCTTCTGGAGCATCTCCAAGTCATGTAGTGCATTAACTCCAAGTACCTGGCTAATAGACGCTCCACATCGAGTGCTCGAGGACGCGCAAGGAGGAGAAGGCGAGGAACACGACTATACTCCTCAGTCAGGCGTCCATTCTGATGTAAAATTCTGTTTCCGGCCTTTAACATTTCAGTAGAACCTTCATTACAGTTGTCCAATCAGGGCCAACATACTTCACACAGTCCTGTAAGAAAATGCGGTTCTTTACGCCCCCAATGCATTGTCTCATCATCCTCATTGTATCATGAAAGACGCGATTTCCAAAGCAGTCTTGTGCAGTTGATTGTCCTATCACGCAAGGCTTTGTCTCATTGTATGCGGCGCCCACAAAGCCTTTATGCACGCGTTCTATAAGAGGGGCTTCCTCAACCGTGCTTTTCAAACCAGCCAGACCATCGCCTCAGACAGTGCTATCAGTATCAGCTCCCGTCTACTAACCCATTCACGTACAAGATCCCGACTCTCCACCCAAGTACACAACACAGTCCGACAATATGAGCACCATGTACACCCCCCAGTCTTCCAAGGTACCAGACCAGAAAACAACGGGTATCTCCCTAACAGCCCCAGTCTCCTGGTTCATCATCAACAGCGCCCAAAACGCCCGCTGCGCCGCCTGGCTCGTCCGCCACTTCATCCGCCCCATCATCACCACCGGCTGCAACAACTACCACGTGCAGGTGCGCTTCCACAAGCCCAGCGAGCGGTGGATCGTCGACCTGTCCGCGTGGGAATTCGACGCAGTCGGCCTGGGCACGGAGTGGACGGACGAGATCCGGACGAAGTTCAGGGAGAGCAAGTATATTGCCAAACACCTTGTTCGCGAGCGAGCTATTGATATGGATGATTGGGTGAAGCCGTTCTGCGGCCAGGAGTCTGATAGCTGGGAGCGCGGGACATGGTTCAAGTGTTACCTTGGGTACCCGTTTATCCTGCAGAAGGAGGGGAGGCTGTGGATTGGGGAGATTGGGAAGTTTAATGTCCTTGTGAATCTTGTTGCTTCGGCGCCTCCTGGAGTTCCGGTGGATGCGGAACGCATGGTCGAGGTTGCGAGGAGGACGGATGAGACGAAGGACTTGCTGGCCGTGCTGGATATACTGTATCCCAAGAGAGAACGCAAGAATCGAAACAAGCGCAGCGGCGGCGGTGGAAGCAGTGGTGACTCTGACTGTGAAACTGAAACTGACACTGACAGTGACAGCAGCCCTGGTAAGTCAAAGAGTGCACGGCGGCCGCGGCCCAAGAGGTAAATGCTTTTTGAGTTCGTCAGTCATACCATGGCTATTGCAGGTATGGTTTCTGCGAGGACTTCGACGTTGGGGAGATTTCCTTGACGGGTCCAAGTACTTCATTACAGGGTAATCTCGTTTATACTCATTCTTTTATAGACATACAAGTTTAATTTAACTTATTCAAGCAGAGCTTTCATATGGCCACAAGCTACCTAAATTACAGTAAAACCTTCAACATCATCTCGTTGACAAAAAGCCTTATGGGGTAGTTAGGGTTTAGCTTGCCCTTACAATCTTGTAATAAATTATTTTAGCAATCCATCAAACATATCTCGTAACCCTAACAAGGAGCCCTGCATTTGTCAAACTTCAGACACTCTCAGGCTTCCTCCCGTAAATAAATATCCTATAACCCGTTAGAACCACCGGATAACACACAGAAAGGGTATCATACACCCGCTGATACGCATGGATAGAACTATCCTTCCATTCCTGCCGACACCTCGCAATCAGAATCTCCACTTCCTCCGCAGTCCAGCCCAGGACCCGCGTGAAGAGGCCGATCGTGAACGCATGCAGGCCGTTCAAGTGGTTCGTCAGGGTATACTGCGCCCGTCACAGTCAGCACCAAGAAATACCAAACGGTATCCAGGGTGAGTAAGTGGAGAGAGCGCACAAGACCAAGCCTCTTCATACTCTTCTCCTTCGGCCACACATTCGTCGGTCGCTTCAGGACCTTCAGCTGCACGTCGACGAACCCCGCCTCCTCCATCAGGGTCTTGTATTCCGATGGCGCGGGGATAGCGTGTCCGATCTTCTTGCACCCTTCGAAGAAGAGAGACGACCATTTCAGCGCGCTGCTGTTCTCCGGGATCGAGTCGTCGTCGCATTCGAAGCCTGGGTCCAGTTCGTGCATCTCGAGGTACCCGCCTGGTTTGAGGGCGCTGGGCAGCAATCAGTGTATCAGTGAAAGTGTATCAGTAAAACGGCTTTCTGGGGATTAAGAAAGGGAGAGGGTACCTCAGCGCTTGCCGGAAGAGCTTCGGGTAATCCGAGACGCTGGCAAGGAGCAGCCGCGTGTGAATGAGATCAAACGAGTTCTGCCGGAACGTCCAGTCGTGCTCGAAGTTGTCGACCTGGAACTCGAGGTTCGGCGGGATGCTGTCGTCCTGTAAGTCCCAGCACGGTATCACACCTGGAAACATTGGCCACGCACAAAGATGGCTGCACAGGCGACAGATCGGTCCCGATGACTGATGCAGAGGGGTACGTGTCCGCGACATCGATCGCCCAGATGCCGGTTCCTGTTCCGAGATCGAGGATGCGCTGTGGGTTCTTTAGGGGTGCTAGGTGCAGTTCGCCGTCGAGCAGGAGGAGGAAGATGTGGTGCTCGAGGTCCATGCGCGCGAGTTCATCCTGAGCGTTGATGAATCAGGCCTCATCTCCTCGGATATGGATGCCTACCTCGTCGTTTGGGAACGCATAGTCTTCTTGACGGTTAACACGGTAAAAGATGCATTGTAAGATGGTCGGTACTTACGCCCTGCTTGGTAGGAATGATATCGCCTAGGCATTTCAGCTGGTGCCCAGAAACCTAAATAATGAAGGGCCATACCGTCCGTTCTCATACTCAAACTTGACGACCAAGCTACTCAGCGACTCGGTCTCGCTTGCGCTGCGACCGGCAGTCAGTCAGCGGTCAAAGCCAGGCTGAGGTGCAGGAGGAGCGGGGTGCGCCAACACCTGCGATCCGAGCGCCGAATCAGCGTCATCCTACGAGTCTGCTCAGTCCTGTCTGCAATCCCGGAGATCTGGTTCTGCATTACCTCCACCTCGATGGTTTGCTCTGCGGCGATTGCGTTCTGCTCTGTCATTGTCCTTGTTGTCTGCAAAATGTGTGAAGAGTGGAATGTCAGACGGGACGGCTCGGGGCGAATCCATTCCAACAAAGTCGGAGCTGAATACGAGCGGGGTGAGGTGGGCTAGGCTGACTTGGTTCTAGTCCAGCTCGATTAACGCCATTGTCATGTGAGATACCTAAGGAGTAGGTAATTGCTTTTGGGCGTGGCTCGTATAGGTACCCATTGTACGGACGATAGGGTATAGTTTCTACCGCGAGAGATCTGACTTGTCTACCTAATGTTGGCCAAAAGGATGACCGTAGGATGAGAGTGTCAATTTCCACCAAGCTGGATAACCCTTGATATCTGGGAGCTGAGGATGCATTTGCTGTTATGGTGGCTAGTGACCTACGAAGTATTGGACCATAGTTATGGTGAATATATCGAACACAATGCTTACTTTACCACACCAGTTAACCCCTACATAAGTACTGGCTGTAGTATCCTTACCACCGCCTCAACCTCCCTCTCGAAAGCTTCTTTTTCCATCCGGCCAGACCAGCTAATATACTTATTAGATGTTCGTTGATGGCGCCAAATCCAACTCAAAAGGGTACAGTACCGGCCTTGAGAATGAACCTATACAGCCTCTAGAGGTTATATCCAACATAAACCGTCTGGCCTTGGGCGAGGACAGACCTGCAAATTATACGGGTGCTTTCGGATATTGTTTGTGCTTGGCTCGATCAACCTTAACGTACGACATATCTCGTTCAATTAAGGGACGTTCTACTCCTAGAATCCACACTCACGTTCGTACATTATGGACTTGTCACTGTGCAGTTGAACATTCCAAGCCTTTTAAGGGAAAAGCAAACCTACTGGATTTAGCCTGACAGCGGGCTCCACAGACCTCAAGCTCGAGGTGCCTCAAGGCAGTCGGAGTGGGACGAACCACAATATGGATTGCAAGTGCCAGTCGTCTTGGAATCGACAGAATGTTCGCTATGTATTATGATACCTATACTGTCTGTGGGGTTGTGGAAGATGTTTGATCTGGCTGGGAAATATATCTACAACGTCTCCAGGCTTCTTACGAACAACGAGAGCATGATGAGTTAACAGAAGGATTACATACAGTCAACGGAGTGATTCATACCTATGAAGGCACTTAATGGGAATGAAGTGAGTTTCGAATTCCTCTATGCAGCTCTATGCAGACTATGCTTAGTATATAAAACTACCATAGATATCATGGATAAGTCTACACAACACCGAGAACGCCCTGAGCCCTAGCAAACTATACAAGCTCTTCCAACTCCAAATCCAAATCCAACGCCTCCTGCAGCAACGCAAACGGGCTCTCACTGTCATCTCCCACCCCCGCACCCTCTCCCTCTCCCTCTCCCTCCATCCCACCATCATCCCTCCCCTCCAAAAACGCCGCCAGGTCCGATAACCGCGGATACATGAAGATCTCACCCACCGCCAGCCCCAGACCCCCGATGCTCTGGTCCGCCCGACCCGCAGCAGCCACGTGCATCGCAACGACCGAGTCACCGCCCAGCTGGAAGAAGTCGTCGTCCGCGCCGACGGCGTCGGGCTGCATGCCCAGCGCATTCGCCCAGAGTCGCTGCAGGGCTTTCTCCATCGGCGTTGAAGGCGGGATATACCGACGGATTGACCCGGCCGTGTACCCGTCTAGTTCTGCGTCGGACATCGACTCGACCATCTGCTTGAGAACCCGTCTGTCGAGTTTGCCGGAGATTGTCAGTGGGACTTGAGACACGGGGATGTAGAGGCCCGGAACCATGTACGGCGGGAGCTGCGAGGAGAGCGTCTTCTTGAGGTTTGCGAACGTCGGGGTATCAGGCTCCCGTGTCTCGCCGTGGAACTCAATCACAGCCGCAAGACGGAGCTGCTTATCCCCGCGCGACACCGGGACAACGGCCGCGTGCTTGACATGGCCTTGGCCCAAAGAATGTCCAATCCAGTGCTCGATCTCGCCCACCTCCACGCGCTGCCCCCGGATCTTGATCTGCGTGTCGATCCGCCCCAGATACGTCACCTTTCCGTCCTCCGTCTGCAGGCCCAGGTCGCCTGTCGCATACACCCGGCAATCCGACCCCGCGAGCCCGAAGCGCGCCGCAAAGCCCGGGTTGCGGATGAAGGCGCTCTCCGTTTTCGCCGCGTCGTTCAGGTACCCGCGCGCCATGCCGGGCCCCTGGATGAGGATCTCGCCGGGGATCCCGACGGGGCTGAGACGGTGGTGGTTCGTTGGGTCGGCGATCCAGAGGCGGGCGCCCATGCCGTGCCCGACGCTTTGGGCGTCGCTGATGTCGGTGATCGGGCCGTTGCAGGTTGAGTTGATGCTGCATTCGCTGGGGCCGTAGGAGTTTAGGACCGCGGCGTGCTTGTACCATGTTTCCACGACGGTGTCTTGGATCTGCTCGCCTGCTAGCACGATGAGCTTGAGGCTCGGGACGAGCTGCGGTGTAAGAAGGCGTGCGACTGTTGATGTGAGGTTCGCGAAGTTGATGTTCATGGAGCGCATCACGCCCGCGAGGTTGCTCATTTTGTCGCCCTCGGACGGAACGCATACTGTTCCTCCGTTGACTAGTGTCGTGAAGTAGTCCTGTAGCAGGGCGTCGAAGGTATGGGCTGCGAACTGGATGGTGCGCGTGTGAGGACCGAGTCCGAAGCGGGCGCCGTGGGTTACGACGACGGTCGATAGATTGGTGTGGGTGAGGACGACGCCTTTGGGTTTACCGGTGCTGCCGCTGGTGAAGACGATCCAGGCGGCGTTGCTGGGTGTGACGGCTGTGTGGTGTGTAGCTGGGGGGAGGGCGTTGAGGAGGTGAGCATCCACGGTGAGGAGAGTGAGGCCCTGTGAGGTGAGGTCTGACAACCTCAGAGCCTGAAGAGCATCGACCAGAATGACCTTGGCCTTCGTATCCTCGACGATGCCTGCAATGCGACCAACAGGATGCCCGACTCCAAGGGGGACAACCACGCCACCTGCTTTGAGAACGCCCAAGAAGCAGACAACAGCCCAGACAGACTTGTCCAGACACACGGGGACACACACCTCGGGCCCAACTCCAAGGCTAACCAGATGGCTGGCGAGTGCCGAAGCATACTCCTGCATCTGCGCATGCGTCAAGGAGCCATCCCACGCTTCGACGGCCACCGCATCAGGCCGCGCCCGACCAACATCAGCGAGCAGCTCATGCAGACAGACCTCGATCGGCTGCGTCAGGGGCTCAGCATTCCACCGCTGGATCTGCTCGACATCCTCCGCGCCTAGGAAATCAATGTCCCTGATCTTGATACTGCCCTGGGCATGCAACTGCTGCGCCACGGACTCGAACTGACTGACCAGGCGCTTTATCTGAACAGACGAGAGCATCTTCTCGTCGAACCGGACGTCCACTTCAACACTCTCGCCGGACAGCGTGCACTCCACGTTCAGCCCGTAGCTGTCGAACTCGTCCACGGCAACGAGGTGGCCTTCGACTCCGGGGATCTTGAACATCCGCTCGTCTTCGTTGGCGGGCTGCACGACGAAGAGGTGTCTGAGGTCTAGGGCATTCGCGAGTTCAGGCGCCAGCTTCCGGATGCGCTGGAGACCCGTGTGCTCGTGGGGGATCATCTCGATGGCCTGTTGCCGGACGCTCTGCAAGAACTCGGTGACGGATTGCTCGGGGTTAATGAAGATACGGACAGGAACGGTCGTGAATGTTGGTCCAGCGATACTCGTCACGTTGCGCACGGGGGCATTGCGTCCAGATAGCGCAACGGCGAAGACGGGGTCAATCTTGCCGATGTATTGGTGCACAACGAGCGCCCAGGCACCGCGGAGGAGATCCGGCAGCATAGCGTTGCTAGAGCCCGTCCCCCTCGCCAAAGTGATAGCATGTTGATGGCGCTGCTGCGGACGAGGTCTGTAATTTGCACTCGGCAGCGCAGGGAAGTCCGCGCGCGTCTCGCCACCAAGCTGAGTCCTCCAGTACGACGCCGCTGCATCCTGTGGCAGCGACTGGGTGTACCGGATAAAGCGGGAGAACGAGGCCACTGGCGCCAGCTCCTTGCCTAGGTAAACATCGGCCACCTGCTGCAGGACGACGCCCCGACTCCAGCCGTCGTATGTGCTGTGGTGCGCCGTCCACACGAAGAACCGCTGCCCATCGGGCTGCGTCACCAGCGCGAATCGGTTCAGGGGTTGCCCTATGACTATGCCCTTTGCCTTGTCGGCCTCCAGGTAGTCCTCGAGAGAAGACGACTCGCTCCATGAGACTTCGCCCGGCGCAACGACGACCTGCAGCGAGCCTGTCTCAGGGCCGGACACGATCCTCGTCCGAAGAGTCGCCGTGCGATTGACGACCGTCTGCCAGGCGCCTCGGAAACGGGGGACATCGACTTCATCGGAGAGCGCAAAGACCTGACGGTCGACGTAGGCCGATGGTTGTTGCGCCGTCAGGGCAATGAGGCCTTCCTGGAGGGCCGTGCAGGGGAGGACGTCCTCGACTTGGTCGATTGGCAGGCTGCACAGCTCCGCAATTTGAGCCAGCTTGTCTTCTTCCTCGCTGGATGCGATACCCCGGCTTTCGCGCCACACGCTGAACGGGGCTGGATCCTCGTCGGTATCTTCATCGAGCACTCGGCTCTCAACCGCCCGCGCAAGGTCATCGAGACGGGGATACGAGAATAGATCTGCGACTCGGAGAACGAGCTCCACGTCGCGTGCTGCAGCGACGACGCGCATGGCGGCTACAGAGTCACCGCCGATGTGGAAGAAGTGGCTGTCCGCACTGACTTGTGAGATGTCCACACCGAGCGTCTTCGCCCACAGCGTCTGCAGCTTGTGCTCCGTCTCTGTGGACGGCTCTTTGTGTGAGCCACGGACGGCGAGGCACTGCTGTAGCTGGGCGTCGTCTTGGTCGTTGATGAACTGCGTCACGGCTCGTCTATCGATCTTGCCGGACAGATTCAGGGGCAGTTGGGAGACTGGAGCGTACATGGATGGAGACATATACGGAGGGAGATGGTCCATCAGGTCATTGCGCAACTGGTGCAAAGCCGCGGACAAGGGTTCAGTCAGTGGGAGCAAGTGCGGCATATCATCAGACCTGTTGGCAGAAGCAGTATTGGCGTTGAAGAACTCGGTGTCCTCGTTGAACTCAACAGCCGCAACGAGCGCCTTCTGCTCCCTGCCCTGCCCCCGCTCGACGACGATGACCGCAACCCGCCGAACGTCCTTGAGCCGCTGCATGACCCAGTACTCGATCTCGCCGATCTCCACGCGCTGTCCACGGATTTTCACCTGCGTGTCTCGTCGTCCCATGTGCACCAACGACCCATCCTTCTTCTGTCGAACCAGATCGCCGGAGCGGTACATCCGCCGCTCGGCGTTCTGGAACTGCACCCTCCACGCGGGGTCCGCGGCCTCCAGGTGCTTGATGAAGGCTGGGTTGGTGATGAATGCGCCTGCTGTCTTTTCTGGGTCGTTCAGGTAGCCGCGCGAGAGCATGGGGCCTTCGATTAGGAGTTCGCCGGGGACACCGACCGGACAGAGCTGGTTTGGATCCGTGGGCAGCGTCACCCAGAGACGAGTGCTGGTGGGATATCCGACGTTGGCTGCCTGGGTTGGATCCGTGACAGGACCAGCAGCGACCGCAATGATCGTTGTCTCAGACGGTCCGACCGAGTTGAAGACTTGCGCGTGGGGCGACCATTTCGCGACGATGCCGGGGTCCATCGCTTCTCCGCCTGCAACGACGGTGCGGATGTTCGGCAGGTCTGCTGGGCTCAAGAGACCGAGCACGGTGGGCGTTAGGTTGACGTAGTTAACAGCCAGAGCCTGCAGGGCTTCGGTGAGATTGTTCATGCGGCTTTCTTCAGAGAAGACGCACACGCAGCCGCCATGGAACAGCGTCATGACAATATCAGATAGACTGACGTCGAACGTGTACGCAGCGAACTGGGCTGTCCGCGTGGTACAGTTGACGCCGAACATCCCTCCATGAGCAAGGACACTGGTCGAGATATTCTGGTGCAGCAAGACGACTCCTTTCGGGACTCCCGTTGAGCCAGACGTGTAAATGACCCAGGCAGCGTTGTCAGGCGTTACTCCTGATACTGGTGGCTCGGGGATGCTGGGGAGAGAGGATAAAAGCCGCTCATCCACCAGGAGTGTCGATGTATTCTCGAGGTCCAGGTCTGCGAGTCGGTCTGCGTGTTTCGCGTCAACAAGCAGAGCAACAGCAGCAGTGTCGGTGAGAAGACCCCTGACACGGGCCCTGGGATGCGTAACGCCCAGCGGAACGACAATGCCACCGGCCATAAGAATAGCGAGCATCGAAACAATCGCCCACTTCGACTTGTCCATGCAGATGCCGACGAACTTCTCGGGTCCTACTCCAAATTCATTTCGCAGGTGATGAGCCAGTGTCAAAGCCTGAGCGGTAAGCTCATGGTACGTCAGGTCTCCATCCCATGAGTTCACGGCAACAGCATCTGGCTGCAGCTTCGCAATCTCAATGATCTTGTCGTGCACGCAGACGCGCTGGGGCTTCGGGATGGTGGAGTTCCACTGCGCCAGCTGCCCGACGTCACTCGAGGAGAGGAGACTGATATCCGAGACGGTGGTGTCGGGCGTACTGATGATTCCTCTGATGGCGGCCTCGAATGCGCCGAGGATAGTTCGTGCGCTGTCCTCATCCAGTCTTGAGCTCCAGAAGTCCAGGTCAATGGAGAGGCCGTCGCGGCCTGCGGCGATGCCGAGTGAGATGTCGTACTATCGATTGTTAGCGGCGTTCATGGAATGGAGTAGATGACTTACGTCGGTCGGGTTCGCCTTGCCCTCGATCCTCACAGCCAAACCGGCCCTCTGCACGGCGCTATCATCCAAGGCACGCTGGAACGACATGGTCGTGTTGCTGAGCTGCCGGGCGGACTTGGACGTGGTGTTCGATTCGAGAGGCGATAGTTGGGACATTGCCTTTACTGCGTCCTTGTGAATTTCACGCAGAATAGTGGACAGCTCACCCGCTGCAGGCAGGGTGATAGCACACATGGATGTCTGCACGATCGGCCCGATAACATCATGCACCCCAGGGACAGACATGGAGCGCCCGGAGTTGACGTACGAGAAGCACACGTTATCCGCGCCGCCGTAACATCGCAGCACAAGTCCCCAGGCGAGCTGGCACACGGTCGCAAGGGTCACAGAGTACTTGGAGCAGACGGCCTGGACGAGCTGGGAATCGAGCGGAATTTTCGCGCTGACAGTTTGGAAGTCGGAGAGGCCTTCGTTTGGCCGGTCCATTGGGACAGTCAGCGGTGTGATCTCGCTCGTGCTTTCCGTTTGGACTACCTGGGATGGATCGTTGAGGTAGGAGGAGACATAGTCGGCGTAGGAGAGCGGGGCAGGGCCGAGCCCGCCATTGCGGTATGCGTCGCTGAGATCCTTGAGCAGGACTTCGGCGGATTGTCCGTCGACGAGGACGTGCGAGATGTCCAGCTTCAGGTAGACTTCGGACGGAGAAACCTGGACGAGCTGCATGTGGTGTGGGATCGAGTGCGGTTGAAAGACGATTGGGTTGTTGACGTTGAATTCGGCCGAGGACAGATGCTCTGAGCCCTTGTAGTAGTCGATAGACGGAGCAATCTCGGAGAGAATGACCTGATTGTAATGGCCCGGTCGCTGTGTGCTCTCGACCAGAGCCGTGCGCAGACTGGAGTGGCGCTTGACGACTTCACCCCAAGCCTGACCGAGTCGTCTGGCGTCGACGGGGAGTCCAGAATGGGAGTGTGTGAACCTGAGAACAAAGCAGCAGGAGTAGAGATGTGGATTCTGCAGCTGGCTGACGAGGATTCTGTCCTGGATGGCCGAACAGGGAACAATGGCTTGGATGGGAGAGGAAGGCAGTTTAGCCTCAATGTCAGGCGAGATCATCTCTGCCACAGTCGAGCCGGACTCTGACGTTGGCGTAAGTGTGCCGGAGCCTTCAATGGAGCTGTCCTTGTCGCTGCTGGACGAGGCGAGCTCAGGTGGCCCCTGGGCCATCCCATACAGGGACTCCAGGGTCGTCGCCGCCATGATATCGGCGATGTTGATGGTGATGCCCTGGGCGCGACATTGCGCAAGGATCTTGATGGCCAGGAGGGAGTCACCACCAAGAGACAGAAAAGATCGCTTGGGGTCGACGTCTTTGATGTCCAGCTGCAGGACATTGGCGCAGATCCGTTTGAGCTCCAGCTGCAGCCAGGGCTCGGAGTCTACCACGCCAGGCATTATGCTTGAGAAAACAATGAAGAAAAGTAGGGGTATCTCAACGATGAACAGTAAACAAAAAAGAACTTGGAAAGGGAGTGGTGCAGGCAGGCGAGCGAGGCTTGAGTGAAGCAAGCTGTCTGGGCTTCTATACTTATACAATATTATACAATATAGCAAGTACAAGAGTAGCACAGGCATAGCTTGTCTTTCGGTTCTCGCTAAGCTGACTGCAATTGAAAAATACAGTCTTGTACAGTTGTGAGTGGAATGGGGCCAGTCTGCAGTAGAGAGACACTAAGGATCAGCCCCATCGGACACAATCTTCAGCGATCGCACCACTCAGGGCCCATTTCGCTTGCAAGCCATGACTGTGCAGGATGCAGGCCCAAGGAACGGCTAAGGATCAAGGCTGAACTCAGCTAGTTCAGCCATGTCTTGGTCAATTCCATTGCTAATCGTTTACGCGAACTATACGGAGACAGGGCGAATATCGACAGAGGGACCAAATGGAAGCAAGTTGCCTGCAGCCATATATTGAACTTCCTTGGCTTGTGTCTTGATTGCTTTTCTTCAATCATTGAGGCCCCTATACCAAGTCCGGCTATACAACACCATGTCTCCTCTCCTCTCACCACCAAAGAGCCAAAGCCAAGGCCAGAGCAAACTCAACAGCGTCCTCACCAACATCGCCAAACAATGCAGCACCACTCCAGACCAAGTCCAGGACGTCTACCCCTGCACCCCTCTCCAGCAAGGCCTCATCGCCATCTCGGTAACATCCCCAGGGGCATACACGGCACAACACGTCTTCAAGCTGCACCCGACCGTCGATCAGCAACGAATGAAAGCAGCATGGACCACCGTCTTCGCGAACCACGCCATCCTGCGAACGCGGATCATCACGCTCGGTGGTAACGCCATGCAGGTGGTCCTCAAGCACGCACCGCAGTGGAGCGACTGCAGCGATCTGCAGGCGTACCTGGCAGCCGATCAGGCGATCGCCCTGCAGATGGGCGAGCCGTTGTCGCGACTGGCCATTTCAGACTCTCATGTGGTCTGGAGTGCGCACCACAGCGTGTACGACGGATTCTCCGTTGAGCTTGTCCTGCGCGATGTAGCGACTGTTTATGACCATCGCGAGATCCCGCCCCGGCCGTCGTACCGGCAGTTCATCCAAAGGACGTTCCAGGCGAAGCAGAAGGCGCTGACGGAGAAGTACTGGGAGGAGAAGACGGCGCACGTCGACGAGGTGGATGTTTTCCCGCGATTGCCTGCTACGTATCGACCGCAGCCGAACAGCGTGTATGAGCACGAAGCCAGTCTGTCCATCGACGGGCCTTCCACTGTGACGCTCTCGACCATCGCCAATGCAGCCTGGGCTCTGGTGCAGTCCAGCCACCTGGGGACTGAAGAAGTGACCTTCGGCACAACCCTGAGCGGCCGCAACGCCAACATGCCCGACATCGACAAGGTGGTTGGTCCAACCCTGGCGACGGTGCCTGTTCTTCTCAACACGAGCCGGACCCAGTCCGTATCAGACTTCCTACGCGCAACACAGGCCTATTTCACGCAGATCATCCCGCACCAGCAGATCGGCCTGCAGAATCTGAAGAGGTTGAGTCCGCAGACAGCTGCGCTCTGCACCTTCCAGACCCTCTTTGCCTTCCAGCCGGGCATGGCCGAGACGCAGTCTCCGTACAGTCACCTCTTCACCGCGCAGAACAAGGACAAGGTCGATGCTGCGTTCTTCAACTATGCACTTACGTTCCAGTGCTCGCTGGCTGGGACGGGAACGCTCAAGGTGCTCGCTTCGTATGATAACAGGGTGCTGTCGACAACGCAGATGGAGAGGCTGGTCTTTCAGTTCGAGCATGTTGTTTCGCAGTTGCTTGCCAGCAAGGGCGCGGACAAATTGAGTGACCTCCAGCTCGTCTCTCCTCAGGATCTGGCACAGCTCGACGCGTGGGATAGGGAGGCTGAACGCCACGAGCACCTCCTCCCTTTGGACGCGATCCAACGCCATCTCGTCGCCCGACCCAATGCCACAGCCGTCGACTCATGGGACGGAACCCTCTCCTACGCTCAACTTGATGACTTGGCCACCCGACTCGCCAGCTGGCTGATCCAGAGCCAAAATGTCGGCCCCGAGACCGTGGTGCCCATCTGTTTCGACCGCTCACAGTGGATGATCGTGTCGATCCTCGCCGTCCTCAAAGCAGGCGGCGCCTTCTTGCTCCTCGACCCGATCTACCCGGAGAACCGGCTCAAGTACATGATCGAGATGGTCAATGCGAAAACAATCCTGGTATCAGAGTCAACAAGGCCCAAATTCTCCGATTTCCCTGGCACTACACTCGCCCTCGACGCCCCCTGGTTCGAATCTCACACCCATACCTCCCTTCCTGCCCGAAGCCTCTCCCCCAACCGCGCAATGTACCTCGTCTTCACCAGCGGCTCAACCGGCCAGCCAAAGGGCGTTGTTGTGACGCACGGCTCCTACGCCGCCTCGGCAGCAGGCCACATCCCGGCGCTGGGAATCAACGAGAGCACACGCCAGCTCTTCTTCGCGTCCCCGGCATTCGACCTGAGCATATACGAGACCGTCAGCTCGCTGATGGCCGGCGCGACAATATGCGTCCCGACGGAAGAAGACCGCAACGGGAGCGTTGCGCCAGTCATCTGCAACATGGACGTGACTCTCATCTCGCTGACGTCCTCATACGCCCGCCACCTGCGTCCCGAGGACGTACCCTGTCTGCAAACGCTGGCTCTAGTCGGCGAGCCACTAGCGCGAGATGTCCAAGGCGTGTGGGCGGATAAAGTCTGCCTTTTGAACGCGTATGGTCCGGCGGAGTGTTCCGTCGTCAGCACCGTCAAGCGTCCCGTCACGCTTGACTCGACGCCAGCGAATATCGGGCATACCGTTGCGGGGCGCGCGTGGGTTGTGCATCCCAAGGACCATGATATCCTCCTTCCACTCGGCGCAACGGGCGAGCTCCTTATTGAGGGGGCTCATCTGGCACGTGGATATTTGGACGATGACGAGAAAACCGCCGCTGCGTATATCTTCGACCCGCGCTGGGCTACCGGCTCGAGTGAGGGTGCGCGACGGTTCTATAAGACCGGTGACCTGGTGCATTTTGACGAGGACGGGTCGCTTGTTTTCGAAGGCCGCAAGGATACACAGGTGAAGATCCGCGGGCAGCGGGTTGAGGTCTCTGAGGTGGAATATCATGTTGCGAAGCTGTTTCCCCGTGCTGCTGGTGTCGCGGTTGAGGTCTTCAAGCAGGAGCAGAATGCTTGCTTGGTGGCGTTTCTATTCTGCGATGGGGGTTGGAGTGTTGATGCGGATGCATCTGCGATGCTTCAACGGCTCAGTGGCACCGAGATCAAAACCATGTCGCATATCAAACAGCGTCTGGAGCAGCTTATGCCGTACCACATGGTCCCGACCCGGTACCAGCTCTGGCCGCGAATGCCCACGTCTCTGGCAGGAAAGCTCGACCGAAAGGCTCTCCGCGAGGAACTACGCAGCCCCAGCGGGAGTGTCATCGAGCTCGACGAGACAACCACCGAGTTCCCGGCCATCAAGTCCACCAACGCCGTTGCCCTCCGCTTGAACAAGAAGATTCTCGACCTTGCGCCTGGACAGAAGACGGCCCTGCAAGGCCGAGACTTCCCCCTCTCCATCCTGGGCCTCGACTCGATCCAGCTCATCACACTCGTCACATTCATCCGCACCGAGTACGGCACGAGAATGACGGTCGGCACACTATACGACCTCAAGCTCACGATCTCAGGCCTCGCATCATTGATCACATCTCCGCAGACCAAGACAATCCCTACACTCGATCTCGCGGCCGAGCTCCAAGCCGTCTACAACGAGCTCACCATCCGCTCCGAGTCAACCGCGCTCAAACGCCGCGTCTTCCTCACCGGCGCAACGGGCCTCCTGGGCTCGCAGATCCTCCGCCAGCTCCTCGCCGACGCAGCCGTGCAGCGCGTCATCGTGCACGTCCGCGCACCTGACCCGGCAAAGGGCCTCGCGCGCGTCGTGTCCACCGCAACGCTCGCGAAATGGTGGTCCCCCTCCTACGAACACCGCGTCGAGGTCTGGACGGGGGATCTGGGCGCGCCGCAGCTGGGCTTGCAGCCCGAGCAATGGGCCATGCTCTGCGGGACGGCGGAGCCAGGGACCAACATCACCTCGATCATCCACAATGGCGCGGCGGTGCAATGGCAGGCCCCGTATCATGCGCTTAAGGCAGTGAATGTCAACTCAACGGTTGACTTGTTGAGCGCGGTAGCGCAGTGGTCCGAGCCTGGGAGTTTCACGTTCGTCTCGGGCGGACTGAAGAGATCGCCTGGTCAGGATTTGGAGTCTTTCTTGAAGGCCCTGGAGCAGGCGAACGGGTACAGCCAGAGCAAGTTCGTCGCTGAGGAGATTGTCTCCCGCTTTGCTGCCAGTCGGAGCCAGTCACAACTTGGACCTCGGATATCGATCGTACGGCCGGGCTGGATCATCGGCACCCAGCAGGACGCCGTCCCCAATACAGACGACTTCCTCTGGAAGCTTGTCCAGGCGTGTATCGCTATTGGCGCGTATCCCGCGCAGGGGGGTGATCTGTGGCTTGCTGTTGCGGATGCAGAGGAGGTCAGCACGCGGATCCTGGGGGCGACGTTTGCGGGCACGTCCACTGCCACAGGCTCCGGCGCCTCGTCTCCTTCCGGAGCAGGTGCAGGTGCAGGTGCAGTCGTGGAGAACGTCGAAACCGGCACGACGGTCTCGCGCTTCTGGGAGCTCGTCAAGGAAGCCACGGGTGCCACCTTAACGCCCATGGACGGCGAGAGCTGGAAGAACGCGGCGCAGGAGTTCGTGGGTCGGCTGAGCTCGGGCTCAAGCTCGAAACAGGCTGCGTTTTTGCCTGTGCTGGCGATGCTGCAGGATCCGTCGATGGAGTTTGGGGTGCAGCCGCCCAAGGGTATGGAGTATGATGGAGGGGCGTCGGGTCGTGTTGATGGCGCGATCCGGAGTAATGTGCGGACGCTTGTTGAGGCGGGTTTCTTTTCAGTTTCCCCTGGAAGTTATGGTGGTGGATCGTCTGGTGGAGGTGCAGGGATGGTGAGTGGGCGGTTGTTTGGTCGAACGAGGGTTAACGAGGGGAGGGCCGTTGCTGTATGATAGATGCATTGTGATACCTGAAATTGATATTGTTTCATGCTTAGTTCTTGTTTTTTGTAGCCAGGTATAAGCATAAGATACATCGATGGGTTGGAAGGGCATAGTTGGTACCAGAAGAGGTCTCGAGCATTCTGTTTGACGGTCTATATGGCAATCGAAACAACGGTGATTCTGGCTCTGTAGACGAGCTCGACGGCCGCACATACATCTTTATTCTGCTTTCGAGTACAAGGTCTCTCACATACGTTTTTACCTGCCACAATGGGGCCGCAGAAACTATTTGACAAATGTAGCAAAGGCAGATCGAGTGGCAGGGGACGAAATATCGATATGGCTCTAAGGTATATACAAACGAACACCGAAGCAAACAACCATAGCAAACAAGCAAAACAAGACAACGCCTTCAATCTAAAGCCAGGCCATTCACCAACCGCCCTTCCTCCGCATCAGGCACGAAATAAAACTTCCCTGATCGCCCCTGCCTCCGCAGCATCTCATTGAGCAGATCTGACAGCAGCAGCTCTTGCCACCCTTCTCCCTCGTACCCTGGAACCATTGGATCCTCTTCAACCACGGTGACGGCTACATCCGGCTCTTTAGCAACCGAGTCTGCACTCGCGGGGACGGTGACTGTCGAAGAAGCCAGGGTGTGTGTTGCATCAGAGTCATCTGAACGTTGAGAGTCGGCACTGGATGCGGTGCTTGAACTTGTTGACCTCCTCGAAAAGACGCTCCGTCGTATCGGTAGGGACTTGACATGTCTCCGTGGACTTCTCGGCTTCCTCCACTGGTCAAGCCGCTTGGAGCCAAGGATTGTCGCTTCAGAAGACGGGATGGACGTTGTTGAAACGGCCGACGATAGCGACGGTGTGAGCAGAGGAGTCTGCAAGGGCGTTTGTTCGGGGGTATCTTTGTACGAAAGCGGAGGGACGTCGTCGGCAGGCAAGTCGAAGTATGACGGTGAATCGCAGGCGGACCGAATGAAGTCGACCACTGCCTCATGGTACTGGCTCCCCACTGGGAGTGCATGGGCCCCTGGATGCGTCATCTTCCGCCGTCGGGATCCCCCGATTTGTGCCTGGTCCACCGCTGCTGCCATGTCTGAAGGAACGATGGGGTCGAAGTCGCCCATGAAGTGCAGGAAGGGGGTCTCGATGAGCGGTTCCGAGTAGAACGCTTTGAACATGGGATGAGTCCCCATATATGCGCCGTATGTGATGCCGAACTTGAGCGGAGGATGGTCGAGGTTCTTGTAGGACTCGGGGTATTGCATGGCGCCTGGGAAGGTCGCGGCATATTCTTCGAATCTCTGGCGTCGCTTCGGGCCCTCGAGCAGTGAGGCCACCATGCCGCCAATCACCGAGCCTTGAGAGAAACAAATGACACCGTCGAAAGGCCCTTCTGTGCGGAGGATCTCTGCTGTCTTGTCGAGGCTCTCGAAGAACCCCCGCGGCGGGTCCTCTTCGAACAGCCGGAACCAGGCGTGGGTGTCGATCACATCGGGGTCTTTGAAGTTCTCTGTTCTTTCCCGTTGAATATCGGAGAGGTAGTCGAGTCTGTCGGATACTTTGTATGCAATCGGGCCCGTTGGAAAGACAAACGTGGACCCTGGGAACGCTCGCTCGATGTGCTCTCGCAGCCGGAAGGTCTTTCTTTCGAACCAGGGCCCGGTCTGCGTGTGCCCGTGGAAGCAGAGGATGCGCATCTTGAACTGAAAGTCAAGAAGATAGAATAAGTGATCGCTGCAGCAGGCACCAGTATACGCAACAAGCCGCGTGGGTATATAACGTGCTAGGGTAGGACATCACCGACTACTTGGCGCAAATGATAAATTATATGCCATTCCCTGCCTTCGCCTTCATGTGTCAACGCCCTCAGCCATTGACGACAGCGCTCTACTCTCGCTAAGCCCTTCCACACTGTTCAGCACCGCAACAGCCATAGGCCAGCCAGTTCTATATTAGCCCTACACAAGGATCCAACCAAGGAAGCCGCTAAGGAAGGTCAAGTCTGGGGCCAGCCACATGGAAAAATACCATGCTTCCAGCTCAGAACGCCTTGCAGATTTGCAAATCTCGATACAAGACGGGTTGTGCGGCCGTCTGCAGGAGCTCGAGCACGCCGTGGCAGGGGCAGGGTCGGTTCAGCGCCCCTGCAGTGGACCATGTGGCGCTGAAACCGACGAACTGCGCCTTTGCACTCCTGCGCGGCCTGGCTGGTCCCGGCCGAGATCTCAATGGCATCTGGCACCGGGGAATTCCTTCCATCCCGGGTAATGACGATCCCATTGCAATGCCACGATCCTGGCTATACGCATCGCATCCGCTTCCACCTCTCTTCGGCGTCCGTCCGGATCAGCTCAGCTTAGTTTGACATTTCATGCAATTCATCGCGAGCAGGCTCTGACCCACTCTGCTGCAGCTGCAGATGAGTCTTTGCTGCCGTTCGGCCTTGATCTCGAACCTCAGGCCAGACCGTTGCGCCATGTGGACTGTTCTTGCACGTTCTCCGTCAGCTTGGGGCTGAAAAGCCTGATGACCGATGCCGGCTGGAGCTGATGCAGCAATTACCGTGCAGGAACTCATCTTCGCCCACTGCAGGCCCCACTGTACTATATCTGCTGCTGCCCTTGGACCGCGATGTCCAGTCAAACCACGCGGTAGACGCATACGTTCCCTGAGGCTCAGAGCTGCATGCACGGTGCTCGGAAGATTTTACTATTCGACGACGAGCACCCCGTTTCATCCCAAATCACGAACTACCGACTACATTGAATACAATACCCGGCTCCGAGTCACCTATGGGAAGCCGTCTACGATGCGACATAGGGGCCAAATTGACTGACGGAGCTCAGAATGCGTAGCCTATACGACAGCGAAGTGCATCATGGCGGCGAAGGGATCCTCCTCGCGGCCCCCAAGGTCCTAGCACAGAGAAAAGAGAAATACATTGCTCGCTAAACTAATCCTTCTTCAAATCAAACAGCCGCTCGGTGACCCCATCCTTGGTCACAATGAGCATCTGCAGGGCATCGCCAACCTCAATATGCCGCTCCGTGGCGCTGGCATACGCATCCCGCACCAGCTGCTCAGCAACCTCGCGACTCAGCGGCTGCAGCCGGGACACCTGGCTATCCAGGAACGGCAGCATCAGACTACTCGCTCCACCGGCGGCGCCGTGACTCCGTTTCTCGAGGCATCCAGCCGGGTCGAAGAAGTACATCGCCCCCTCCCCGTCCGCATCAATCCCCGCCACCATCGTCTGTAGCTGGTATGGGAAAAAGCGTTTCTCGTAGAGGAGGGTGGATACGCGCTGTGCGCACGCCCGTAGACCGATGTTCTTGCCGTGCTGGTACTTGTACATCGCTGCGACATTCTCGAGTTTCTCCTTTAGCGCGTGCCCGTCCGCAGCGAAACCGATGACGGCGATGACGATGGAGCGGTCGCCGCAGTCCTGGATTGTGAAGACCTTTGGCTCGTGGCGCGTGTTGATGTTGTAGCCGGCGGTGGAGCGGGTGTCGCCGGCGAGGATGGCGAAGTCGGGGCCTGAGATGCCCAGCGTGGCGCCGCCGTTGGAGGTGTATCTGCATGCCGTCAATTATGACGGTCTTCTTAAAGGTATAGATGGGGCTGGGCTTACGGGTAGAATCTAGCTTCCTTCGCCATGGCTGAATAGAATATTCTCCGAGGAAATGCAAGAGAAGGATCGCAAAATCTTCAGACGGCGGAGGATCTCTTGACTCGCAACGAAGGATGCGGAAAATATGCTCGGTCAGCGCTAACTCGTCTGGAAAAGGGCGTGGCGTACAGAGAAGAAAATAGTTCAGTTAGGCTAGACGCTGCGAGGGCTGCATATATAAGGCTTACCGCGTCAGGCAGCCAGGCTGCGTCACTTAAGCAATGGATTCGGGATATTCCACGAGGACAGTAAGCACTAACTCGCTCTCACCAAGTGCCTAAACCCTTTGGATCGGCCGGCTGGCGGCGGGCGGCCGCGGCTGAGGACTAAACACAAGCAGTTAGTGTATACTAGATGCTATTAACTGCTAAGGCTAAGGCTGAGATCCACATGGCGTGACTGGTCACTGCAGAACAAGCAGATTATTCTATCGAAGAAGTCTGGTCTAAGTCTTACAAACAGGGACAAAGATGCTAGTCTAAGCCGAATGACACCATCACTCATCGATCAAACACAACCCCAGCCGCCCCCGTATACAGGTCCATCTGCCCATGCCCATGCCCATGCCCGTGCTCGCTCCCACTCCCACTCCCACTCCCCCAATCAACCACCTGCAGCAGATGTGGATCAAACAGCGGCGGGCCCACGTCGAACACCGCCGTCTGAGAGCCCGAGGCCGAGGCCAGCTGCGACAGCGACAGCGAGTCCAGCGGCTGGCCCGATCCCTGTCCCTGACCCTGTCCCTGACCCAGTCCCATTCCCATTCCCATACCCATCTGCATCTGCATCTGCACCTGCAACCCAAACACCCCCGACCCAAATCCAATCCCACAACTCCCCGACTGCCGATGGAAGTTCCGCGCCGTCGAGCGCGTAAACACCCGCCCGCAGTCCGGGCACGGATGCACCTTCGCAACCCCGTTCTTCTCCCGCAGGTGCCGCCGGTAGTTTCCCACGGACGAGAACCGCCGCCCGTCGCACCCGTGCTCCCAGCACCGGATGCTTGTCTCTGCCAGTGCTGCGGTCGAAGTGGCTCGTCCGGGTCCCTGATGTACGGGTGCGTTTGCGTTTCCGTGTCCGTGTGCGTGGACGTGGACGTGTCGGGTTGGTCCGACTCCACTGCCGCTAGCATGCGTCTGGCTTTGGCTCTGGCTCTGGCTCTGGCTCTGCGCGCGTCGGGCGGGTCCTCGTCTTGATGGGATTGGGAATGGGCCGGTGCTCGTAAGGTCCATGGGCATGGGGCCGTTGGGTGGGACGGGGACGTGGACTGGGCTGTGCTCTGGACTCAGGCTGGGACTGGAACTGGAGGCGGGATCGTTCATGTTCATTTGGTAGTCGTAGTCTTCTTGCGAGGCGGGGAGGGCCAGGGGCCAGGTGTATTGCGGTGGTGGTTGTGGGTGTTGCTGCTGTGAGTGTATTGTGTCTGGGCCTGTGTAGTGTGTGTTGTTGTAAGTGTTCGTGCTCTCGAGGATATTCATGGCGTCGTGGTCTGGTGGCCCGAACGGGTTCGTGTAGAAGGGCGCATGTGCGGTGTTCATGGTGTCGAGGTCTGGAGTCGGTATGCTGGTAGCAAGAGGCAGTTCGGTTGACTGCAGAACCACCGCTTTAAGTGCTATCCATTAATTCTTAGAGGCATCGAGCTGGATGGCATCACATCGCGGATCTGCAGGCTGGCCGGGGCCAATGGAGGATCCTTCACAGCCAACAACGGGTGGGGATTCTTCACAGCCTGTTTGACGCTTGACTGCAGCACTGCAGACCCTGCTCCTATGCTCCTCAATAAGCGCTAATCACTAATCGTCCGCCCAGCTGAGCTGACCAAGCCTGACAAAGTCGTATGCACTTTACTCAATGCATTTGGCCCCATGCCATGTTCTCCGAAACGCACTCCCATTTCACTTCATTAGCCTATCTAACTGTCTAGCCTACTCTATGCCTAGCGTCTGATCTATGACTTCTTCGCCGGCGTCACCCGCCTCCACTCCATGCCCAGCACGCCAATAATCGACGCCGCGGCCAGCGCGATCGACAGGTACCACGTCTTGACGATGGCCTGGTTGCACAGGTCCATGATCACACCGACCGACTCGGCCGGGACAAGGCTGCGGATCTCGCGGTTTCCGGTGTTGAGCACCGCCTCGCGCGAGATCTCGGGGAAGCGGCTGCTGATGCTCGACGATAGAGTCCCCGTGTAGATTGTGTCCGCTGCTGAAAGAGCGACGGTGCCGCCGAGTGTTTGTGCAAGGACGATCAGCGAAACGCCGATCGGGATGTCGTTCATGGGGAGGATGATCTGTGCTGCGACGAGGGTCTGCTGCAGCGCGCAGCCGAGACCTACGCCTGCGGGGACTTGGAAGCCTAGCACGTCGCGGATGGGCGAGGTGGATTCTAGTGTCGACAGCAGGCCCATTCCGACGGAGAGCAGGGCGGTGGCGACGATCATGAAGGGCACGTAGTGGCCGATGACGGGGGTGAGGATGCCGCAGAGGGTGGTGAAGACGACGGCGGCGGCGATGATGGGGAGGAGCTTGACGGCGGAGGAGATGACGGAGAGGTCTTTGATGACCTGGAGCCAGATGGGGAGCTGCACCGGGTATGTCAGCAGGGTCTCTAACGAGATTATCTTAGAGAATGGGGACTCACGTAGTACTCGAGGATGAAGCCCGTCCCCGACGTGCAGAAGGAGAAGAACATGCCGAACGCGATGCTCCGCTGGCTGAGTATCCTCATCGGAACGAGCGCATCGTCGCCCTTTCTCTTCTGCACGAGCATAAATGCGAGCATGATGACCCCAAACAGGATGAACAGCACGATGATCCGTGCATCCGTCCAAGCATACTCCTTCCCGCCCCAGAGCAGCGCCAGAATCAAACAGAGTATCGACGCAAGGAAGAGCGTAAAGGCGGGCAAATCCAGCATGGCGATGCGTTCCTTCCACGTCTTGACCTCCGTCGTCGGGGCCTTGAGCTTAAGCATGAAGAGGGTGATGAAAAAGGTCGGCGCGGACAGGATGGGGTTGATGTAGAAGATCCAGCGCCAGGTCGTGCCGTTGATGATCCCCCCCGCCAGCAACGGGCCACAGATGAATGCGATTCCATTCACCGCACCGAGAATCCCATTGAACACGGCGACTTTGGCGCGCGGGACAGACTGCGAGAGGATCGTCAGGGCGCCCGAGAGGATGCCGCCTGCGCCGATGCCTGCGATGGTGCGCCCACTGGTCTGTTAGTCCATGTTCATCTCAGGATTCATCCAATAACCCAAGCTGGAAGGCAGCAACTCACAGGATAAGTGCAATGGAATTCGGCGCCGTCGCGCAGATAATCGACCCAACCTCAAACAGCAGCAGAGCACCCAGGTACACGATCTTCACCGGGAGCATCGAATACAGCCGTCCAAAGACCAGCTGGAAGGCGCAGTCGGTGTACAGGTACGCGGAGCCATACCAGCCGATATCCTGCAGCGACTTGAACTCGTCGGTGATGGTTGCGACCGCGGTGCCGAGGACGACTTCGTCCTGTTCGCGCTGGTATTAGCGGTACAATCCTGCAGGTGGTGCCTTGAGCGGGCGGGTGTACATACCAGGGCGACTTGGAAAACGGACAGACACAATCCAACGAAAATGAGGGAGAACTTGAGATGGCCGACATATTGGACTTCGTCTTCTTCGGCTTCAGGCTCAGACGGCGCGGCGGAGGCAGAGCGCTCGCTGAGCTCGTCGGGGGTGAGGGCCGGAGTCTGTGTTTTCTCGACGTCGGACATGGCAACGTAGACTCGATAGGTAGGTGGAAAGAAAGTTGAAGTCGCTACATTGTATCAGCGAGCGAGGGAATAATGTACCATAAGTCTAGGTCGGGAAAGAAATTTCGCAGCAGGCAGGCATGGGTGCGCGGCGAAGGGACAGCCGTACGGAGTTAGGCAGAGCGGCAGTGCGTCAGAGTCAGACTCAGCGTCGGCTTTGTTGTTTTTGCAGTTACCATCGTTGTATTATTGGCGGAGGGCGAGATCTGTGCAGAATGACCCATACGCCCGTAAGCTGCAAGTGGTTAGGGCAGGGGCCTTGGGGGCCAGTCTCACCGAGACCCATCAGCTGAAGGCCTGGCCTTACAAGCAAGCTTGCAGATGATGCATTTATTCAATACCCGTCTGTATTACTCGTATGGCCTTATTCCGTCCGCCTGAATGCACCAAGGAAGAGCTAAGGAATGGCCCGACCAACTAAGCGAGCTGTAAGCATGAGTATACCATGCTCATACTACAACGACAGTCTATATGAAGACGACAAGACTCTGGTCGCTGGGCATAATCAAAGCACAGCACACCACACGTCAAGATGATCTTCACTCCGCCAGCATGGGGCCCCGAGATGATGGCCATCCCCGACTCCACCCCCATCCACGAGTTCCTGATCCAACGCGACAACCGCCACCTATACAACTGGTCGGAGGAGAAGCCCGCGCTGACCTGCGCTGTCTCCGGACAGTCGTACACGATCAAGACCATTGCTTCGCGGGTTGAGAGCCTCGCGCGCAGTTTGAGCCAGGAGCTCGGATGGACTCCGAACGACGGGTCGCCGTGGGAGAAGGTCGTGGGAATATACAGTTTCAACACGGTACGAACGTCGAATTATTGAATGAAAGTCATTCTGACGATGTAGCTCGACTTCCTCGTTGCCTCGTGGGCCATCCACCGCGTCGGCGGCATCTGTCTGCTCATGCACCCGACCAGCTCTGCCGCCGAGATCAAGCGACACATTGAACTGACTGGATCGCGCGTTCTGTTCACATGTCGCTCGTTGCTGGCTACTGCCAACGAAGTGCTCTCAGAGAGTAGTGTCCACGATCCGAGGGTCTACCTGCTCGATCTGCCAGACGAGCTCGGGGCCGCGGCGCTGCCAGACCAGGGCCAGAAGACAGTTGGCCAGCTTATTAGAGAAGGAGAAACCCTGCCAACAATTGAAGCCCTGCAGTGGACACCCGGCCAAGGTAAAGAGCAGGTTGCATACTTGTGCCCGACGAGCGGCACCTCAGGACTCCAGGTACGACCTTCACCTGCTGCTCAACTTGTACTGAGAATGTAGAAACTCGCCATGATCACACACCACAACATCATTGCAAACATCATCCAAGCCACCACCTTCCAAGCCGGTCCGAAGAACGGCAAGACCGAAGTAGCCCTCGGCTTCCTCCCCCTCAGCCACAGCTACGGCCTGATCCTCGCCCACCTGACGGCCTGGCGCGGCGACACATACGTCCTGCACGCGCGGTTCGACATGCAGGCTGCACTGGCCTCAATCGAGAAGTACAAGATCGAGCGTCTGTACCTCGTCCCTCCGATCATCTCGGCGCTCGTTAATAACCCCTTCCTCCTGGAACTCTGCGATACTTCCTCTGTTACTTCTGTTGTAACGGGCTCAGGACCCTTTGGAGCGCGTCTGGCTGAGGCGTTAAGCCGTGTTCGTCCGTCGTGGCAGGTTCTTCCTGGATATGGTATGCCCCGGCCTAATCCAGCAGACCAAACCTAACACCTTGAAACAAAACAGGCCTCACCGAAACCGCCGTGATAATCTCCTTCACCGACCCAAACGCCACATACCCCGGCGCAGACGGACATCTCGTCCCCGGGGTGACTGCAAAACTAATCGACGCCGACGGGCACGAGGTAGACTCCTACAACTCCCCCGGCGAACTCCTCCTCAAATCCCCCAGCATCATGAAAGGATACCTCGGGGCCGAGTCCGCCACAGCCGAAGTCTTCGACGCAGAAGGCTGGCTGCGAACCGGCGACATCGCGGTCTTCCGACACAGCACGGCGAACGGGGGAACGGCGCACCTCGACATCGTCGACCGCAAGAAGGACATCATGAAGGTTAAGGGGATGCAAGTGGCCCCTGTGGAAATCGAGGCGCATTTGTCGGCGCACCCGGCTGTGGCCGAAGTCGCGGTTATCGGCGTGCGCGACGAGGATGCCGGGGAGAGGCCGTATGCGTTTATCGTGCGGTCGCCGAAGATGGCTGAGATGGACGAGGATGCGTTACGGGCTGAGTTGAATGGGCATGTTGAGGGGGCGCTGAGCGAGCCGCATTGGCTGAGGAGGAATATGCGTTTTGTGGAGGCGTTGCCGAAGAGCAGTAATGGGAAGGCGTTGAAGTATAAGCTGAGGGAGAGTCTGGGTGCTTGATTTGAAGTACACTGCATAGGGGGAGGTGAGAGGTGAACAGGGGGTATAGGAGGGTCAAAGAGGGTCAAGGAGGCCAGGGGTGGAAACGTGGAGACTGGACGGATGCAAAAGTATTATTTCCATAAACATGTACCTAGCGAACATGATGACTTGTTTATTCGATCGCGTATAATCATTTCCGCAGCATCATGCTGTAAGGTTTCTCTCAATCCAATCCAGCCTTTGCTCTAGCAAGTTGAGAGCCTGCCCTACGACCAAGAGCTCCATTAACCTTCGGAATCGTACATACAGTATATAATATAGCATCCAAACACCTCAAAATCACCTGATAAACCTTATTCTTATCTCCATCATCACCCCATAACTCTCGCCGTTCTCGCCATCTCAAACCCATGCGGCACCCCAGCCCACATGGGAAATGGAACTTCGTCTGCACGCCCGCCCCTGCCAGCTTCGACGCATAGACCACGCACTCGTACGGAAGACATCCAGCATTCCAACCTCGATGTATGTACCCGGAGGATGCAAGGCGGTACTCGACGTCGAAGATCGGGACTCGGGAGAGGTGGACGAGTGTCTGCGGTATGAGTTTTTGCTCGGCGGCGCTTCCCATTATCATGCCGCCGCCGTGGAATTGGAGGGGTGCCGCGGTGGGTGTTTGCTTCTTGTTCTTGTTCTTGTTGTGTCGTGAGGCTGTATTCGTGATGGTTGGTCCTTGGTATCCCGACTCATTCACAGCAGACATGATCTAGCGGATTCACTCACTGCGTAGGTCTATTGGACAATTCAAGGTTCCAGGTGGTTTATTGGATGAACTTGTATTGCGTCGGTCTAGCCTCAGGTATGTTTCTCAATCCATTGACCTCCCTCTGGCCGCAATATATGTCGGGCACTTTACGAGTTATATACACCAACGCAATTCCTATTCCCATCCGATGCAGCTCCCCGATCAACTAGAAAGGGCTGCGATAGTTCCTAAAGACACTAAGCGACTGCGCACCCTGAAGAATATTCTCAAGCAGAGTCCCATAGTCCCAGCCCAGAGCCGACGCAGCAATGGCCGTCAAGCTCGCCTGATCCTCGCGTCCCGGCCGGCCGGGGCCGGTCATATTCTATCGCTGTTAGCAGACGTCCTGTCTTGAAGTATCAAGTAAGCGACCATACCGGCTTCATATTAATATCAAAAAGCGCAAAGTCCCCTCCCTCGTCGAACCTCCTTACATCAACCCGGATCGGAGCCGTAGCCCCTATCAGGCTCGCGACACGCTCACACTCGCGCATGATTTTCCCGTATGCTGAGTCTTTCATCTCGGTCTCGGATACGACCCTCGAATTCGCGGTCACCGCGACAACACCGTTATACGGCGCGATGCCGTCGGCGTGGTTAAAGCGTGTGACGGGGGGCATGCTCCAGTGGCGCGGGGTCTCGGGCGTCGGCGACATGACGGTGATGGTCGCTTCCTCGCCGGCGAGGAACTCTTCCAGCATTACAAGGGGCGATTCGGCGAAGAGGCCTTCCGTATGTTTCCGCAGCTGCTCTTGGTCGCGGCAGACCTTGACGCCGTGGCTGCCGCGGCCGCGGACGGGCTTGCCAACGATGGGATACCGGTCGCTCCCGATCTGCTTGATGACATCGCCTAGATTCTCAGGCGTTATCAGCCACGACCTCGGCAGCGTGAATCCGTCCAGTTGCGCTAGTTTGCCGTTCAGGTACGCCTTGTCATCGAAGTTCTCGACCAGCGCCGGCGGCTGTCCGACGACATGGATTTTGTCAGACAGGGGCGTCAAGGTCGCCGACTTCTGGAGCGGATGCGAATTGAAGAGAATCGTATTCGCCCAGAGGTGCGTCGCGCCTTGCTGGATCGCGGAATTGATCCCCTCCTCTGTATCGGGGAACGTCCAACCCTTGTTGACGGACACGTGGGCGGAGGGGTCCGATTTAAGGACCTTAACGCCCTTTTGCTGCAGTGTGTAGGCGATGTCTGCGCCGGAGTCTTGGTAGCCTGCTAACTTGTTAATTGACAGAGTGGTTCAAGATCAAGATGATCTTTCTTACCACCCGGTTTCCGCGGCTTCCTCACGCCATTGATGACCGGCGGCTCGATGGCCTGGTACAGGACGGCGACGGTGGGAGCGGTGGTTAGGGTGCGGGCGTGGCGGGTTAAGAGCTTTGGCCCCGATGCCCTTAGTATAGTGTGAGAGCGAGAAGGAAACATGACGAGTGGATGAGGGGAACAGACCAGGCAGTTGCAGTTGAGTTGACGTCCTTCGCGGTCTCGGAGGACTCCGGCGATCGGCACTGGAAGCTTCGGTCTCGGTCCGGTTCCGGTGCCTGCCTGTTGGATTAGCAACCGACTGCGGGTCTCGTCAGCTTACTGGTTAACTACACAGGCACGCTCCCCACCAATTCTACCGTGTATGATCGGATAGGTCCGAGTAACTAGGTATGTGCCATCATGAAGATGCAGCTCGCAAGTCCAAGTCCATTATGCTATAGTAGATTCTCCACTAAAGACTAACGTATTTCCATGTCCTAATCCCCGAACGCATACATTTGTCCACGCTTCTGGACCGCGGCGTAGTATGGTCACGTCCAGGTTAAGTTGTATAATTAGTTCAACGGAGAGATCTGAAGGAGTGTCTCCTTCAAACATAGGTACCATAATCTCAGGGGCCGTGATCGTCTGAGGCATGGTGCTGATATCACCAGCGTAGGCAAGTGCGATCCTTTCCAGGTACTAAGCAACGTCTGAGTTTATCCCTCCAAGACCACCAATAACCAGCTAGATCTAACAAAGACATATATCGATTCGCAGATTACGCGTCTTCTGGTTTGCCATGCGTTACCCATCCTGCCAATACGAGTTGCGCGAAATAAGGTCGTGCGCTGAGATCACGCTGGAAGCTCTGCAGATGGTCCAGTAAAATGAACAGATCACAAAATGAGAAGGCCAGTGAGATATACGTTTACCTGAAAACGCTCTCACAGTCGCACAGGCCGTTAACTCTGAATAGGTTGCTCCAATTCCATGACTGGCTGGTTGCAGGCCGAAGTATCACAAGCTTTGTCCTTTGCTTTATGTCCCAGTAGGAGTCGAGAATTGGAACAACCCCCGAGCAGTCTGCATATGATTGCATGACACAGTATCGCCATTGCAGCCATGGCGTGATTGGCTAACGTATTCTACAGTTATCCCCCGGTCAACCAAACTCATCACACACTCCAGCGCCCCGATGTTCTTGAAGATTCTCTGACCTCTTGGTATGCAGAGTGACACAAAGAAACACCGAGGAATCCGCAGTCTTCTCCCTAAATACCCGCGGACAAGCTCGATGGCTTGCGTGGGCAGGTTCGCCACAGGACCCGACTTCGTCATCTTCATATAACCTCAGGGCCGTCGAGCTAAACTTTGTTGCCAACGCCATGGCCTACTCTGAGTCTTTAAATACAGCCCGCGGTTGATGGAGGCCTCCCTCTCCTGCTCAGCACTTTACCTAAGGGTCAGTTAGTGCCTGCGCATCCACCGTCTCTGTTGCCATCGCATTCTACCAATGTTTCCCAACCAAAATGGGGGTCTATCTCGTCGGTCTGGCGACCAACCAACTACGACAGCCCATGCTTCATCTTCCAGCTTCTACCGGCACTGGGATTTCTGGGTGGTCTTCTTGGTGAGTTTCCGCTCCAATGTCTACCAGAGCTGAAGTAATCATAGTAGTCCTCCTCCCTTGCATTTCACGCCGCTTTGTTAGGGACTTCTCCGGGGTGGCATCTCCTCCTGACGGACATGCCGGCCATTCTGGGTCGAGGTAAATATCGATTTGCTCATATGCGCAAATATCTAACAGCCTGAAGACGAGATCCCTACCTTGAACTGGGCATTCCCTACACTTCTCTTTGCACAGGCCTTCAGCAACGTCTTCTTCGGTCGGCTATCGGACTACGTCGGGCGACGGTGGATCTTCATAGCAGGCAACTTGGTCGCGTTTGTAGGGTTTCTATCATGCAGCAGAGTGTCTCATGGCTATTCGATATCTGGGTTGGTGAGTTCACGTTACCCTTTGCAGGAGGACTGTGTCAATAACCCCTTTAGCATGTTCTCATCGGCATCGGTACCGGTATCCAGGTGATGGGCCCCTTCCTAGCACTTGCAGAGCTCGTCCCTGTCTATCTGCGGTTTGCTTTCACCGGCGGATGTGTCGCGCTCTTGGCTCCATACCAAGCCATGTACCCGGCAATAGGTACGTGTTCTCACGGCAAAGGGCAACGACTGACTCGAGCAGCGGAAGCATTGGCCCAAAAGACATCGGAGTCATGGCGATGGTGCTACTCAATCAACGCCATCTTCTCGTTCGTCGCATTCGTGGGCTTCGCCATCGCCTACCACCCGAAACCACTGAGCCAGTTCGATGCTCCGATACGTACACGGAACTGGATCTCTCTGATCTTGATTGCGTCTTCTACATGCCTCGGATACTTTGCCATGTGGGGAGATCGACTCTGGGGTTTGTTCTCTCCTCTTCCGCGTTATGTACAGTCCTAACTGCCTCCAGGCTGGGAGTCCGCGCGCGTGATTGCGCCGATTGTCGTCTCCGGCCTGTTTCTGCTAGCGACTCCTGTATATGGTGGGTGAGCCAACCCTAGGTAAAAACGAGCGACGGCTCACCCACTACAGAGGCTCTTTACGGCGGCAAGGGCGCTGCCGTTCCAGGGTATTTGTTCCGGAGCTGGGCGACGGTCTCGCTGGTGCTCTCGGGTGCTCTTTGTGTGGTCTTCCAGTGGTTCTTTCCCCTGGCCGATGTTCTCATCTTCCAGGCTATCCACGGTCGGACGGGCATGTCTCTTGCTTGGGATACGGTAGGTTTTCTCTACCCTTGTCCTGGGCCACTGAAGTCTAACAAGTCGCAGAGCACGTTCACTTCCGGGACTGTGGCCGGTTCTATCATTGCCACCGTCGCCCTGGCCCGCCCTAGACGGATCAAATGGCACCTGGTCGGCGGCACCGTCGTCAGTATGGTCTTCTTGTCTGCGTTGGCGGCTGCGCGTCCTGAGCGTTACCGGATGGATCAAGCGTTCAATACTCTCATCGGCATCGGGGTCGGCTATGTGCTTGTTACCGCTTATACTGCGGCGCCCATGACCGCGAAACCTAGGGACATGGGTTGTGTTGTTGGGACCATGGCGGCCGTGCGGACCCTTGTTGGTTGTATCCTGTGTACGTATATCTACCCCTTTGACCGTGTCTCTCTAACAGGACGGACTGCAGGGGCCGTATTATATGCGATTGTAAGGCAGCCCTGATTGTACATTCGTCTCAATGCTAATTATGTTCACAGTATCTACCCAAGCTCGACCGAGACCTGACCTCGACTCTCACCAACTCCAACTCGGCAAGCGGCCTCCCTCCAGAAACCATCCCAGCTCTCGTCCAAGCCGTCGACGCCGCTCAGGCGACCGGTGACCCCAGCGGTCTTCTCCAAGTTCCTGGCGTGACCCTAAAAGTCCTCATGGACCTCCAGCTTGCCCTGGTCGATGCAGCTACGAGCGCCTTTCACCTGCTCATCTATATTGCCTTCATCTACGCGGCGCTGATTGTAGGTCTGGCTTTTGCCTCGCCCAATGTCGACAGGTATCTCTCATCGGAGATTCTGGCGTATAACGGAGCACGGCGGGTGAGACCCGCGGACGCTTCGCGAGGCTGAAGGGGGTCCTTAATGCCTACCATCCATACCTATAGCATACGCATACGCATGCGCAACCTGATCTTTCGATGCGATGCATACCCCAACTCAACGTATTGGATTCCTGCCTTTTCAACAGCGCTGGCAGATAGAGTATTTTTGTCGCTCCTCTTATATATGGGAAGAATAAAGGTTGTATTATATAGTTCATCTATCATATGGCTCCGACGCAATCAATGAGAGCTTACGATCATTTCAGCCTCCATTTACAGTTGACTTAGGTTCAATACCCTGATTTCTCAACATCGTGTCTCGCACTAAGCATATCATTGGCACTTTCAGAGGCAGCTGGCCCTAGCAAGCATGATATCCCTCAATCAGAGACGGGCAATTCGCATTACGAGAATACGCTTAGGCCAGGCCCTGGCCTTGAATCTCCCATCCCAAGTACTGTTCACGACGTCTAGACGGAATGTTGGCGACAGGAAGGCTATGCGTATCAGTATAACCCGGATCTAGACCTCGGGAGAGTAGGTGTAACCTCTGGGTATTCATGTGAAGTAGCTGGCAACGGCGAATTTAAATAAACCGACTCTTCCAAGGGCCATCCCTGCCGGTCCTAGACTTACCACTCGAACCTTCTGCAACCCTAAACTTAATGGATATGGCCTCAACTCTTTACTTGGCGGGATACCTTGTCCTCCTCCCCCTCGTGCTCCATTACACCTACAACGTCTTTCTCCAGTCACTGGCAAAAAACCCGGGCTCTAAACTCCGTGCAGCCAGTCAGATCCCCTTTCTCCTTGGGTTGATTGGCAGGCGGCACCACCTGATCATCAAGGATCTCCATGGACGATACGGACATGGGAAATATGGCAAGCCTGAAATGAGCAAGAACGTCCCGTTCAACGTGCCCGATCCCAATGCACCCACCTTCTTTCTGTCTTCTCGAGACCAGCACAGCCGTTACCGCCGACTGCTCTCGCACGGCTTCTCCGATCGGGCGCTGAGGGAGCAGGAGCCTCCCAGTCTCTTCTGGGGCTAGACCGATCTACTCATCAAAGGTCTGAAACTTGCCTCGAACAATGGAAAGACTCCAGTCATTCTCGTTGAATGGTTCAACATGACTCTCTTTGATATCATCGGGGGTCTGACCTTCGGAGATCCCTTTGGCTGACTGAGGACGGGGACATATGCGCGCATGGGTGCGCGGTATCTTCGACGGTCTAAAAGCCATCACATACATCACCGCTGTAAAGCACATCCCCTTGATCGGACCCTACACCCAGAGTCTTCGGAAGCTAGCGATGGTTAACGGCGCATTCAAGGAAAGACGGGCGTTCGTCAACCGACTTCCAGCAGCCAGACGAGTTCATTCCCGAGCGCTTTGTTTACGAGTTGGCCTTTGACGATAATCAAGATGTCCTGCAGCCCTTTCCCGTGGGACCCCGTAATTGCATTGGAAGGAAGTGTTGTCTGTTAAATATGGTAATCGGGCAGCCTTGCATACGCGGAGAGGAAGCCCATCGTGGCGTGTCTGGTGTGCCACTTCGACTTCAAAGTCGGCGAAGAGTTGACAGACTGGCTGAAGCAGAATTCGTTCATCATCTGGGAGAAACACCCCTGGCCCACTTGTCCTGCCAAACATTAATATGCATTAGCAATGTACACAGTTATGCCTGGTGTTATGCAGGTTATGCAGGCGATCGGGGCGATCCTCCAGACTATTTGCATCATCCGAGCCTCTCCTTCCCTTTTGCTTCTTTTTCTCCTTTACCCTCTCCTTTTCTCATTTCTCTCTTCTGCATACTCTGTACACTCCTACCATCTCCTCACCATGGCCGACCGCGTCTTGGACAAGGCCGGGCCTGGTCGCCAGCGCCGCCTGCCCGCCTTCCTGGACCACTTCACCCCCCGCGATCTCAAGATCTTCTTCCGCTGCTGGGTCGCCGTCTGGGTGGCATCGCTGCTGATCTTCATTAACCCCGTCGCGTCCAATTTCGGACAGGCCACGTTCTTCGCCTGGTGAGTGTAGCGGATCTCTGGATGACGCAATGCTGACTCGATGCTATAGCATGGTTCTGTTCATGCTCCCCCCTTCCGGTGTCCTGTTCGTGTATATCCTCGGATCGCTGTCGCTGTTTGTCGGAATCTGTCTCGCCTGGGCATGGGGCGTTATCGCCTTGAAGGCTGCGCTGGCTGCAAGACCGGACGCCGACACCCAGGCCAGACTCGCTGCCCTGCAACAGGCTGCCGCTGCTGAAGCGCAGGAGACGGGAGAGTCGGTCAGCAGTATTGCGCAGCGCTTGGTGTATAATGGGTGGATGCTGGATGCGCGCGTTACGTCCATTCTCTTCTGCATGATGTGTCTCTTCATCTACTTCATGGTACGTCAGCTTGAGTTATGGATCACTCATCACTAAATCAACTAGGCGCGCCTTCGAGCAGCGAATCCCAAGACCGCATTGACCTCTATTTTTGGAATTATCATCGCTGATTTGTTTCTCTGCTACGGCCCCGTTCTGCCCTCCTTCAATGGAAATCTGCCGTTGTCCCTGGTGAAACCGGCCGCTGCAGGTGTTGGGCTCGGCGTCGCTTGTTCGATTCTATTCTTTCCCCGTTCCAGCTCGGATATTATCCGCGAGGGCATGGAGGATCTGCTCGAGCTGCTCAAGTCATCGCTGCAGTTCTCCCACTCGTCGCTGGGCAAGAGCGAGGATCCGGATCTCAAAGATCTCCAAAACCGGCGGACCAAGATCATCGAGCAATACCGACTCCTGGAGCCCTCCTTTGCGTTCTTACCACTCGACTTCCATATTGGGAGCTGGGGGCCTGAAGCGGTCGGTACGTTCAGAGAGCCCGTTCGACATCTCGTGGCTGCGATCCTGGCGCTGGCAGACTTCCACAAAGGCACGGCCGAGAGCCGGATGTACGCCCAGCAGCTGCGAGAGTCGTCGATCAAAGACTCCGAGAGCGATCTAGATGAAAAGAAAGAGCGCAAGGTCGGCGTACATCATCGGTCGCAGCTGGCCGAGTTGGTCAACCAGTTGCAATACACCGAGCGTCACTCCATCAACGAAAGCATCGCAAACCAGCTGACTGACCTCAGCGGCAAAGCGATGGAAACCTGCCTGGAGGGACTGAGCGTCATCAGTGAGTGCGTTCAATTCGTCGGCCGCCAGCGGTGGTATCACAAGGCGCCGCCTGCAAGACACGAAGAACTGTTTCAGCAGACCAAGACCGTCCTCCAGGATCTGCAGCAGACGAGAACAGCCTTTCTAGCTGAGATGACGCAGGCTCTACTCGACGCATATGGGCCGGCGCTGGACAATTTCAACCAAGGCGAGAACAACCGCGCAGCCCACCTGGCGGGGATCATCCTCTGCATGAACTTCCAGGAGCACATGAGCAACGCGATGGACAAGACCGAGGTCTTGCTGGACCGCATCTCAAGCGTCTTCCCGCACGCCTCTCGGACTCGCTTCTTCGTCCCAACGAGTCTGAAATACGCCGGCCGGTGGCTGCTCGGGAGGAAGAACAAGGCGCCCAACATGGCGCCGACAAGTGAGAACCTCGACGACCCGAATGAAGCTCCAGAGGGAGATGCCACGCAGGCTGCGCAGGAGAAGCTGCGCGTCCGTCGCGGGTATCGGCCTAGGGCGCGCCATCCCCTGGGCAGGGCCATTCTGGGCATCTACCACTGGCTGACCTCCGACGAGGGAATGTTTGCTCTGCGCATGGTGGTCGTCACGATCGCCGTCGCTATTTCAGCGGTCCTTCCGAACACCGCTGGCTTCTTCTACCGCGAACGAGGATTCTGGGCCCTGATCATGGCCCAGACGGGGCTCCTAGTCTACATGGCCGACTTCACATTCTCCGTGCTTGCGCGAGTCATTGGCACGATCGCAGGAGGAGTCCTGGGTTTGGTCGCCTGGTATATTGGCTCTGGCCATGGACCGGGCAATCCATATGGCTTGTCTGCTGCAATGGCTGTTCTGCTCGTTATCTTTCTTTGGATCCGACTGTATTCACCGCCGGTGTTCCTTCAAGGGGCCATCATGAGTGCCGCGACGTTCCTGCTGGTCGTTGCCTACAGCTACGTCGATACGTAAGTACTCCCCCTATCCAAGCCGTCTCCATCTAACAAAGCTTCAGACACACTCCTGCCTACGGCCAACCCGGAGTCGGATACCAGGTCTTCTGGCGCCGCCTCCTCCTCGTCCTCATTGGAATCGGCGCAGCGACCATCGTCCAGATGCTCCCTCGCCCTCCTTCAGCAGCTCGCCACATCTGCAACTCGCTTTCCCGATCCCTCCGCACCTTGTCCGATCACTACGCCCTCCTCCTCTCCTGCTGGGGCCGAGCCGGCGACGAAGGCAAAACCATCTCCGAACCCATCTGGCTGGAGCTCACGGAATCGCTTGTTCTCCTCGAAGGCCCGATCTTCAATCTACGCTTCGAGTTCTCCAGCTCTCGCTTCGATTCCGCCAGTCTAGGACAGGTCAAGCAGATCTGCCACGCCATTAACGGTTTGCTTTCTCGGCTTCTTGTTGCGTCGGCGTCACTGCCGCAATCCTACAAGGACCGTCTGGCCAGCCACATGGGCATGCTGGATCATCGCTGCATCGGCGAGATCATGGCCGTGCTGGGCGTCGCGGAGCAGTCTCTCCGGACAGGCGATGCGCCACCCGAGATCCTCCCGACGCCGCTTGTCCGGCGGGCGCTGGAGTACTCGCACGCGCATCACATGGACCGTCCTGTCCTCAGCGCTGAGATGATCCGGGATGAGGACTATCGGCGGTACTGCGTTGCGCTGGCGGCGTATGTTTCGTTCCTCGGCCAGATTGATGGGTTGGTGCTTGTGATTAAGGGCGTTTTAGGCGAGGCGCATTTGGTGAGTCGGGAGTTGGTTGATTTGGTGTGATCTTTAAGGATAAAAGCCTAAAGGATAGAAGCCTAAAGGATAGAAGCATCTAAGGATAGAAGTATAGATCTAGATTTGTCAATGTTCTAATACTTGAACGTGTAGACCTCCCTCCCCCTCTCATCCGTGCCCTTGTACTCAACCGTCTTCCCATCATCAGACACAACTCTGCGTGTATCCCCATGGTGCAGGATGATATCCAGATCCCTCCAAGCCGGCACAAACCCGCTGCTCTCGTCCTTGCTGAGCCCAACAATCACCCGGTCCTCGGTCGACTCGTACGTAATAGTGTACCTGGACACCTTCTGCTCAACCGAGATCCCATCATCCTCCATCCACGTCGTGGTAAAGACGGTCCCATGCGAGCTGGACCGCGGAGGAAAGATCTCCACACCGCGGTAGTCGTCGAGCTCCGCCACGGCCAGCGAAGCCTCCGTCTCATCACCCGGCACCCTCGTCTGCACAGCCTTGCCCACGGGGATCGCACCGCCAATCTTCGCCAGCAGCGCGATACTCTCCTTCCACGCCGACGGAACCTCAACCCACTGCCCGGACGCAAAGTACGTATACGGCGCATTCATATTGACAAAGCCGTAGTCAAACTCACCCCCCTTCTTCCTCGGCAGATAAACCCTCGCAACATCAACCCCAGGCTCATATACACCACCCACCAGAATCGTCTCGCCGAACCAGAACTGCTCCTCGCCGCGCTTGAGCTTCGTACTCCACACCTCCGGATCACACTCATACCCCCAACCCACCCAGCGCTGCGGCGGCGACGCAAAGAAGTGGCTCTCCAGCCCGAGGTTGTAGATATACGGCAGGATCTCGTACCGCCGCTTGATGGTGGCGCGCACCAGCGGCGTGATCTCCGGGTACATCCAGGGCTCGATGACGTCGCCGACCTCGTTGTTGGCCGGCGACGTCTTGAAGCAGTTGATTGCGAAGCGCGGGCTGTAGATGCCCAGCTGGATCCACCGCAGGAGGAGCTCGGGCGAGGGCTGCGGGCCTTCGAAGCCGCCGATGTCGTGGCCTTCGCACTGGTCCAGTATTAGAGTGTTTGTTGGGGTGGAGGTGGGTTATTGTGGGTAGCTTACCTGGAGAAGGGACATCGCTGCGTTTAGGGACAGTGCGTTGGCGCCCTTCATGCTCTCCCAGCTTGTCACGTTGTCGCCGCTCCATGTACTGGCCGAGTATCGCATCGTGCCGGCGGTGGCGCTTCGAGTCAGAACGAACGGCCGCACATTCGGCTCCAGGTCTCGCAGGGCATCGTGGGACGCCTTGCCCATGAGCTCGGTGTGCATGGCTCGGCCCCAGAGACCGACGGTGTTGTCCGTCTGCTTCTTCGCGGCCTCGGAGACGGCCGGTTCGTCGAGGGCTAGACGCCAGTCGTCGTTGGGAAGGGTATACTCGTTGTTATCGTTCCACATGCCGTCGATGCCGGAGCGCTTGAGGAACTGCACGCCGTCATACCACCACTTGAAGGCGACGGCAGACGTGAAATCAACATGGCATCCGTCGCCGCCTGTTCCGCCTCCCGCACTCCACAGCCGCATGTATCCGGGCTCGCCGGTCTCGGGGTCTTTGAAGAATCCATTCCCATTGATTAGTTTCTGGAAGTCCGGATGCGAGGCGAGCGTGAAGGGCTTGATGTTGGTGAGAAGACGAATACCGCGCGAGTGGTACTGCGAAATCCACTTCTCCGGGTCAGGGAAGCGGTATCTGTTCCAGGTGAAGACGGTGCGGACTTTCGGCTCGTGCTCGGCGATGGAGTACCCCGAGCTCATCTGGTGCGCGGAGCAGGGGATGTCGTGCTCCTTGAGCTTGTCGGCGAATTCCATGAGTGCCTGGTGTGCGGGCGGCTCGTCCATCGCGCTGTACCTGTACCCACCGGAAATGTACCCGTATGCCCAGCGGGGGACGGCGAGGGGGAAGCCAACGAGCTCAGCGTAGGACCTTACCACGTCCTTCAATGTCTTCCCGACGATGAGGTACTGCTCCAGCCCACCAAAGTCCTGACGGTACACCTTGAAGTGGCCCCAGAGCCCATCGACCTCCGAACCCACCGACCACGTCCCCCGTCCATGTGTAGTCGAGAAGATAGCGATGCACCCGGTCGGCGTCGCCTTGATCAGGAGGGGAATATGCTTGTACAGGGGATCGGTGTTGTAGACATCGTAGCCGAAACTGTCGGTCGCAGAGAGCTGGAAGTGCCGGCTCGTCAGGTCCATGGGCGCAGACTTCTCTCCCAATCCGACGTGCAGCGCCTTGCGGTCGTGCTCGGTGTAGTGCGCGATGCCATCGCCGTCAATGACATACGAGCGCAGAGGCAGATCGCGGTAGAGAGGCTTGTCCTCGTCATTCCACGACAGCGAGACGACGGGTGTATTCTCCCAGGTCACTGTAGCCCTGACATTTCCAACCTCGATCTCTTTCTCTTTCCGGGAGTCGCTGGTTCTCGTGGAGATCTCGACGCCATGCAGGCTTGTTTCCGGCTTCGCGGCGCTGGGATATGGAGGGAGGGGGTGGGAGGGCGAGGTGAAGGTAACACGGAAGAGATTCTCGCGGACGGCTTCGAAAGAAAAGTCGAACGAGCGCTTGTTCGCGCCTTTGGAGTGAAGGAAGACGGCTGGACTGGCGCCCTGGGTCTGGGTCTGGGTGTAGCCCTTGGGCGTGTACTCTTTCTGCGGCATGATGGAAGTGATCAGTGAAGTAATGGCAATGGCAATTGAGGCGACAACGAAGCTGTATTTGAATCCTACCTGGCTCCAGCAGCTCCCCCCACGCCTGAGGGGCACCTGAGGGGCTGCAGGTACGATGGCGTAGCTGCATCGGTGCTCGCGGGCATCTCCGACGTATACCACTCCCTCCAGTCGGTCGAGGAGCCCGAAGAGCGAAATTACCCCAAGGTGCTCGGCACGAGGGCGCCATTGGATGCGGACGGTGAATGAAGGTCGGAGATGGTCCGTAGCCTGCAGATAGTGCAGCTTTAGACTGCAGCTAGAGCTTAATGGGCTGATGGCCATCGGACTTGCCTGCCTTCGTCCGATGTGGAACATTCCCCAGTTGCCCATGGGAGTCTCATTTCCCCGCGGGGTGCCCCAGGTTCTGAGTATACTAGATATAACTGCCCTCCCCCGTGCGGCCCTGATCTGGTATTGGTCCTCAGAGAATGCATCTGCCTGCGTTGTATCTCAACGGCTGATTTGGCCTTACTACCCCACTATTCACTCTTATTTCACCATCGATCTGCTAGAAGAAGACCATGTCAGACGCACTCCCTCCTCCCAAGTCCACCCAGGACGAACGCATCGAGTTTGCCCCGTCTCCAGCACTCGCACCCGTGCAACCCTCCCATCCAGAACCCCAAGACGGCCGCAAAGACCGGGCTCTCGAGCTCATCGAAGACGCCGGCCACTCCACCATCCTCACTCCAGAGAACAACAAGCGCGTCCTGCGGCGCATCGACCTCCGTCTCCTCCCCATCCTGCTGGGCATCTACTTCCTGCAGCAACTCGACAAGTCGACCCTCTCCTATGGCTCGGTGTTTGGTCTCATCGAAGATGCCAACCTCCACGGACAGCAGTACTCCTGGCTCGGTTCGAGCATTTACCTCGTGCAGCTGGTTGCTCAGCCGGCTATCGCGTACATCCTCGTCAAGATCAGGCTGGGCAAGTTCCTTGCGGTGATGGTGTTCTTCTGGGGCATTTCGCTCGCGTGCATGACGCCAGCCAGGTCGTTTGGTGGGCTTCTGGCTTGTCGGCTCTTTCTGGGATTGTTTGAGTCTGGGATTCGTAGGTGTCTCTGTTGTATCAGGCTTCCTCCGACTGACGATGGCAGCCCCTGCCTTCATCGCCATCACCCAGATGTGGTACCGTCGACGCGAGCAGCCCATGCGTCTAAGTTCGTGGTATGCCATGAACGGCGTCGTCAACATGGTCAGCCATCCCCAGGCACCACCGCTTCTCATACTAACCGGTGCAAACAGTTCGGCAGTCTGATCGCCTTCGGCCTCGGCCACATCCACTCCAGCCTCGCCCCCTACCAGATCATCTTCCTCTTCTTCGGCCTCGTCACGGTCGCCTTTGCGTTCGTCGTCCTCTTCTTCCTCCCGGACTCGCCCATGCAATCCCAGTTCCTAAGCGAAGAGGACAAACTACTCGCCATCGAGCGACTCCGCATGAACCAGCAGGGTATCGAGACGCACGAGTGGAAGTGGGCGCACGTCAAGGAGGCCTTTCTCGACTTGAAGTCGTTCTTCTGGTTTGCGCTGATGTTTTCGATCTCGTACGCCCTTTTTCCTCTCCACTGACTTTTGAGTCCTTCTAACGATAGACTGCAGAATCCCCAGCGGCGGCATCACCACCTTCGGTCCCCTAATCATCGAGTCATTCGGCTTCGACCAGCTGAAGACCATGCTTTTCAACATGCCCTTCGGTGCAATCCAGCTCATTGCGACTCTCGGTGGCGCGTGGCTGGCAACGAGGTACAAGACAAAAGGTGGTGTCGTCGCGCTTCTCTGCCTCCCTGCCATTGCTGGCTGCGTGATGTTGCTGGAGATTCCTCGTGGCGACTCGCATAAGGGACCACTGCTTGCTGGTTACTACATTGTACGCGTCCATCCTCTGGGTGTCTTAAACTCGCTGACATGTTTAGATCTCCGTATACCCTGGCATAAGTAGGTTTGACCACCAATCCTGCGAGGTATCTACTAACCTGAGCAGCACCCATGATCTACTCCTGGGCCGCCGCAAACACAGCGGGTGAGACCAAGAAGAAGGTCATCAACGGTATCCTGCTCGTCGGGCAGTGCGCCGGGAATGTCAGTACTGCCAACCACCGTTTCGAAGATAGGGCTAATTGCACCAGGTCGTCGGCCCAAACCTCTACACAACCGAAGAAGCCCCCCTGTACAGACGCGGCCTGCTTTCCAAGTAAGACCCGTCCCTCGATACCTCCAGCGCATCTAATGATCAATAGCCTGGCCATGTTCTGCGTCCTCGTCGTGCTCTGCGCGTGAGTACAACCCCCTCTTCAAATCATCCGGATTCTGACTTTCCAGCCTGAATATGGCTTATATCTTCCTCCTCAACAAACGGCAAGAGAAGCGGCGCGTGGCCATGGGTAAACCAGCCAAGATCATCGATCTGTCAATGCAGGCAGTCGGCGAGACGGAGATCGACAGCAAGGACGATGTGGTTCAGCGGGCAGAAGACAATGCGTTCAAGGACCTGACGGACTTCGAGAACGAGGATTTTGTGTATGTTTACTAGGCCTAGGGTAGGCATGGTTGTAGTATGTATGGGGTGGCATAGTTTGCAGCGTATAGGGCATTGAATCATGAATCACGACTATTCTTCAGGATCAGGCTATTTGCTCGTATTCGCAGACTTACCCCATACCCTCCTCTTCTCCACAGCCTAGGTAGCACACTAAATCCTTCTGGACTGAGGCGGCCGGGGGTATTCCGATGCCAGCTGCACCGTACGACCCCAACGCCCCGCGTTTCAATAGCCGGGGTTGTCTCTCATGCACTCCGGCTTTTCATCCTGTACTGAGTTAAAGTGAAGCAAAGATGTCCGAAGACTCGTACCTCGTCGCGCCACCAGCATCAATGAAGCGCATCCCTGTACGTCCCCATTCCAATCACCAGAGAGCGCACTAACAGCCGCAGAAAGCATGCAGCGCATGTCGGGTATCCAAGGTCCGTTTGCCAATAGCCGTACAAAGCGCCTACTGCAATTGCTCATATTGGTAAAATGCAGGTAAAATGCGACGGCAGACGCCCCTGCACGCGCTGCCAGAAGATCAAGAAGCAGTGTGTTTTCTTTGAGATTCCAAGGGATCCTGTGGCTGAGTGCGTTCCCATTCATTTCTGAAAAAACAGTGCTAATGCAGGGGTAGACGGCTCGAGAGTGTCGAGTCAGAGGTCCGTCGGTTGCAGGGGCAGCTCGATGAGATGAGGGAGATGCTTCTTCAGCCTCAGCAGCCGGATGCCCATGCGTTCAATGGAGCTGGACAATCGACTGGCCCCGGGGCTGAGTCGCAGACGTCCAGGTGTGGAGAGAGCTTCTCGACCATCTCTCCGGCAGTGACGGCCATGACGGAAAATGCCACTGGCACATTTCTAGGACAGAGCAGTGTGCCCTTGCAGCAGCATGTCCCGGCGTTGCAGGAGATGCGCCCGGCAAAGAGGCGGCGCTCTGAATTTGAGATCAGGGAAGAGCCCATCTCGGATTTCATCAGGCAGGGGCTCATCACGACGGCCTACGCAAGGGACTGTTTTACAACGTGCGTTGAGCGGAATGAATAATGTAATCTATGCTGACAAGGTCTAGATTCTTTCAAGGCTGCGTATGGTCTATAAGACGCCCCGGTCTAACTTGAGCTGACTCCAGCAGGACAGGTACATCCCCGTCTTCGACCCGAAGCACGACACCTTCGAGTCGGTGCGGTATCGGAGCAGCATGCTGCTGAACGCGATCTGTACAATCGGGAGCCGGGTCGAATCTAGTACGTCTATCCATCGTCTATCGACACAATTCTAATCGTCTAGGATCCTCGCAATTATCAGAGTTGCTGCAGGCAGAACTCAAGAAGTGGATCAACGTGGTGATCCAGAACGAGGCGTTGAACTGCCTGGAGTCGATCCAGGCACTGCTGGTTATCGCTTGCTATTCCGCCGAGCGCTCGTTGATTCTATCGTTCGCAACCCGCATGGCGCTTGATCTCGGTCTTGACGAGGCATTCGAGCAGCTGACGCATCGGCTAACGATGAAGGATGTGGAGGGAGTTCCAGTTCCAGGCATTGCGGGAGCGGCTGAGGAGGAGAACGTTTTGATGCGGAAGTCTCGAACGTGGTTTGGGCTCTTGGTGTTGGAGCATATGTAGGTGTTCACTGCAGTAAAGCGACCCTTCTGATGGTTCCCAGATTCAGTCTCGACGGCGGAAAGCCACCGGGCATTCGAATGACGGGAAACGCACGGCGCTGCCGCAAGTTGCTCCGTCAACCTTCTTCCACAGTATTGGATCTTCGGTTATTCTCTCAGGTCGAGGTACGCTCGGTACTAATCTTTCGTAAGCCATCGCTAACATCCGCAGTTGAACGTCATCAGAGGTGCGCTTTACCCTGGGCAAAGTTGACCGTGGCCCGGCTGACGTTGCCAGTGCATATCAACGAAATATTAGGCGGCAAATCGCCACTGGCTCGAGCTGACATCGCAGCGTTCGTGCAGGACGCGAAGCTTGATTTGGATTTGTGGTTTGAGTAAGTTTCCTTCGACACCTCTACCTCATATCTAACGAACGCAGTGACTGGCAACGGATAATAGGTACAGCCGACGACAGAACTGAACTTGGGCCAATGCTAATCGGACAGAAACCGCTCTCGCCCCCGATGACGAAGAACGAGCACCGCTGTTGGCCGCCCTGCGTGTCCAGAACTGCTGGAGTGAGATGATGCTGCATTGCAAAGCGCTGCGGTCGCTGGGTGTGGAGAACGTAGCGTTCGTCTCTCCATCTTATTCCTGCGAGACTATTAAGCTGATTTATCCAGGGCAATGTCGCCCATCGAGCGAAAGATCCTGTTGATGGCAAAGGCCAGCGCCCGGAAACACCTCAGCCTCATCACCATCGAACCGGACTCCTACCTCGCGAAGCTCAAATACGCGATGGACTTTGTCTGGGCAAAATGCGCGTTCTGCTTCCTGCTTCTGCTCAAATTATCGCGTCTCCTTCCAGAGGGGAAGGAAGAGCACCAAGAACTGCTAACCCACGGAAACCGACTGCTCGATGACCTGACAAAAAGCGTCTCGAACAGTAACTCAGCTAGTAACGGCAACGTATACCTCCAGATCCTTCGACTGAGCATTGAAAAGTACGGTCGCACGCTGCAGGAAAGCGGGCTGGGGCACGAAGAGGCGAATGCGGACACAGCGCCATTTTGGGAGCTCTTCGATGCTCAAACGGAATTGACCTCTTTCGTGCCAGAGCAATTCGTGAGCGAGTGGGATTTCCCAGGCCTGAACCTGTTTTATTTTCCCACGACGTGGCAGGACTTTTTTGCCGACTTCTCGTTGGCCGTCTGATGATGGACGTGGTGGCGGCAACGGAGCAAACAGAGAAGGAACAGAAAAAGCAAACAACTAGTTCGCTTACTTCTATCGGTAAAATTCTGAGAGCGAGCGCGTCGGTAGAGCGAAGCAGCCTCAGTTTCATCTTAGGGGCTTGCCGATAAGTCGTCAGGTGGGTTTGGTCGACTGGTTTCACTTGACAAAAGAACCAAGCGGAAACACGCCCTCGGACACTCCAGCATCGAACGGCCACGGCCAATCATTCAACAACTCTGGCGGCAATTGGAACTGAGCGATCGGGTCATCCATACCGGTCATGGGTGCCTGGATAGGTGCAAGATTGGGTTGGTGATAAACACCGGAGACCAACTCTCCCTGTACGGGTGGGTTGAGAATTGACGGTGGTCGAGGCTGCGGAGGAAGAGCCGTCGATGTTCGCTTGGTCATCATGTACTCGTCGATGCGTTGGACTTGGGCCTTGAGTCGCTCGCTTGTGCCGGTAGATCGGCGAAGGCCCGATTCCAGCCGATGCAAGAGGTCCGCCATCTCTAGTAGTAGTGTGCGGACACGCTGATACGACACCTCGGAAAGACTCCCTTCCATCACCGAGCCAAGGATATACCCAATTCCAGCGAGGTGGTGCAGCAACGGAGAGCTGATGGCCTTGAGGTACTCAACCGGCACCTTAGAAAAAACACTCAAAACCTGTCCCGCGACGGTACATTTCTCATCAACACCTTGTTCTTCGTTCGATGACAGAACCATCCGCAGCAGCTGAAGAGTTGCTTGGATATTGGCAGACTGGAAGCCGAAGATGTCGTGGGCCAAATCTCCAGTAACCGGCCGAGTCTCGAGGAACTGCGGAGGAAGTGACGAGTATATAGAGAGGACATGCTCCATCAACCACGTTCCGGTGTTTTGGGCAGGGCGGAACAACGACCAGACATCTGTTATGCCATTGTTCGGACGTGAGCGTCGTCTCTGGTTGTCAACCGCATGCTCCATCATACGGTACATGTCCGTGATGAAATTCCAGCCGGTAATCCAATCATCTGATGGCCTCGGTGGGCCAAGCCGACCGTTCTCCGCTGGGGACACGCCGTGGGTGGTTTTCGCGATGAAGTCGTCCCTCACGCCGCCAGGATAACGGACATTAGATTGTGCTTCTCGATGACGGATAACTCCTCCCCAGACAATAGATGAATAAACGTCCAATGTGTAGATTGACCAGAACTGGAAATGTTAGAAATTTCAATCAGAGGTTTGGTACTGCATACCATTCGTCGCCGGATCTCAACCGTCACAGGGTCTAGATTCTTGGGCCAATATTTCTCATCCTGAAGTCCATCCATTGTCGCCAGGGTATGATACATTCCCAGGTACTGCTGCATGCCTTGAATCTGTCCATGCTGGATACTGGCAATACTCAGAATAGCGCATGCTCTCATATACTCGGTACCTCTGGCCGTAGCTAGATCTCGAGGAATTGACTCTTTCGCGGCCATCCAGAAAAGTTCCGACGGAGGGTTCGCCAGCTGCTGCGGAGACCAGCGGGATGAGTATAACGCGCCGTCGCGGGCTCGGGCAGATGCCAACGCGCACATTGCCATTGTCGATGCGAAGAAACCGTCGTCGTGGAGGTAGTCCAAATTTTCAAGCGCTTTCGAGAAGGAGGGCCAGTGGAAGAGGGGGAATCTAGACGAGAGCCGGTTAGCTTCGGTCCGGGACATGTGCGGAGAAACAAAAAGAGCAGTACATCGGATATACAATCTCAAAGTAAACCTGAGCCAAGTCCCGGATCGTGTCCTGACAGGCCGTCGCAAACGCCTTCCAGGGTGTAATCGAGGCGCCGTCGCTCGTGCCGATCAGCGCCGCGGCATTCCCATTGATCCCATCCCATGACGCATTGCTTGTCCGAGACTGAAACACCGTGCTTGTCACCGAGCCCGAGGGCCGTCGAGCGGTGTCGTATTCGCGAGGAGGCTGCGGAGGCGTAGGCTGCGTGGGCTGCGTGGGCTGGCTGGCGGTTGGGCTAGCATTTCGGCGGGCACCACGGCGGCGGGCAGGGCGATCATAGGTACAGGGGACATCGAAATCGGCGCAATTCTGGCAGGGAGCAAGCGGGCCGTTGTTCTTATTACACTTGATGCTGCGTCGATTGCAGAAATCGCCTGTGACGGCAAGGCCGTGTGTCAGTACCGTTTTAAGCTTTCCGCGGAGACTGGGGAAGCGCACAGGCTTTGGAGATGCGCTGGAACTTGCGCGGGCGCTGGGACATCTCGGTGTCGAAGAGAGCGACAGACGGGGCATTGAAGGGCTCAGGGCAGGCGCCGCATGATATTGTTTGTGTCGAGAGGAGACGAGACGGCGTCGAGACGAAAAGTGTTACAGACGACGAACTGGTGGACCGTCCGGAGGCACCTCGGCTATCTGCTTTGGGCTTAGTGGCCCCGGATTCCGGCTTCAATGACTAATACTGTCGTCCACTTGAGGAAGGTGTTGCCCACGGGTACCCCGGACCCCGGACATTTTGAAGGCGAAGACTGGGAATCTTATGTCGGGTACAGAGAATAGTCATTGATAAAGGAAATCTGATGATGGTGTTCCGAGCATGAATCAAGGTGTTGAGAGGGAGTTGGCGGATGAAATGGTGTGGTTGCCGCTATGAGTTGCGTTGACAGAAATATATATCTTAAGCCCGGCACTCAGCAGCAGCATATGCTCAATGTACCTTGGGAACGTTCATTACTCATTTATCATATCTACGCTATACTACTACCACTTATTATTGAAAACCTTCCCGTCAACATAATTGACCATCTCACTGACCGGCGCGAGATGATCGCGTCCAGCACCAAAGAGCGTCCCCTGCCGCATGACCTTGCGGTAGTTCCTGCCCGGCGCGACCTTGCCCAACACATACTCCTGACGCGTCTCAACACGTGTCGGAACTGGGATCGAGCGACCGACGATGGCCTCCATACCCTGCCAAGCAAAGGTGATGGCCTCCTTGGCACCTCCCGGAATACCGGCTTCATCGAGCATCATGATCTTCGCCTTGGGGTAGTTCTCTTGGATGTGTTTGGTAATGTTGGGGTTGAACGCGCCGCCTCCGCACATGAAAATCTCTTCGATCTCGAGACCTTCAGGAGCATATCGCCGGTAGTGGTCGACAATCGCCTGTGAAGTCACTCGGGTGATGCTCGCGACGACATCGTCGGGCTTCAGGCCCTTGCTCTCTGCCTTGCGAATGAATTCGAATGCCAATGTATCCCGGAAAACTTCGCGGCCGGTGGTCTTGGGCGGATCTAATCGGAAGTAGGGGTGATTCTGGAGGAAATCGTCAACAAGCTCCTGGTCAACGGTGCCGCGGGCGCCCATCTCGCCGTCCTTGTCAAACTCGCGCTCGCCGTTGGTGTAGTGGCGGACTACCGCATCGATGAAGACGTTTCCGGGACCGGTGTCAAAGTCGTAGCAGGCGTCGACGCCGCCATGGGAGTCGGGAGGAATGAAGCAGACATTGGCGATACCACCGATGTTCTGGCACGCGCGCAGCTTGGTCGGGTGGTGGAGGAGCAGAGCATCAAAGAATGCAATGAGAGGGGCGCCCTGTCGGCCGGCCGCCTGGTCGCTGACTCGGAAATCGGTGACGGAAGTGATGCCAGTGCGCGAGGCAAGGAAGGTGCCCTCGGCGAAGGTCAGGGCGCTTCGCACCTCGCCGGCTTCAGGCATGGACAGCAGCCAGATGGTCTGGCCGTGAGAGCCGATGACGTCAATTGTGGAAATGTCGACCTTGTAGTCTTCACAGAACTGCTTGACGGCGGCAGCGAATGTCTCTCCGAGGATGACATTGACTTCTGATAACTCCGAGGGAGAGGTCTTGTTGTGCAGGATCATGTTCATGACCCGTTTCTTGATGGTCTGTTCGAGAGGGATTTCTCCATACTGCGGGCGTGAGTGATAGGATACTCAACATTCCTCTTTCACGTACCTTGAGCAGCTCGAAGTGCATGGGAGACTCGGGAGTTTCCTGTCGGAAGTGGCATAGAGCACAGTCAATGCCATCCTGGAGAGTTAGAATGGCTCGAGTCGGAGCATAGAGCGGATCGACTCACCATAGAGGTGCCGCTGTTCAAGCCGAGCACCGTGATATCGAGAGGCTGATTCTGGGACGCCATACTGAAGACAGGGAGTATGAAGATGAAGAGCCAAGCGGATCCGCGACGGCTAAATAAGATATCGGAGCAGTCAGACTCTTGGGATTGATCGGGCCGGTTGAGCCAGCTGGCATCGGAGAAGTCGCCGAGGGTCCCTGGCTCGCTCTCCCACCGGTCTCGCCTCTGCTGCAGGCGAAAATGCGTAAACGCCTAAACGGTCCCCTTCCTGGGCTAACAGACTCCACCTGGCGCACGACAGAATCAGATTCTGCACCAAACCTTGGAGTTGGGACTCTCTGTGGAGGCGAGATCGCTTAATCCCTGCATATTCTGCGAACTGGTCTCCTCCCCCGGTTTTGCCAGCACTACCCCGGGTTTTGGCGTCAACATGGCCTACACCACCCTCTGGCGACGCCTCTCGTCGCGCCAGCTCAATGTCGCCATCCAGGTCTTTTCGCTCATCTGCATCTTCTTCGAGGGCTACGACCAGGGTGTCATGGGCGGCGTCAATTCCTCACCCTACTATGTCACCGAAGTCGGAATTGGCGAGCCGGATGGCACGGTGACCGACACGACGCACCAGGGGGGCATTGTCAGCATCTACTATCTCGGCTGCATTTTTGGCTGCTTCGCTGGGGGCTGGTTGGCCGATCGCATCGGACGCATCAATGGGCTGTTCATTGGTGCCGTTTTCGCGGTCGTTGGCGGTGCTCTCCAGGCGGCGATTCAAAGCTCGAATTTTATGCTGGTGGCGAGAGTCGTCACGGGCATTGGGACTGGAGGTATGTCGCTCATCCGGAATTCTTGACAAGCTGTGCTAACTGAGCAGCCTTGACTGGAATCACCCCGGTCCTGGTGTCAGAAACTTCATCCGCCGGTCATCGGGGTGGCTTCCTGGGCTACGTCTTTATCGCAAACTGTATGTCTCAATTTCTTTCTTATGTTTCGCATACTAACAATGTACAGACTTGGGAATCTCGGTCGCATACTGGTTGTCTTTCGGCCTCGCCTTCATCAACAACGGCTACTCGGACATCCGATGGCGCTTTCTCCTCGCCTTCCAATGCATCCCGGCTCTCCTGCTGGTTGCCTTTATCAAGATGCTCCCCGACTCTCCGCGCTACTACGCATCGGTCGGCCGCAACGAGGAAGCCAGAGACTTGCTGACCAGACTTCGATCCCACAAAGCGAGTCAGGCCGAGATCGATCACGAGTACCTGGAGATAGTCGCGATGGCTAAAGAGAGCCAGCGCAGCTCGCCGATTCAGTTTGTCAAGATCCTGATCGGAAAAGGAGGGCGACCGGGGGCCAACCTCTGCCGACGCGCCTGGCTGTGCGTTTGGCTTCAGATCATGGCCTCCTGGACTGGCATCACGGTATGACTTCATTCGCAACTGTACAGACGTCTCTAACAACTCAGGCGATTACTGCGTATTCGCCAACGCTCCTCAGCCAAGCCGGCTATAGCAACCTGACCCAAAACGGCCTCGCCGGGGGCATCAACACAATCGGCATCATCGGCACCATCATCAGCGCCCAAATTGTCGATCGCATCGGGCGCAGAATGTGCTTGATGTGGGGTGCCTTGAGTCTCTTCGCTGTTGAAATCGTGGTAAGTCGCTTTTCCAGAATGTCATAGCTCTACTGATCCACCAGGCCGGCTCCGTCTACGAAGCCTCCCTCCACAACCCAGCAAAAGCATCCGACTACGCCCCAGCAGCAGTGGCCATGCTCTTCCTCTTCAACCTCGGCTACGCCGCAACCTGGGGCACTGTCGCGTTCCTCGTCCCAACGGAGATCTTCCCCTCCGACCTCCGCGCACAGGGCAACGGCTTCGGCATCACGGGCTGGGCGATTGGCGTGGGCATGACGACGCTGGTGAATCCGATCATGTTCGCCAGTCTGAAGAGCCGGAGCTACTTCCTGTTAGCTGGGTTGAATCTCCTCTGGATCCCGATCGTGTACCTGTTCTACCCGGAGACGCGCAACCGGTCGCTCGAGTCGATCGACGCTTTGTTCTCGACGCCCAGTCCGTTTTACTGGGAGATGGAGCGCGCGTATCGGTTGCACAGCGATGTCCTCGCTGAGAAGGGGGTTACTGCGTTTGAGGATGAGGGAGGGAAGGTGGAGGATATTCATGAGCGAGAGGGGCGTTAGCGTTATGCCGCTGGGCGACAATGATGGTGTCGGCGGTATTCTTTTATCGGTTTAATGGTAATTGGTCATGATGGGAGGTTTACTGTACATTTTTCTATGGCTATGGGCTTATTTTCGTTGCTAGTGTACGTTATTATGAAAGAGGCTGCACATGGACATTCTCGTCCTAGATAGACGAAGGATCGCAAATGGGAACGAGTTATTCTAACATTCTCAGAGCCTTACTGGCTTGCTCAGCATGGCTTCTTCGGAGGAGATCTCATGGTAATCGATCTCTTAAGCCAAGTCAGCCCCCGACCGTGGTCGCTTCGAAACATTGGGCCGTTGCCCCTTGACCATTCCAACACTTGCCTCCAGTACGAATCTGATCTGATATGCCAAGATGAGTTGGGGAGCATATACTCGTAAACTGTCAAAAATCTCCAGGCATGAGTCCACATCTCCACGCCCAGGCGTTGCAGTCGCCCTGATTGGCACAGCCTCTACGACCGGGTGTTCGTATATTCGTAGGAGTTATACTAGCGGGCCAGATCCGATAGACGGACGCTCCAATAAGGCGGACTTGATTTCAGCCGCGGTGGGGGCCTGATCCTGCTGCCAGCCAGACGATATAAAGTACCCCGTCGGCCACCTCAGGCTCTGTTTACCTGACATCTCACCCCGCCACCATGATCCCCGTCATCAGTCTCCTCGGAGTGATCCTCTACATCCTCTTCCCCGCGACAATCCTCTACTTCATCAACAGCCTCTTCCTCAGCGCGCCCCTTCCCCAAGGCGTCCCCTTCATCCGCGAAGCACCCGGAAAGAGGAGCTTCAGCCTCAAAACACGGCTTGCCTACCTTACCGACTGCGAGTCGCTCTTCAAGGAGGCATACCACAAATACCTCAAGCACGGCAACCCCGTCATCCTCCCAGGCTTCGGCGTGCGCAATGAAGTCCTCCTCCCGCCGTCTTCCCTGCGCTGGGCCTCGACGCAGCCAGACAAGGTCCTCAGTCCGGGCGAGGCATTTGTGGAGATCGACCAGGCGGATTACAGTATCGGAAATTCGCGGTATATAAGCGATGCGTGGCACGGTCTGCTCGTGAAGACCGAGATGAACGCCATGCTGGAGAATATCGTTGCCAGCCTGAACGATGAGCTTGGAGTGGCATTCGACAAGTATTTTGGGACGGACACGGAGCAGTGGCAGAGCATTGATCTGTTTGAGGCCGTGCGGATGATTGTTGCGCAGGGTGCCAGTCGGTTTACAGTGGGCTTGCCTTTATGTATGTCCCATCCCTTCCAGCCCTCTCATAGGTGTATGCTAACAACCTTGGAATGCAGGCCGCAACGAGCAATACCTCAAAGACAGCCTCGACGCCATCGACGGGTGCGTCATCAATGCCGGAGTCACAGGCGGATGTCCCCCCATTCTCCGCCCCCTGGTCGGTCCCCTCGTCGGATTGAAACCACGACTCGCCAACAGACGAGTCCGCAAACACGTCGAGCCGCTGTACCACGCACGCATGAAGTCCCTTTCCAAACCTATCGAAGAGCAACCAACAGACCACTTCCAAATGATGCTGCGGTTCGCCGCGCGCGAGCGACAGTTCGAACTGCACGATCTCAACACCATGGCCACCCGCGTCACAGCCGCAAACTTCGGCTCAATGCACCAGACCAGCATCGCAGTAACCAACATGCTGCTGAACATCCTGGCCTCAGACAGCGAGTACAACACAATCGCCGTGCTCCGCGACGAGATCGAGCAGACACTCGGCTCCGATCCGGCCTGGACAAAGTCCAGTATCTCGAAAATGCTCAAAGCCGACAGCGTCGCGCGCGAGACCCTCCGCTGCCACTCGTTCGGCGGGCGCTCCTTCTTCCGCAAGGTCCTGGTCGTTGGGGTCGTCACCGACACCGGCCTTTCCCTGCCAAAGGGGACGCTCTTCTGCTTCCTGAGCCAGCAGCCGCACATGGACGAGCAGGTCTACCCCGATGCAAGGAAATACGATCCCTTCCGCTTCTCGAGGGCTCGCGAGGCAGCATCCGATCCCAACTCTAGCAAGACCAGCTCACCGAGCCTGAGCTTTGTCTCGACGGGGCCGAACTACCTCGGCTTCGGCCATGGGAAGCATGCGTGCCCGGGCCGGTTCCTGGTTGACTTTGAGCTGAAGATGGTTATGGCGTATGTGCTGACGCACTATGAGATAAGGTTTCCGGAGGAGTATAAAGGGGAAAGACCGAGGAATCGCTGGATGGCGGAGGCTGTTGTGCCGCCGGAGGGGGTGAGGGTTTTGGTGAAGAGGAGGAAGCTCTAGGTATCTGGATTTGAATCAAACTTGTATATACCATGCCGAGGAACTATGAAGGGACTTCCAACGGCTACGATGCCACGGCTTGTCCTCCACACAAAAATCAATACCACAACAATATGCTAGGAGAGCACTATATACATCTAATTACACGCGCCTTGAGATCCTGCCCCTCCTCATTCTCCCAACCAGAGCATCATGCGGGCTGGGCTTTGTATCATGTATTCAAGATCTCGGCGTCAGTGTCTTCGAATAATATAATTATTCGTAAGGCTGGTGTTTTAAATCAACAGGGCAGGCGTGGTTGTGCGTGCATAAAGTTATGCCGCCGAGCTCTTTTTGTTTGCCAGCCCTAAGTTCGTGATACACTGCATGCGCCGAGACTTAAGTTAAATCCAACCTGGAGACATCAAATTCCACCTCTCAGCTGTTCCAGATGCTCTAGACGCTATCCTGATATGACGTCGACCGGACTCGACCCACGTATCCCAGACGGACCGAGGAGGAGCAGCGGAGACAGCGGGGCGCACTTAGATAACAAGGCCAGCGCCCTCACTTTCAACGCAGCAACCACCACCATGACTGACATTATCCTCTTCCACTACCCTCGCCCGCCCTTCTCCGCGCGAGTCCTCTACTACCTGGCCTTCCGGGGGATCCCCTACGACCAATGTGTATGTACCGACTACAGACTCACGCCGCGACTAACACCAGCAGATCCAACCCCAGATCCTCCCCCGCCCTGACCTCGCTCGCCTCGGAATCCGCTACCGTCGCATCCCGCTGCTCTCCATCAGTCGCGATGTCTACCTCGATTCTCCCCTGATCCTGCGTACCCTCGAGCGCATCGAGGGCGCTAAGCCCCCGTTCGCCGCGACCTCCACCCCCGAGCAACGCGCCCTCGAACAGCTCCTCGCCAAGTTGACTCTCGAGACCGGCCTCTTCCGAAACATCGTCCAGATCCTCCTCCCTAATACCCCGTTGATGCACAATGAAGCCTTCATGAAAGACCGCCTGGATATGATCGGTGGCGGGCCGGGCATGGATTTTGCGGACTTTGTCCTCGCCGGGCGACCGGGTGCTATTCTCGAGGTGAAGAATACGTTCGAGTTCCTGGAAACGACCTTGCTGGCAGACGGAAGGCAGTGGCTCGCAAAGACAGAGGCTCCGGGCCTTGCGGACATCGAGATGGTGTGGCCTCTACACTGGCTGATTTCGGTCCCGGGCGCACTGCCTGAAGAACACATTTCGTCGCACTTGTTTCCCAAGGTCTTTGCCTGGATTGATAGATTCCAGAAGGCCTTTGGAGAGGCACAGAAAGCGCTCCGTGCCCCCGAGACGCTATCTGGCGAGCGAGTAGCAGAACTGCTCGAAGGAGCTGCAGCGGAGGAGTCAAAGGACGTAGTTGATGCGAGCGATCCTCTTGTTCAAGCCAGCGGACTTCTGAAGGGACAAGTCGTTCAACTGTGGCCTACTGACAGCGGCGCCAGACACAAAACGGTCGGGAGACTGCTCGGGCTGACGGACAAGGAGATCACCATTGAGACCTTCGAAGGCGATGTCTCGGTTCGAGTCCATGCCCCAAGACGCGCTTTCCAGGTTGCTGCACTCCCGTCGGAGAAAGCACATCTCAGTTGATCGTTAGATGGTGGTTTGATATTCGTGATGATGTAGCATTCCTGTTTGGGCAACGAAGTCTTCTGCCCGTTTTCATGCCCATGACGATTCAATTCAATTCAATTCAATTCAAGTTCTTTGACCTCATGGAGACGAGATTCCTTCTTCTAGATAAGCTATAGAATGCGAACTCTTCATCGCCTGGTAGGTAGTCAAATCCCAAACAGTAACACGCCTCGTCTCTCCCATCCCAACCACGCGCCACCTCATCGCATGAAGCTTTCACGTCAAGAAACGAAGAGAACTGTCTTGATAGCTAGGCTCATCGACTGAAGGCAGAGAAATTATGGCTATGGGATATGAGCTGCCTGTGCGAGATCGAATCTCAACCGCCGTATCCTGGAGATACAACACACCGACCCCGGTGGTAGTCTGTCTAGCGACGTAGTCAAGCGCTATTCTACAACTCAAGCTGCTCTACGTTCCTGTCCTCTTCCGTGGGCCTTGTATATTGCATAGAGCTGCGTTTCCTGGCGAGCAGAGCTGCGCTTTCCCGACGAGCAGAGCTGCGCAGCTTCTACCCCGATGAAACTGCTCGCAGACTCCAAGCAGCAGAGACCTGGCCACCGTTCGATTGGCTCCAGGTACAGATCAGCTGCGATGTGTTCTGAACGTGAATGCAGCGGCGGGGGCAACTCCCAGACTCGTCGAGGGTGGAGTCCTGCAGCCCGTGACTTTGCATCGGAGGTGAATAACACGCGCCTGCCCAAAACAGAACCCAAGAGAAGCCAACCGACCGGGCTTCGCTCGCCGGTGAAGGGAATGCGTGAATGTCTGCTGCCAGTCCCGCTCCAGGTCTGCTCAATTTCGACCATATCATCCTGCTCCTCGCCCGCCCTGTCTCGACACTCTCATCCCACAGATTTCCTGTTCTACCTTTCTTCGCCCTCGTTCTTTCCCTGTTCCTTTGCTTGTCAGTGATGGGATTGTGTTAATGCCTGCTGGGGATCTTGTTCCAGGTCTTTTTGATCTCGACTTTTAACCCTGCTCATCTCCGTCCTCCCTCAACACATTCCACCCCACAGACTTTCTCCTCTGTCGTCCCTCTCTCTGTTTCGCCTCTTTTTACCTCCTTTGCCTCTCTTCTCCATCCTTCCTTTCCATCCTCTCGTCATATATTCCTTCTTTCTCCTTCTCCTTGAACCCTCACACGCTCTACTTTGCTTGCTATCTCGCCCTGAGGCTGGCAATCATGACGCCTAACAAGCGGGCTGCCGAACCTGAAGACTTGCGTCGATCCACCAGGATCAAAACCAACGCTCAAGGTAAGAATTCCAGATCCTGCCTATGTCAGACAGGTCGTCACCTAACACCTCGCGCTGCAGTTTCGGCCCAATCCTCCCCCGATGTCAACGAGCCTTCTCTTCCAGCTGATGCTGGCCTGGCCAACGATCGACACTTTGAAGAGCAATATGCCATGTTGGCTGACGACGAAAGCGACGAAGACGTCCAGCCAACGCGTACAGGAATTGGACTAGGTCCTGATAAGGATCTGTCCGCTCAGTTCTTCGCTGAAGACCGTAACCCTTTTGCTAATGCTAGCTTCCCCAACACCACTGGACAGTTGAGCCATGAGGAAATGATGATTGCGATGTTGCTTCAGGACGATGACGATGCGGCGTTGGTCCAAGGCGATGAGAATGCGCTGTTCGTTCAAGACGATGACGATGCGTCGGTTATTCAAGACGATGGCGACGGAGACATTCAACCGCTCCTGAGCGGTATCGAATTCGGTTCTGATATGAATCTGTCCGGACAGGCCATTCCACCCGCAAAGCCTGCGGCGGCGTCCGAGCTCGTTGGAGAAGCACCCGGATGGGGAGAAGTTTGTACCCCCTTCGTGCTGAAGGTGCTTTGCTAATGCGTATCAGGACCGTACGGGAATCGCAGACACTTATGCATGGTTCAAGATCCCCCAAGGAGGCACCTACACCTCCAAAGGATTCTTCTTCGGTCTCCTGCTCGGCAAAAATGGCGGGCCTCGGTGCTACGTCGACAATGACACCATCATTACTCGAGTGTTTGTGTCCCCGTCCTTAGCTACTGTAGTTCAATTGACTGATATTCCCAGTGGAGGCGGCAAAAACGAATATGACAAAGGAGTTTCGAGACAGACCAAAGACCAGACACTGGAGGACTCTGAAGTCTACTCGCTGTTCAACAGCAAGGCTAACAAGGTCGCTATTGGTGTTATCATTGGTAAGACAGCCATTGTTCTGTTCAGGCCAATCGACGCTGACTTGCTCCAGATCGCGATAATCAAAACCTCACGCCCCCGCGAACCTTCCTCCACAAGTTCAGTATCATGGCCGAGTACCGCATTGTCGAGGCCTGGAGGGAGAAGCTCAACGGTTGTAAATCGTTCCGAATGCGACTGGAGAGAGTCGACCTGACTGTGAAGCCTTGGTTTGCGCTGAAGAGTTCGCCTGATCCCAAGCTTCTCGCTCAACGCAACATTCAGCCCAATTACCAGAGATGCGGTGCCTGTGGTGTGGAGAGCTTCCAAGTTTACGCGCTGGCATGGATCTGTCTGCAGCACGACTGCGACAAGTTCTGGACGCTCCCGGATGGATCGGAACCCCCGGTTAACATGGAGTTTTGCAAATACTTCCTCTCCTGGCGTCAGCCGTTTGACCCGGAGATCCAGATGAAGTATAGCCTGATCCCGTCCTGGCCCTATAACCTGACCATCAGCGATCACCCCCTAGCGCAGCATGTCAAAGCTAACTGGAAGCCGGGCATTGTGTGCAAGGTGTGCAAGCGTGCCGTATCCCGCTGCTACTGGGACGGCTGGAGGTGCAAGAGCACCAAGACAGGCGAGGATTACGAAGGGGACTGCCCCGGCAACTTCCAGTTCCTGGTGAAAATGTCCGAGCTGCCACTTCGCGCGGCCATCACTGAGCAGGAGCTGGCCCCTGTCCGACGTCCTGTGCTCTTTCAGGATTACACCCCGCTGCGCAAGATTAGCATCTACGATAGACATCTGCGTCGCCCTACGTGGATTAATGATCAGGCATGCTCCCCCTATCGCATGGTTGTCTACAATCTCCCAGGCGCCGGAGTTGTTATTCGGTTTGTCTCCAACAGCGAGATCAACGGACAGCCCAATGGGCCCGGTGAGCTGTACAAGCAGCTGCAGCGAGATTCAGACAGGCTCAACCTTCAGCGCTATCCTTTGGACAAGGCTATTGGTAAGGCTATTTCCCCCACGATTGTGATGTAAGACTAACATGTTGTTTCTGCCTAGCCAAAGGAACGTTGACCTCGGAATTTGCTGCCAATTTCGTGCGTCCCCAATTGCTCCCGTATACATCACACCATAACTGACCATCGCCAGGGAATGCCATATGACTTCAGCGTAAAAGTCCCATCGACCCCATTCAGAGATGCCCCCGAGCCGCTCCGATTCATACTAGGGCGCCTGAAGTGGGCGACCGAGCAAGTTTACGCCACGTACCCCAATGTAGGCGAGCTCGCATATCTCCCAAACGAAGTCCTTCTCCTAGCCTACATTGAGGGCATGGCCATCAATGTAAGCCATCATAACCCGGAGAGTACAACATGAAGATGCTGACATGTTTGTACAATAGTACCATGACGACGGTGAAGAGACTTTGGGTTCGAACATTACATCCCTCTCGCTTGGATCAAAGGGCGACTTCTCTCTGCGCATCAAAGACAAATACTTCCGCGGGTTCACCGAGGGTAAGGGGGGTAAGAAATTGGTGCTCCATCCTGATGACGATCCAGTTCTGGAGGGATGCGCGAACTACGAGTGGCGCAAGGAGTTGAGGGACCGCTACGTCAATGGAGAGATGGGCTTGGACCACTATTACGAGACGTGGCTGACCAAGTATCAGCAAAGTCCCATAGTGGCAACGCACAAGCAAGTGATCATCAAATTCGAGTTGCACCACGGGGACATGATGTCAATGCAGGGCGCCGGAATTCAAAAGTATTATGATGTATGTTGAATCCAACTATCAGGACAAGGGTATGATACTAATAGACTACTCATAGCATGGGGCTACATTGGACACAAAGGAACATGGCCCAAAGCTCCGCTTTGCCATTACGGCGCGCCATGTTCTTTTGACAGACGAGAATAAAGATGACTGGCACATGGGGTTGTACGACTCTACGCTTGTTCCAGAGTATGACGGGAAATAGCCTGCAAGCACCTGGTTATGGTACTGTTGATGTTCCACTTCTTTTATTTCCTTTGGCTGTTGCACTTTCTATTTCTCATCAAGGCCATTGGCTTTTGCTGATGTCTCGTCGTCATTTTCCTTTGTCTAGTTCTCCAAGTACAGCTGTAAGCGCTGTTTCTGGAGATGTTTCCTTTGTTCAAGACAGCAGAGACAAGCAGTTGACATGTGAACAAATGTTAATAGCAATACAATGGTCTACAATTAACACCAAAATGCTCACTCTTTTAGATAGACTGCAGGGCTGCACCAATTAGTATCACGTCCAAAATGCCAATGGACAAGGTCTGGTAGAGCAATTGTATACCCCGTCAAGTAGCAAAGCGGAAATCAAGCCTGCATCTGAGTTAGCCGATCTCACCAAAGCCCGCAGTCTACCATTACGTACCGCTTGTTCCCCTTGTCTGTGGTGGTCTGCCTGTAGCGGTGCTGCTCTTCGGGAGTCATAGCATCCCACTTGCTCGCCTTGGAGTTGTTGCGCCATTTGTAGTAGAAGTAGGTTCCGGGGTATTGGACTACACACATCCATACGCAGATCACGAGCAAACCCTTGTTTGCTTTGAAGTAGCGAGGCGAGTCGCTCGATTGGTACACTGTCTGATTAGTTGTTAACCTTTAAGAGACGATGTATAGGAACTCACAGTTCGCTCCGATCATGCCACTGATCTGAACCCACATGTTGTAGAGCCTGCACATGGTCAGCCTCATACCAAGTTCTTTATTCTGGGACAACGCACGCAGCAGAAACAGTCCTGTTCTGCACCGACCCGGCATTCCTACTCGTCCACGCAACTTGAATAGGGTGCGTATAAGGAAACGAGAGCAGAACCGTCGCGATGGCAAAGTACACCCAGGGGCTGATCGGATCTGGCAACGCGATCAAAGCCACGAAGCACGGCAGCAGCCATGCATCTTCGGCCATGGACACGAAGCTCCGGTTGTTGATTAGCTCGCTGAAGGCCGTGATGAGCAGCATGGTGATGCAGGAGCCGACGATCCATGGAATGCTAAGCAGGTTGGTCTGGATGACGTTGAAGCCGAGCTCGCGGAGTGATAGACTTAGGTATTGGTCGACTGGGTACTTTGGGATACCGAAGAGCAGGCCTAGGATGTAGAGCGGCCACATGTCGTAGTCTTTCGTGCCCTCCCAGATCTGCTTGAGCGAGAGACCTTGTCGGTTGAACATGCCTCCTTTCTGGGGGTCGTCGCGGATTACTGCGATGCGTTAGCTTCCTGAGGTGTCTTTTGGAGCTTGGAGGAGCTGACCTGAGTTCACGATGATCTTCTGCTCCTTCTCCGTGAAATAGCCTTTTGGACTCCACCAGCTCTTCGTTTTGGTCGGGCACTGCGGCATGAGGAAGAACGAGGCAACGCCGACCAGGACTTCGCTCAGTTAGTACGGGCATCATCAAAAGCGGATACCACGCTTACAGGTGAAGCAGCCCCTATGAAGTTTGTTAGCCTCTTTTGACTGTGTCCAGAGCAGCACTTACTCAATGAGGAACAACCAACGCCAGCCCGCGTAGCCCAAGATACCGCGCATGGACAACAGACCGACCGCGGCAAATCCAACGCCAATATCAACTGCGATGGTCAGAAAGGACTGCCCGGACGTGAAGATGAGAAGGCGTACCCAGTTGCGAAGACATCCAGTACCAGGCCAATCGCACAGGAAGCTATCAGAGTGAGCAACGAAAAGTCGGCGTAGGCGGAGAAGGCAACTCACTGCTGGGCCGGTATAAAAGTAGCTGAGATAGAGGATTGTATCGCTATTCTCGATTAAATTCCGCTAAGCCTGGATGAGGGATGGATGCTTACGGAATGAAGCCACCCTGGAAGGTCGCACTGATCGGTCAGCAGGGGACGTCTTAACCTGGACCAGCAGCTTACATCAGGTAGCGAGTTGCAAGAAACGAGGCGCGTCCGCTAAGGAAGAACTGCATGGCGGAAACGACGCTGAAGATGCAGATCTGGATGGGAATCCACATGTCGGGGCCAACGCTGCGAAGGTCAGCCATATCGACTGAGTTTGAATACAAGCAACTGACCGTTTGGAGATAATCTGCGAAGGGAGCTCCGCAACAAGGAAACCAACTCGGGAGATGGTTTGGCCCGTGTTCTATGGCTGTTAGTAAACTCAGAGATGGATTGTCGGTAACGCACATAGTCCGCCTGGGTGAGGCCAATATCGTCCAGCATATTGTCCGAGACCGCGTTCTTGAGGTTGTTTCGGTCGATGTTGAGGGCTGCGAACATGATACAGACCCAGACCTGCCTGGTTAGCCCAGTTGTATTATCGTTCTGTCACGACGCCTACCATGATCTTCCAGTCGACCTTGCGGCGGACTGCTCTCTCCTCTCGCCATGTCCATCGAAAGTTCGGATCGAAGGCGCTCCAATTCTCCCACTTGGGGTGGATATACAGGTTCTTGTATTCCTCGAGGTTTTCCGAGTCCCAGATACTCGGTTGGGTCGCTACCTTGGGGGAGTTAGCGACCGTCGAGCTGATACAAGACGAGGCGATGTTGGTACGTACTCCATCCAGATCGTACGGCACCTTCCGGGGTCCCTTGCGAATGCGCAGGAACCGCAGGACTGCATCGCCAATGACGCCTTCTGTGCGCTGTGTTTGATCGCTGGCTAAGGCTGAGCCCAGGGGTGCGACGTTGCTGGGAGTGACGCCTTCGGAGGCGGCCTTGGACCTCAGACTGTCGTTGTCGGATGGCGTCGAGGATGAGACGGTCGGTTGCTTGCCTGACATGGTAGATAGGCCGATGAAGGTTCAAAGCAGCTCGAGACACTCGCACTACGCTAAATGGGCGAGGTAGCTGCTACTTATAAGGTACTTGACTCGCTCCATCACTCCAACCTGCCCACCTTTCTCTCCCCCAGCCCATGCCACTAGCTGCCAAGTTGTTTTAGGCTTGTGGCGACAGGCTTGCCGTGGAGAATCAAGCCGAAGCCAGCCTGGCATAGCAAAATGCCGTCTCAAAGCTTCATCTGCCCCTTGAAGATTGGAATGATGTTCGGTCGGCCGTGGCGGAAGGAAGCATTTGCCGAGTCTTGGATTCAATCCTGGAATTTCTGCTCAAGGATCACTGACGACTGTTTGTGACATTCTGCATACTATAGAGGGGAATTACTGCCCAGGGCGAAGTCCCTTGGAGCGTTGCGTCAATCGGCAAGTTGCTCGCGTCTTGATTCACAATTGTGGGGGTCGATGTCGTGCTTGCTATCCAGCGCTGGAGGGGTTCTGCTGTAAGGTAGTTAAGACTACAGGGGCGCGGTACGTACAACCCCACACACATCTCGATTATCCCCATCTAAGACAAATCACAATCATGACCGGGTTGTAAATCTCCAGAACTGAGTGTTCCTCATCGGATTCGACATGGGCAGCCGCCATCACGCCTTTCTTAGCGCGGACCCTTCGATCTCACTTGGTGCGGCCGTTGACAGAAGAACCGGCCATTTCCGAGGTTGAATCGGACTGCGAATTCTTCATAACACGCATACTTCCAATGCTGGGGGCTTTGGGAGGCTTTAGGGTTTTGACGGGATTCCCAGCGTTCCAAGCGGATCGAGCCGTGTCCCTCCCGCTCCAAGAAAGGGCACCGCAGAGATATATTTACTCGTACCTAAGTAAATGAACATCAAAACAATGCAGAATCTTCTTTTCCAGCGTTCAGATCCTTATCGCATAATAGACTCCCTCACAGGACAGAGCCCAGTGCCATGATCATACTCCCCAAGCGCCGCACAACCATCCACGCTGCGACCTCACTGAGAATGCCGCTTGATTTGCAGTACTTTAGGACTGCAATTTAAAAGTTAGTTCCGGGACCGACTGGGTTAGCAAATTTTAACTAAGTAAATTTTACTATTTTAATTAGCCACCCCTTTAATTAATCCCGTTAATAGCTACTTAAAGCTAAAGTAATATTATATAAATTATATATTTTTACTTTAAATTAGCTTGCTTTTTTACACGTGACCCGCGACCCTTTTAGCACTAGTTTACTTTTAAATAATTTAAAGCTTATTATTATAACCCTGCTATTTGCACCTTTGTTATTTATATTTTTTTTTATAAAATTATTTTTATTAATAAACCTTTTTTATATTTATATTTACTTAATATACGTATTTTTTTACGCGCCTGTGGCTAGGTATTTTTTATTATAAATTTTTTTATTATTTTAGTTAGTAAAACCTGCATGTAATATAGTAAGCTTAAGCCTATATTAAAGTTTATTTTAGCTAGGTATTTATTAAAGCTAATTATATAATACTAAAAATATTAAAATATAATAAAATAAATTATATATATATTTATTATTTAATAA